ATTTGGAAAGTGTCTCATTTGGTATGTTTTGCCATGTTGCTTGGTTTCTGAATTTAGTCCTTACAATTTAGTGCATATGAAAAACTGATTGCATCTTTTAAAATATAATTGAACAGAAGATAATTACTGATTTTATTCTTATATGATATTTATTATTAATTTAGTTTGAAATTGGTGTGCAAAATTGACCCTTTTTTGTTTTTATTTATTATTAAAAGCTTCTTCCACCAGATGCATCAGCAAGAGAAGATTGCTGGTATGGATATGCATGTCGAACACAACACCGTAGTGAAGAACATGCTCGTAAAAGGAATCATGTGTGCCGTCCAACCCGAGGCTCCAATGTGTGATTCATGTAAATATTATTAAAAAAAAACAACAAAATGCTTTCTCGGTTAGAGTTTTCCTCTTATTGGTTCCCAATACTTCCAGTATTCAAAGCAATTCAAAATTAAAAGCTGGTTATCTAATTAATAATTTTATCCTAATTTCTTTGACTAAAAATGTTGATTCCCCAAATGATTATAATATAAGAATCGTACATACTATAATTCAATATTCAAAGTAATCATCAATCACTTAAAAATTTTTAAACCAATAATCTGTTTGGTATACAATTAAAATTTAATGGACAAAAATTTAAATGACATATTTTTCAAGGACTGGAATGATGGGGTAAAAATTTGAACTTTTACAAACTTAAACGTAAAACACTTTCCTTTCAAGTAACTCCTTGCATTTGCCTATTTGGTGCAAAAGTTCATATTGTAATCCTTTTTCATGCTACTTTATACGAATCATTAGGTTTTTTCAAGGGGAAAAAAAATTATCTCCTAAAAAATCACAGAATATTTTCCCTAGCAAAATGATAACAGCTATGAATTGGGTGTAACGCACTGGTGCTGTGGATTGGGGAAAGAAAGGCAATGGGAGCTCTCACCAAGATTAAACATCCTATGGTGGCCAATTAATGAAATTGTATTTTCTTTCAGAAACTTGAAATTAGAATTTGAATCCTACATGCCTTAGTTAATTTTTGCCATAAGACGGATTGGATAAAGATTTGTTTTAATAAATTATTCTTAAAAGAGATTTATACAGACGTCACATGACTTACATACTTTTCTTTTCCAGCTTCTGCAGAAATCAAGAAATTCAAGTCTATCAAAATTGTGCACAAACAAAAATATTTCCAATCGGCGACTTTGACATTACATATACAAATATGACTTAATTCAAAATTGTACACAAACAAAGAAATTCAAATCCAGGCAGCTAAATGAATGAGGCCCTAAATTCATTAATGATGACTTTAGCATTACATATATGACTTGATTGAGAAGACATATATAATTGCGAATTAAATAAAAAAAAAACATTTTTATTTTGGTTATTCACTTCTTTTCTTGCTGTGGTCACTCACTTTAGGAAAGAAAATTCTTCATTTTGGATCCGTCTGACTTGTTCCTCATTACTTGAGGCACGCTGATAAATTTTGAACTAGGTTTAGATTTGACTCATTAGTTGTGATTTGACTCAAATAATGATTTAACATAATATGATCCAAATAAATAATGATATAAAAATGTTAAAAAATCAAGCCAGTGAAATCACAAGTTAAATATTGACTTAAATATATATTTTTGACCTCTGTAAAAAATATCTGCATAAGTCAAAATTGTGGGCTTTAAAACTAAAGAAAAATAAAAATAACGGGTGATCTAATTGTTAAGAGTCAAGCTTTCTTATTTTTGTTGTTTCTCACTCTCTTAACCTAAACCATCAATAGTGGGGCTAGATGGGTTCAGTATACATTTGTCAATCACCCAAGTCAAGTGTGTCATTTAGCTTGAATAAACCTAACATGAGTTTGAGCATCATTGATTTAATTTCTTCATAAAATAATAACCGATTAATATTTTATGGAATAAATAATTGTTCTAGATGCAGCAAGGGGCTGAGACCTCAACTGAAGATGACAATTCATAAAGAGTTGAGAGTTTGAAATAGACCAAACTACAATAATAGTAGAGAGAGAGGAAGAGAGTTCAAACGTGGAAGACTCACGTGGAGATGAAAATGAAAGAATTAGGTGCAATGTGAGTTTTCTTAAATCCTAAACCTTCTGGAAAACTTTATTGAATAATAAACAAAGTCATTGAGCACTTTATTCGTGGCACGTCCATGGAGTCAACATAATACCAATTAAAACATATCCATATAATTTTCTTAAACAATAGTTCAAATGATTGGGTTACGTGTTGATTGAGTTACGGAACACGTAAAGAAATTGTACAAATTCAAAACTCGTATTCTTTTCGCTCATCCTTTTAAAAATACTTGTGACTACACAGAGACCTCACTTCAGTGAAGTTTTCCTTCAAAGAGAAAACACGTTGGCAAAATTCAAATTGGGTTATGGAGTTGTGGTGATTAACATTTACTATTTGACAAATAATTAACAAAGTAATTAAACGTGACAGATGTAGATTGAAGATATATAATAACAATGATGCATAGGGATAAAAGAAAAGAGTGAGAATTTATGAGAGGGTAGGTGAAAGAGATGACGTGAGCAGCATTTACCTACCTAACCTGAGGAGGGTTCAATGTTGATGTTTCATGCATTGATTCATATGTTTAGTATATTTTGTATTTTGTAATGTTATGTGATGTGTGTGTGTGTGTCTTCTTCTGCTCCAAGCCATGCATTCATCCTGGAAACATGTCTGGCCCCACTCCTCACCAAACGCTTCTCTTTTCTCTTCGATCTTCAATCACTGACCTTTATTCTCACTTCTTTTTTGTTCTCTTCTGAAATTTTGAGTGGTCGATGGACATTCTGCCCAATCACATGACATGGGCCACATCCACATTCATTTATTAAAATGGATAACGATTTTCCACTCTATCCTATGTGTCAATAATATACATGAAAATCCGTACGTATAAAATATAAGCTATGTATATTGTTCATAAGGGACAAGTATGGTAGGAATATTCTTCCACCTCATCTTGTTTATATTACTTGAGAGTTATTTAACGATTAATTTCAGTTAGTACGTGTTTAACGATTTCGTTTCTAGAGGCTGCCCAGGAAAACTTCAAAATCATATAAACTCTTATTTTATAACTTTTTTTTTTGTTCACTCTTTCATGGGTATTCGTGTTCAATTTCCTAACGAAGACTTCATTTTTTTTTTAATTTATCTGCACAAATTTGTAAAATTTCCTGGAGATGCAATCAGGTAATATACTTACTTATAATAAGCACTAATAATTACCAGATCCAGAATCATCTAAGTAAACATTTTTCAATGATATAAATTTCTAACATCATTGAACGTTCACACACAAGCATGTTGCTAGCTAGACGTTACTGGGTTTTCAATATATAAAATTGCTCAAAATATAGAATAGATTTATTATCAATTTAGATATTATAAATTAATTTAGAAAGTTATTATTAGTATCATGAATGAAAATAAAGAGTAAAACGTATTCAAATTTTCTAAATAAAAAAATTCTGGAAGAAAATAGAAATTAGGTGCCAAAGTAGGGAACTCTTTTTATAGTAATATAGATTAAATGGACAATAATAATGGAAAATTTTGGGAAATAGAAACTGGATAAATGAAAAAACAAATTTTATAGTAATATAAATATTACATTACTTAAAATTTATAAGAGTTTAATTTGTAAATATCAATATCGATATATATTACAAATTAAAGTATAAAATTAATGACATTATGACTAACAACGAGAAAAACGTATATACAAATTTTAATTTAACATAATGAAAACAAATACCTTGTTATGTTAAAGTTATTCTTTTTACTATTTAGACAATTTAACTATTAAATTACGTAATCCTAATAATATTTTCATGTTAGGATGTACTATCATTTTTATGCAGTAGTTGGTATACGTTACAAACGAGCGAATAACAATACTTGAACATGTGTACTTCCACAGCGATACAATTAATATTTGTTGAAAAGTCAAAAGTAGCCTTTAACATATAATTATCAATTAATGTAAAAGAAACTTGTGCCCACAAGTATTATAAACCTTTGTCAACCAGATCAGTTTCTTATATTATCATTTCAATAAATTTATTTACTAATTACTTCAATCACAACATTTCACTAAAAAATTCATTTATCAATAAAAAAAAGTCAAACATTAGATTATTTTTTTAATAAAGCGAGCAATTATTCAAATCAACCACTTTAATGTTATCTTGTGAGATGTAATGAAGGGGGTTAAAACATTATTAAAGCAGTTAGCTGAAATGGGTCAGTAGTGGGGTTTGAGTAATTAGAAATAAATTATAAGTTTAGACTTTTACAATGTAATCATTGTAACAAAAATTGAATTTTTTTTACTTTGTGTTTAAAAACATGATAGCACTATTTTTATTTTTTTAAAATCCCGACAGTTACTGTTTGTTTATTATACAAATAGTTAGTGAAAAGCACTTAAAATCGAACATGTGAGAGATTTATTATGAATATTTGCAAACGACGCACACTGTCTCTATTGAGCATGTCAAATAAAAATAACATATTTAAATGTAATTAGTGTCCCTTCTTTACAAAGAAAATACAAATCCGGGTCAAGACAAAGAAAAAAGTTATTTAAAACTATTGAAGTAAGTAGATTATTCATGTTTTATATCTTCCCCATTATTAACAACTTAAGAAATGGGTCGGGGCAAAGAAATTAACCCTTATACAATCAGCAGGCAGCAAATTAAATTGTATAAAAACGTATCATCATTATGATATGCAGCCAAAATTTTAGTGTGTTCAAAACTTTTAAACATAAATTCAACATAACAATTATAATTAAAAAATTAAAATAAACATGAGTTTATAGTATTCAAACATTTAATCTAAACATGTTATTAGTCGTTGATATCAAGCATTTATAATTGACTTTAGAACTTAAGAAATGAAAAATTTTAAACAATTAATTGAAACCAAAATCATCCGAAAAAATCTCTAAAAAAAGTTATGAAAATCTGCAACTACCGTCCTTGTTCATTGCTAACTACAAGCACTAGCGACGTTACATATAAGGACTCTATCCTATAAGTCTTATTTCTGAACCTCAAATATTCATATTCTTGGCCCCCATAAAATCGGTACACTCATAGTCACACAGGTTATTGTCAGTAACAGTTGAAATAACTGTAATAGCAGCACCAGAACCCATGGCTTTGCAGCCACAAGCTTGGTCACTTTGCAACCCTAGATTGTAACACTGGCACATACATTGGCTACCTTGCTGTTCTTGTTGCTCTTGTGGTTTTAGCATATCTGAATTCATAGAATCAGAAACTTGGGGCTGATCAGAGGGTGGGGCTAAGGAAAGCTCCAGGCTGAGTTGAGGATAAGGTTCCTCTGTGGTAACACCACTGCTACTATTTGAGTCTTCACCAGCTGAGTTAGTTATAATCTGTACCTTCGAATTGAGATAAACATTGAAGTAGTGAAAACTGTAGTTATTCTTAATGTTGTTGCTGCTGCTGCTACTGTTAATACTGCTGTTTTTAGTGTTCTTCTGGCTTGTGGTGTTGACCACAGGCACTGGAGTATTAGGTGTTGGACTTGTGGTGGTGGCAGCGGCTTTAGAGGAAGTTGCGGTGTCCTTGAGTGATTTATGGGTTGTGGGGTCTATTCCACGGACATGGAGTAGGCGCTTGAGGTGAGTGTTCCAATAGTTTTTTATCTCATTATCTGTTCTTCCAGGTAATTTTGCTGCTATCAGAGACCATCTGAAAAATTCATAATGACAAAATACCATAAACCCGTTTCAGAATTAATTTCTCATTCAAAAAAGAGTAAAGAGACAAATAAGAACATAAAAGTCATTTAATGTTGTGAGAGTGTTGTTTCAATTTATTTGGATTTTATCTAATGATATATTAAATTGATAAAAAATAATAATAATATAGATTTATTAGATACTCAATTTTTATGATGTGACAATTAAACGAATATACGTAGAACTAAAGGTTAGTGTTCATACTTGTTTCCATGTAAACGGTGGAGGCGAATGATTTGGTCATTTTCTTCTTCGGTGAAGTTCCCTCTCTTGAGATCAGGTCTGAGGTAATTAATCCATCTGAGTCTGCAGCTTTTGCCACATCGAAGCAAGCCTGTGCACATAATTAATCAAACCATTGGACAAGGTACATTGAAAATTGTTCTACTAATTAATTGTAGCTATATATATACAGATATATAAATGGTGAAGGATGTTGTGGGAAAAGTGTATGGTAAATTTACCTGCTTCTTTGGGAAGAGATCTCCAACAGCCTTCGCCATGAACCTTGATGTAGTTGATGAGGCGTTGGTCTTCCTCTTTGGACCAAGCACCTTTGATTGTGTGTTCTTTGTCACAACAAGGACTCCTACCCATGATGGAATTAAGAGTGAGTGAGTGAGTGAGTGAAGAGGGGATGGAGAAAAGTGAGAAGAGAGAATATAAATGGGAGGTGGTGAAGGGTGCAATTGACTAAGGGATCTTCTTTCTTTCTTTTTCTCAAAGTGATTGGAAGAGAGTATTTGTATTTGACCGAGTTGGTGAGAATTCAGAAAAGACGAGTGGTTACCATTTAGTGATCCATTGAGTAGGTAGCGCTACATTTCGTGTCTTTCAACCTCTCTTCATTTCCTACCCTCCCTCACCCCTTTTATTTGCACTTCTGCCCCTATCTCTTCTTCTATTCACAAACCAAGTCCTAATGAACAAAGTAACTTTTTTTTCTTCCATAAACTGTCTTAATTTTCTTCTTTTTAATCCTTATATTTTAATTTATTTGTTGCTTTGGTTGTGTAGTTTTGATTATTTAGTTTTTACTTTATTTTTTGTCTAATTATTAATAAAAATATAAAAAATAGTATTTAAGATCAACACTTTGAAACTCTTTTTTTTTTTACGTTCTATATGCTTTTTTATTTGTTAATATATAAAGTTAATATTATTATACTTTAATTACATTTCATTAGTTGTTGAATACAGTATTAAATGTGAGACTCGTTTTTATAATCAAAATATTATAAACATTAATTATAAATAAAATAAAAGAATCAATACTGTAATTAAATGTTTTATATTAATTATTTTTTTTAAAGACGCAATTATTCTAAAGCGTTGTACCAGTTCATTTTAAATTAACAAATATTGCCCTTTATTAAGACACAAATTCTCAACGGTTATTTCCTTTTATTTTAAATGAATAGTTTCAGCTGGCGAATTTAATTATTTTGTTAAGTTAATAAAGAAAAAAATGAATAAAATATTTCTGATTTTTTTTCCTTTTGGCCACTCTCGATTGTGTTGTCATCGCAATGTTATCAAAATTCTGATTCTTAATTAGTTTGGAATACTATTTTACTCTTAATTAATATTAATATATGTCATATTTACAACTCTTTAAAGAAATTCCAGATATATTTTAAATTAAATTTATTTACATGTGGGACGCTAATAAATAAAAATAATAAATATTTATTACATTACCAAATAAAATATATTTAATAATTTAAAATTTTTAAATTACTATCTACTATTTAATCACTATTCTTAATCTGTGCATCAAGGATTTGAATTTTTGAAAAAAAATGTAAAATTAAAATATATTGGGAATGATAATTTGAAAATCTGTTTTGCATAATTAATTTTATTTAGACAGCAAAGTAAAATTACTTTTAAATCATAAATATAAATATTTTTTTGAATTCACTATTATCTTAAAATTTGTGCCTGAGAGTATACGTTAAAAGGTAATAAATACATCTGTTTAAATGCCTCGAATTAATATAAAGTAGTAATAAAATAATTTAAATTATATTTTTGAAAAATTAAAAATTTGAAATTTGATTCAATTAATAAAATAAATAATTTTTAAATTAATTTGAATTTAATTTTTACGATGTATACTATGTTAGATTGATTTATGAAGTCTCTTGATTTACCCCGAAGCCTAACCATAACTATAAATGATTGTGTAAAATAGAAAAAAAAATTTGTTTGTGTAAACTACAATGTTCAAGTATAATTAAAATTAAATATATTTTTTAATGAATTAGCCAAACAACTTAACAAAGAAGAGATTATAAATAACCTTTTTTCATGTGTGAAAAAAAATGTAATTTTTATTATATGTATGTGTCTTATAAATTAAGAGATATTTTATATTTTTTATTGAACTTAAAAAATTATCATAATTAATTTTATATAAATAAATAGAATAGTCAGGAGTTTATTAAAAAAAACATGAACTTTTGTAATTTTTAAAATATTAAATAAATCATATTAATTTAAAAATAATATACCATGACATCTCAAAGTTATTGTTACTGTATTAAGTATTTAAATAAAATTATATCGTCATCATTCTTTTTCCTTTTTTTAGAATTAAAAAATAATGTATATTTAGAATAATAACATAAAAATATGTTTAAAATATTTTAAAATTAAATAACAAAACAATATTACTTTTAAATTACTAATACAAATGTGTTCTGAAAAAATTAATTGAGTTGACTAAGAATCAATTATCCCACAGAAAATCTATAAATTTATTTTAAAATTAATTCTACTTGACGACCATAAAATTGACTTTAAAAACTCAAAATCTAAAACAGTGCTAACAAAATCCATTTCAAATTAAGGGTGCGACTTTTGTTCGTGTTTAGTTCACTGACTATCTTTATTTTGTGTTGAGCCAATTAGGCAAATTACACTATTGTACCCATCATTTGTCAGTTTAAGTAATAAGAAATATAGCTTTCATTAAATGATCTATATTGCAAGATTGAGAAAGAAAAAAGATTGTCAAGACCCACCACAGCAAAAGTAAATTTCCAACATATTCACACGATTCCCTGATTTACAAGTTCAAAATAAGCCAATATGCCTACCGAACATTTTCTTAGGTACACTTCTAAGACACTCTTATCTTTGATGATTCGTTTCCCCAACCTTTTTATGTGTATGGTCTTCCACCTTTCCACTTTCTTTCTAACCAGTTCTTTTCTTACTTTATCTATTTTTTGTTTCATAAAAAGGATTTCTAGAAGCATTATATATTCTTTAACTTACTCCACTCACTCTTGTCAATTCAGATTTCATGAGTAACTAACTTCCCCTACCACCCATTATTCAGATTTTAATTAATTATTTCACCCAGTACAATATATATACAATCACACAACAATGAACTAGCCTCAAGCTTTTATTATACTTCATGTGTATGTTTTCAAATTTGGATCAGAAGTTGACCAGAGTGTTTTCCTTAATAGAGAAATGATATTTTTATGATAAAAAATCATAATTTTAATGCAAATTAGAGAAACATTACTCAGAATAGTATAAGTTGAAGCAACAAGACATCACATGATCCATTTATCTTTTTATTATATAATACTGCCACTGATTAGTATCTCACAAAAACACTGTCATATTCGAACTTCAACGAACCTCCTATATGCCATCCAACATGGTCATGTCATTTTGAGCCAACTGTGTCAATTTTTACGAACATGGTTGGTAAGCCTCACCCTCTTACCTTAGCTTTTAGTTGTTTCTAGAAGCACTGAAAGAAAAACAAAATAAAATGCATTTAAGTAAGGGGAAGAATATGAGGTTGGTGACCCACCTCCTTCTCTCTCCATGGTTTTCCAACCCCCCATCCATTGAAGGGAGTGGGGCATTCATTTTTGTGCTCATGTCACACTATTCTCATGCTTTTCAACTTTTTCACATATGAATACCTTTAAAATGTTAGTTAAATAATTAAAAAAATATATTAAAAACATAATAAAAATGCATTGAAAATGGAATCAAGTCACATGTTTGTTTTTATGATGTTTGAATAAAAAAAACACTTCAACAAAGAAAAAAGTTAAAAAAAAAAAATGATTAAGAAAATGTAAAGGTGAAAGAGCAATATAATGTAATGTGCAGCCTTTCAACGTCACGTGGCATATATTCCACAATTCTAAACCGATTATAGAAGCATCGTGTTTTGTTGACGAATTCTTCCACGTTGACAATAAAATCCGAGTATTATTGGGTTTATTATATCTGAATGAAGTGCCTAATTCGAACCTTCCATTTCACTACACATCTCCATCCGTTTGTAAAATCTTCTACCAAACAAAGTAGATTCGCAGAATCGGATTCAATCTTGTTAAAACTAAACAGTTCACTTAAATGCACTTTGTATGTAGGGTGTGAATGAACCAAGAAAACAAAATATATTACACATTGAATTCGATCATATCCCCATTATAAATTTTCCTACCTCCAAATGATAGTGTCCCAACTTTCAATGTGGAGTTGGGGGTAGGTAGTGTGACGTATACACCTTAATACATAAGATATTCGAGAATGTTGATACACAAAAGTTGTGCTAAAAATATTATTTTTACTGTGTAACACTTTTTTCTCTCTTAATAAATAACATTTTTATATTCCTAAGCTGGGTCTATTATTAATCGACTCCAGTTTTGAATTTTAAGTCCAACTAAGAAGCACTGTGCAGGTCTTTTCCTTTATTCTACAAATGAAGGCTCCATATTCAAACCCCTCAACTGCTCGTGTTTCCTCCCTCCCTCCAATTAGTGTTTCTATAGCACTCGTTGAAGATTTAAAGATAAAAACAAAGATTTGTATAAGTTCAATGCATTGAATGTTATATTTTTTAATAATACTTTTCATTTCTTTAAGAAAAACCCCAACCACGTAGCATAACCAATATTCAATAGAATCGAGAAAAAGTAGAGTGCATAAAACTTCGCGTTGTTGCTTTGAGGTTGGTTGAATTGTCCTACAAAGATGCCACTCGGATAGCATTTTATAATTAAAGAAATATTAAGATCAATATTCTACGTAAGCATGTAATAAATTTTAAGGAATAATTCTCATTTTAAGGATTTAAAATCAATCCTAAAATTTGATATTAACAAAATCGTATAATAAAAAAACGAAGTATGCTCTACAAAATGACATAAAGGCTACCATCAAATACATTACCCAATGGCAATTAATGAGCTTTGAATTTAACCTGGGCTTTTACAATATACCCCCTATAGCTAAGAGATTATATAAGAAACCCATGGGCCAGGTGTTTTCGAATGAAAACTAAAGACAAAATCATATTGGACAAAAGTTTACAAAAAAGTAAGAGAAAATCAAAATCATTTTATAAACTCAACAAAATAGGTTTCCAGTTGTTAGTGTCGAATCGATTTCCATTATAGTTATAAGGAATAGTGTGGTATTTATACGTGTTAATTAGTTCTTCAACTTACTTTTAGGTAACTAAAGTAACATTAAGCGTAGCTAATCCTATTACCTGGACACAGTTAATCTGAAATTTCATTTATTCAATTACTATATATCTTTTTCTGAATTAAAAGAAAAATATGTTATACACATATGAAGATATGAATTCAAATTATTTTTATGTTGGATGTCATAATTTTTTTGTCATAATTTCCTTATAAATGACCTTATTTTTTTGTCATAATTTTTTACGCTAATAATATGATTTTAAAAGGTTCAATAAATACGCCTAATAAATTACCTTTTTTTCATACTTTTTTTTATCACAAGACAGTATCTTTTATAAATATTTGATACTTAATTACTTTCCAACTTAAAATACTTTCTAGTATATGGTTCGTTTTTGAAAACTATTTACTCTTGACAAAAAAAAAATAAAAAAATATAAAAGCACCGTTAACTACTTGTCAAATGAATAAACATTCTCCTTTGCAGTTCTTCAAGCTTATCAATTCTTCCTGTATTTATAGGAGAAAAGGGCATTGAAAGTTTATACAGAAATTTTGGAAATCAAGGAAGTTAATTACACTTTACTTGACATGAATAACGTCAAATAAATACCTGCATCTTTGGTGGTGGTGACAGAATGAACATGTTTAAATGCAATGCTTAAGAATTATATATTTTTTATTTCTCTTAATTACAAATGGTTGATAATTTTCATACGGTGCCGCAACTCTGTTTACGGTAAAAAATGACAATTGTAAACAAATAATCTAAAGATCAATCTGAGAACTGAATTTAGGTCTTCTTTAGATTCTTTTAAGTGTGCTGTTAACGTGATGCTCAAATTAACAGCGTAAAAGAATATTAAGCAAGAATAGGGAATAGTAATTGTGCAGAATTGAATCAAACGTAGATGCTTTTATAAAAATATAGTAAACAGGAAATAAACAGCGTACAAAGATATAAGCAACAAGCACTGAAATTAAAATGCAGAAAGATAAATGCGGAAATGTAAAGGTGCGTGAATGTAAACGTACGACTCCTGACAATAAACAACAATGACTGTAATGCCTCCTTGTAGCTGGTGTCTAGCACAGTGCAAGGTTTCAGCGTCTCAGAGAGTTTAGGTGCGGTGTCTGGGTGCAAAAAGTTGTCCCTTATAAAATGACGCTTTAGAGTATTTATAAACATGAAGAACACCACCGTTCTCCTCCTTTTGCGGGCACTTCTTAGTAACTTCCTTCAACTGTTGATGCCCATCATCCACGATTGCTTGTGATCGTGTTGTTGGTTGGGACTTCTTTCGTAACTGCTATCGTCAATGATCTCCTTTGCGTAGTGGTGAATGTTAATAACTGCTGGTAACCGCTATTGGATTTTGCAATGACTTGACCTATCGAGACTCTTGCTTTTCGAGTATTTCTGGAAGAAACCTAAGAGACTCATTTAGTGTTATGGCCTTAGAAAAATTTCTTCTTGACTTCTCTTTTCGAGCAATTCTGGAGTTTTTGAGAGCTTGTCTTGGTCTTGTGGACTTAGAATATTTTCTTTGCTTATTTCTGTTTTTCAAGCAATTCTGAAGGAAATCTGGAGTTCAACCAAGTTTGTGGACTTAGAATATTTTCTGACAACTTCCTGTTTTTCGAGCAGTTTTGGGTGTCAGGAACTTGGAACTTCCTCAAAACGCCTCGAAAAGCCGTCAGTTTTTTGTGAACTTCGAATATTTTCTTGTCAGTCTTGTTTTTCGAGTAATTTTGGGTGTCAGTGACTTGGAAACTCCTCAAAACTCTTCGAAAAAACCCTTAGTTTTGTAGACTAAAGAATTTTTCTTGTTAGTCCTATTTTTCGAGCAGTTTTGGATGTCAGTAACTTGGAAACTCCTCAAATTACTTGAAAAAACCTTTAGTTTTGTGGACTTTAAATATTTTCTTGTCTGAAAAAAATCTACAATATGACAAAAATATTCTAAAATAGCTCAAAATGTGTCCCTTTTAATAAAACTGAAGGTCTTAGATGGTCTTTTAATATTCTCTTATGTTTAAGCTTATTTTTTAACTCCTTCTTGACTCTCAAAACAAAACTTGTTGAAATGTAGTTTTCTTCAAGATAATTTTTAACTTAAAAAATTTTTCTTATCCTAAACAAATCCTTATCCTTGTTAGAGTAGAAGACACAAAATTCAATGGAAAGAACACGTCCTGCGCCAACGTTGCGCCATATATGCATATCATGTTGGATTTTCTTTTGGTTCAAGAATTTCACATTAGGCATAAGTGTACGTGTGTCATATAAACCTAATTATTAACTAACAATCTTGTACTATTTAAATTAATTTTAGATGAAGTTTTAAAGATTTAAATAACATTTATTATGTTTCTCTTTATAGAAAACATGACATATATCCTTTTTTTAATTTTCTTCTTCGAAGACTGTTTAGTTAAAAACTGCAACATGTCAAGCAAGTAAAAAATAAAAGTTATAGCAAACATCTACTAAAATTTTACTTTTTATAATAATAATTCTCTTATAACACGGTGACTTGTTTTCTATTTGCTAAGATATCAAAATGAGCTTTTGAATTTCTATACACTTCCTCATTATATATCTTTTCTTTCATTTTCTTCACTAACGAAATCGTGCTGGAAAGAGGTTGACAGGTTGTGACGACGGTGTGACGGTCATAGGGTTTATGTTATAGTCTTTCTCAAATATATACGACAGGAACAACCGAGTGAGGAGTTCCGATGCTAAAGATTAATAATCTCAGTGTTCTTTTGGTGAGTTAATAATCTCTATGTTAATTCAACAAGATTAGGTCTGATTTTCTTTTTAAATTCTCTTCAGTTCAAAAATTGATACTTCAATTAGTTTTTATAAGCTGTTTTTTTAACTTTTTTCTTCATTAAAAAACTATACTTTTAATATTCTTAAATCTTTTTAAAAATAATATTTAGCAAAGAAGCCTAAAAAGGAAAAAGCACTGAAACAATAGTACTTATATCATATATAATAACGATGTGTAAATACCTAGTTTGATTAGTACATGTAATTTAAGTTTAGTGAGTTTATTCAAAATCTATGCTGTGGGAAACGAAATCAATATCCTGTTTTGGATAGGCATGTGTATCAATTGTGTGTGTTCTAGATCTTGTATTTTCCTGTTTGTTCTAGGTTTCGTTCTAATATATATACGTGCCTATCAAAAACATTAAAAGGCAACATTAATACCAAACTTTATTTCCATTAATTATTATTACTTCAGTTAAAATTGATTACACCCCGAACTTAGCAGGAAGATCATAACGTCATGATGCATATCATACTTGCTAGAGCGATAGTCTTATGATATTATTATATATATGATGACTAACTAGTTAATCACCTAGCACTCCGACACTATATATGTATCAGTTATTGCTAATTTATTTGTGATAGTAATACATGAAAAGGGGTTTCAACAAATCTTAGTGCAATAGCAGCGGCGACGGACCCCATGGCAGTCACCACCAGAGAAACCTTCGGTCCTGCATACATGTGCACAGTTGTTGTCACTTAGACATACACCCTTGAACCCGTGGCTTTCTGATTCGCATTCTCTAGCCTCTCCTGTCTTCACTGCCACATCTACTTTCATTCCATTCATCAAATTCAATAATTAATCACAATACAATTACACAAGATCGAGCAAAAAACAAGTTCATCATGTCTATGTATTTTATTTTATTTAAAGTTAATCGTTTTTTAACATGCAATTACTCAACTATAGAATCACATGATAAAATAAGAAATAATAGCTTATCACATCTTATTAAATTTTAATCTACATTTTTTTTTATCATATCTTAATATGTATAAAAAAGTATCATACTATATGTGTCCGAAATGATCAAATTAACACGGAATATATGTACATCTCACCGGCAGCTAAGACAAGAAGGAGCAAGAACAAAAACCCAAATGTTTTCCTTTCCATGAGCAGCTATAAAATATACGAACCACGGAAATTCAATTGTTGAATCCCTTGGTAGTCTCTAGTTTAGTATTTAGTACATAGTATAAAGGGAATCAAATGTGGCCTTTTGGATCTTCTTATATAATATGGGACTTGGAAGCATGAATATATATATATATATATATGACGTGTCAGAGAGATAGGAAAAGAAATAGTGTGACAGTGCAAAGATGGAATTGAAAATGCGGCATCTGTTGCTGTCTACGCTCGTGACATGTTAAATGCGACAATAGGATTTGAAACGACATGGGTTGTGGGGTTGAAGGTAGTAACAAGGGAAAGCATCGGTTTCACATGCAAAACTGCAACGTGTGCACAGAGAACGCTTGCGACCTGCCACGATAAGCTTGTTAGACATGTACCTCCAATAGGGGAAGAACAGAATAGAATCACCACGACATTTTTTCGGTGCCATTATGAGGTATGTTTCTTGCTACCTTAAACAGGTTTTGTGTGTGTATGTTTATACTTTCAGATTCTACATTCGTAGAATTTAGAGGTGAATGCTCGAGTTAAATGGTACATCCAATGCGTCAATTCACCTTTCTCCTGCACAGAAAGCATGGGCTCGTAGATTTATTAGGCCCATATAATAAACAACTATAAAAAGAACTACGGGTTCGGCAAGGGATAATGGGTTCGTCGGTTTTAAGCACCCAAATTGAATTGATCATGGGCCTGACCAAATGTTAAAATACGGTGAGATAACCTTGTTTTTTACAATAGCACTCCGTCCAGGAAAAAGCCCAAGAAAAAAAATATATAGGCCCAGAAGCTATCTCCTACATCAGAAAGACAGCGGAAAACAAGCTGAAGAAAAACAAAGAAGCAGGCCAAGCAAAAAGGACAGAGCCCAAAAGATACATCAGAAAGTACAATACAAAGAGGAAATTAAAAAAAATAATGATATATTGTTTATTTAATTGAAAAGGAAAAAAATAATTTTCAGAAATACAATTTTATTTTTCTATAATTTAAATTTATTTTCTTTAATACAAATATATATTAATCTTACCAAACTCGTGTAAATTCAAATCCGGTAGCTTAGGCTGGATACAGCAACTGCTGCCAGGCAAAAGGTACAACGAGGCTCAGATGATATGGGTTAATTTTTTTTCTTCAACAAAATATTATTAAAAAATTTAATGAATAAAGATGAATTTTTAAACGGGAAAATATAATCATTTTTGGGAATAAGTGTAGGAGCTGAATCCTGTGTGAATATTATTTCTCTCGAGAACACTAATGAATACATTTTTAAAATGAATCTATATTATTCAATTAATCACATAAATCCTCTCATAAAAAAACGTATTAATTATAAAGCTTTATTTTGCCTAGTTTCTCTCTTATTTTAGTGGGGTTTTTATTTACTTATTTATTTATTTTGGTCATGAGCTTTCATTTATTATTATTTTTCATCCTTGTCTGTTTTGTGCTGGGCTGAAAGGTTCTAAGTCAGATTTCAATTTTTTTTTTATCTTATGTTGTTTTAAAAGTTATTCTATTTTTCAAAAAAAAATATTAAGAGTATGTTTGATTTTCATTTAAAAAATAGTTTTTTTGTTTTTTAAAATAAATTACAAATTTATATTATATTATATTTTTAAAAATAGAAAACTATTTTTAAAATAGAAATCAAACATGCTTTTAATTATTTTTAAAAAAATTTTTTTCTTGTATTTATTATTTTCAAAATTATTAAAAATTAATTTATTATTTTCTGTCTGTATTTAAACATGAAAATAAAAGCATTAATACAATAGTTAAGTCAAATACAATTATATTTTTTTAATTCAAAATAGTTAATATTTTCTTAATTTTTATAAAAGCTCAAGCATATAGTATTTAGAAATAATAGTAATAACAGAATTTTAAAAACACATTTATATCTTACTTGGCAATTTACTTTTACTTGAAATTTCACGTTTTATTGTCAAAATCTACATATGTAGGAAAGAGGAGTATTTTATATCCTTTTATAACGTAGCTCGTGAACAATTACAAGGCTTGCAGCTGCAACTAAAAGTATCATGGCAAGAAGAAATTATTGAGTGAGTTAAGATCATTAGTGTCTATAATTTTCATCAATTATCATACAATATGTTTTTATTAATTAAAAAAGCAGTCACAAATCATATGATAATTTTTCTAAGAGAGAAAGATGCATACAAAAAATAAAAGAAGAATAATATGAACCCTGGCTCTGTGCACTGGCAAAGGCAAATAGTCAACTAAAATGGCATCACGTTGTTGCTTGTTGTCTTGGTGTTTCTAAATGCTGACCCTGCATGCATCTCTGTTCTCTATCTTCCAACCCCCCCAACCTATTCATTACTCATAACATCTTTGGAAGGCATGCCTTTGGCTTTAGCGCTTTACCTTTACACTTTCCCTAATCATACAATCATTTTTTGTCACTTCATTAACACTTGTGAACAAGTCCTTCCCTCAGAGAGTTTATCATTTGTCGTATAATTTTCAACTCAAAATACTATTCTTCATAATATTTTAGATTGGAATTGGATTCCCCTCAATCCCATCAGTCATTTCTAATTTCTTTCTGTCTTCTTTAATCTGTTTTGCTAGCAAAAATTTGTGTGACTTGACCCAAAGATACAACAATATACAAATAAAAATAATGTAAGAAGATGAGTACCAAAATATCAAATAATGTAAGTCGCTGACAGGCTAGAGGGATATGATTGCTGCAAGGATTCCAAAAGATTTGATTTATTTAAAAATGAGAACAAAAAAGAAAGAGAAGTTTTTGTTTGGATGATGAGAGAACATAAATTAATTTTCTTTTTTACTGTTTGAATGAAGAAAAAAATTTTTAATTGAGAAGAATAATTTTAAATAAGCTTTATACTTTCATAAAACAATAAATAATAAGTAAATTTTCTATTTCAATATTCGTTTTTCTCTCATTTATTGCTACACCGAAAAAGCAGAATGTTTTTGATGGAATCCACACAATTTATTAATTTTTCTTAGTATTTTTCTCTCAATTAAATGGTAAAATATAAATTTTCTCAATCTATTTTTTGACTCCCGCTAACTAGCATCTAACATTTTTAATATATTAATTAAAAAGTTAAGAAGTCTTTTTTTTTATTAAAAAAACATTAAAAGTCACAAAGTAAATGCATTATTATATTTTTTTAATACAATATTTGTATTCTTAACAATGCCTTAAACAAAGAAAGGCATAATGAGCAGTGTCTACATGTACAGAAATAACGTTATTATTGATTTTGACAGGCTTTGATCAAAGACGAAAAAGTACTAAGATGTTTTATGCCTTTACCCAACTAAAGAAACAAAAAACATTTCTATAACTTTGCTGCCTGGCTGGTCTAAATGATGGTCGTCCTGCACTTGATGCCTTAAAAGGATCAAAAGTTTGTTTGAAAAAAGAAGGCAAACAGGTGCATAAAGAATATTTAAACAGATAAAAAGCTACATAGGTTAGATTAATAAGTGGGCTTTATGATGAAATTCGGTGCAAAAAAAGTTAAAGTAGCCACCATACTACTCCACATTTAATTTCTTTGAGGGCCCCTCAATGTCTTCTTGTTTGTCAATTTACACATTGGACTTGTTGAGATTCAGGGCTCTATATACCTTACAAATTTACTCTCTTTTTTTTGTGTGTGTAAAACATCATTTACTTCGTTCAGGAGATTGAGGAAATCTATCCTGTTCTACCCTCATTTTATTTTATTTCTTTAATTTTTATTGTTATAATTATAATCTCTATTAAAGTGAAATTAGAGGCAAAATTATAATTGAGGTCGAGGGCAACATATTTAATTCAAAGTGGCCTCATCTGAACTGAATTCTTAGATAAAAGTGTGCATGAGACAGGACCGATACCTATCAGTATTAAATAGATAACCAAAATTTCCATTCTCGCTGTCAATTTTGTTTCTTACGGCAAAGGCAAATAACAAAGATGATTCAACTAAGTCTTCTCTACATTGTACCAATGTGACATATTGCAGAAGTCCAGAGTCATGATAATAATCCATATCACTTTTTTTTCCATGGTGGGAACATGGATCATGACAGCTCTCAAACACATCTCATGCTGGAATACAGACAGAGGGACAGTGATATAAAGACCCCACCAAAATTTACATGATATTCATAACATATAAAGGGTATGATTGGAAAAATTTATGATTCTCAGAACTTTTTTAACTTATTTTAATAATTATTAAAATAAATCTTTTTTAATTTATATTAATAAAATTTATAGTTAAATTTATTATATAAATATCTTGTATAATAAAAATTTATTACATAAGCAAGATGTAAACGCATCCAAATAATATGACTAACAGATCAAAAAGATACCCTCCAATTCAAAAAAAGGACATTGACATTTATCTTAGTGATAACAACACCAATAAATAATTGCAAGAAAGACACGAAAGAGTATATATAATTATATAACATGATTGAACACATAATAATCATTAAAATAAAAATAAAAAAGAAAAGAAAAACTATTTATATTCATATATGAACAGCAGGAAAGTTCATCTTTGAAGCTCTGGTACTGTTTTTGTCCCTCCCGCTTGCACATAATGATGTTTTCAGTCAGAGGGGGAAGGCTTGGTCTTCAAACGGTACAAGAGCTTCTTCTTCTTAGAACTTTGATTGTCAATGGTGAGAACAACTTTCCCCGGTTCACCTACTTTAAAACTGTTGCATAGCACTGGTTCTTCTGATGATGCAACCTTTCTAGCCTTTTGCACAATTACTGTATAGCTTCCTTCTGAACTAGGCACAAATTCTGCACCATAGCTTACTTCCCACCCTATTACTCTCAGCTCCCAAGAGAGTAAGCAGTTCTGAAGATTACCAAAAAAATAAAAGTAAAAATATTAAAACCATTATACCATTTATCAAGGCAAATATGCCCAACAAGTCTCTATCTTCTCATCAATTGTAATAAAAAGGTTTAGTGTTGGATTTAATTGCTACACGTGGTTTTAATTTGCGAAGTCAAGTCATATAACTGTTTCTGATAACAACAAAAAAATGTGGAGCTTAAATATCCAATCCTATGAATCAACATCATTAGGTAGTTATCTAGACAGTGAAAGAGTTCATAGGCTGTTGAAGTTTCTTTTCTTCTTGGACTTTTATTCTACACTCTTGATCCTATTGCCTCTTTTTCTCCTCTGAAGTCTTTTTCATGTTTCATAAATCCATGTTAACGTTGGTTGCTAGCTCTTGCTTAAACATGAATTTCTCACATCAATCATTTTATGAGGTAAAATGAAAATATCTGAAAATTTTTTATGTTCAAGGTTACATTATTGTTTGTACAACCTAGCTAATCAAGCATTTAAGTGGTCCATACCATTTATTGGTTTGCTAAACACGGGAAGGTTTTTGACTCTCAGCAATATTAATAATTATCTGAAGCAAATTTTGACCATTCCAGCTTCCCAGCAACAAATAGCTAACAAAAGAAACAGCTTTCTATGTCTACTTTCCTTTTTCCCAATTAGGAGTATAATCTTTCTTTGTTTATTTTATTTTCTTAATTTACTAACACATGGTGTATTTACTTTCAGGCGTGCACAGTCTTTGGCATAAAATATGAGAACTATTCAAAATTAGATATAATATTGGTGATAAAGGAATCCTATGAAATATACCCCATTCCGATGCAGCATTCTTTGGATTCTAAAAACCAGTCAATTCAATTCCGACAAAAAAACAAGGGAAAACCCACCTCAGTAACAGAAAACTCCACGGTATGTTTTGCTGCTGGCCTTACTGTGATTTCTGTAACAGCATCGGTATTTCCGAATTCTCCATCTTTGCTTAGGCCACCATATTTTACCGGAAGCTGCTCCGGAGCTATGTATCTGAAAGTGCAAAGAGACAAAAGTTAAAACTGTCCAAATACAAATCAAACAGAAAACAACAAAGAATAGCAAATTTTGAATCTTTATGTCTTCACCTCAAAAGGGTCTCAGTTGATTTGGAAGGCCCAGCAAAGACAAACTTGCTTTTGGTTCTCTGAGTAAGGAAAGGGCTTATCATCCTATTCACTGCCAGGTACCACCATGGCACATTGATAAATACCTGAAGCCCGAAACATAAAGATTTAGAATAAGATATATTCGAATTTGAACATCCAATACCCACTTAAAATTTCCTCACTAGTGCAAGCAAGGAAGACACAAATACAGATCAGATATAACAGTTAATTAGCATGCAATTAAAATTTACGAGAAAACAATGAATGATTAAAAACTATAGAGGAGTACCTGTTTGGCCACAAATTCAGGATAATTGTCCTGAAGCAATTGAAGAGCGTGTTTGGTGGCTTGTCTAAGTTCCCACTTGCCAGGTCCAGGAGAGTTCTTGAGATCATTGACTTGAACGATGGTGCAAATGCCACCAGGGTTGAAATCCAACTTCCTTATACTCTTCTCAAGGAACTGAATTCTCCATCTCAGGAATTTTTCTCTCTTCTCCTCATCAGAAAAAGTCTTCTTGTACAACTCCTTGTTCTGGAACTCTCCATATATGTTGTAACACACAGGGTGGCCCTCCTTGTCGAATCCATGCATGAACACCACTTTCTCCAACTCATCACCGAGCTTCTCCTCCATCAACTCTTCCATTCCAAATTCCTTCCTCCACCGGATTGTGTTCTTGATCATGGTGAATGCCTCCTTCACCTTGAAGTCTCTGGCACGCAGAAACTTCAACAGAATCACATCGCTCCTGTCATCTTTAAGCAGCGGTATCCCCCAAATGGATACTTCTTCAGGTGGCAATGGAACTGAAGCTTCATCCTTTGCTTCTGTTTCAGAAGCTTTCTCTGTAGATGGAGGCTCCTCTGTAGGAACAGAAGAAGAGACAGCAACAACGGTCTCTTCAATGGCCTCCACAGTTTTTGCTCCATCATCATCCACAGATGGAGCAGCATCAGCATCAGCATTAGCAACCTCAGTTTCTTTCACTTCTTCTTTCTTCTCTCCTTCTTCTTCTTCTGTTTGTTTGGCAACTTGCTCCTCCTCAGTTTTTTGTACAGGTTCTTCTGCTGTGGCTGCAACAGTTTCAACCGGTTCAGGAACTTGTTCCTCATGGGGCTCTTTCCCTTCCTTGTCTGCAGTTAAAGCTGGTGGCTTTTCTTCTTTGGGTGGATTGTTAGGGGAAGAAAACTCGTGCTTGTTGAGTGCTTCTTGAATGAGGTGTTTGAGCTCTTGGAGTGACTTGTTTTCATTCTCGGGGAGGTCAGAAAGTTTGGTACTTTCTTCCTTGAAGGAACAAGATTCGGGGATTTTGTCATCATTGTTGGTGTCGTCACTATTGGGTTTGGACAGGTGAGTCTCAAGAGTCACAGTTTCCTCAACGGGCTTCTTCTTCTCTGGCTCAGGTTGAGGATCTTTCTCTACAGTGGGGGTTTTGTCAGGTTGAGGAACATGAGTTACCACCACTTCCTCCACTTGCACCACTGACTCTTGTGTTGTGCTTGTTTGCTTTGGAGCCTCCTCAGCCATGTTTGTTTGTTTGAAGAATGAATGTGGGGTGGTGAATAATAATAGTAAAGAACAAGAAAAGAGGGTAGAGAAAGAGAAGATGGGGAGATAAGAGGGGGGGGGTTTGAGGGGGAGGAGTTATAAAGAGAGGTGATGGAAGTGATGAGTGTTGAGGAGAGGGTGTAAGGAGATCGTGTAGGGGTTGTGCCAGCTTGGAAGGTGGATCCTCAATGGAAAAGGTGGGACCCGTGTGTTATCTGTACATTGTAATGTAACGTTGTAATTAGGCAAATCAACGGCGGTTTTGCCGGCTACCCTTCTCAATTATCAAAGGCATGCCATTGGATGGCCCTACTTACCAGTTACTACCCCAGGTTTCTAAGCCAACTGTATTAACTCATTTTTCATTCCATAACGCACCCCCCAATTCTTCTTTAACAAATGCCAATACATGATATGCGTTTGCTTTCAAGATGCTCCTATAGTTCTACAGAATAAATGTGGTGAACAATAATTCAAAGGCGCAAAGAGGGGAATGAACAACGTTAAAAGTTTATGACGAGGTGTTCATACGGTGTTACTGTTACCTAAAAGCAAGTGTGCGTTGCACTTTGCACTTTGCATGCTTCTGTTTCTGTTCTGTTTTGGTGTCACTTGTGACTGTCTAGCTGTGTACCTATTATTATCATTCCATCCAGGCCGTTAAAGTCTTTTGGTTAGGCCCACACCATAACCAATATCTTCGTTCCATTACATTTCTTTTGCCAGTTAAATTAACCATTTTTAGTGAATATTATAAGATATCACATAACATGGTACATTAATGATATTCAATGATATAAATTTCAATAAAAACACATTACAAAAGCCATTACTTAATTTCTTTCGGAGTAAGTATCAACAAGACCAAAAAAAAAATACACGGTCCCTTTGTTTTTTGGGCCCATTAACATTTAACACCCCCTTGTGGATCCTCCTTAAGATTGTCCAGTGGGCTCTACTACAGATTCCGATCTTCTTCCCTAAGCCCGATGACGTTAGCCCAGAGATCCTTGCACAGGCGTAATGAGAACCAGCCCAAGCGTGACAGTCCATATTTTATTTGAGGCACAACTTGCAAAGAGTCCTTTATCACTGTAAGTAGGGATTTAGCTTATCCAAAACGAAGAAATATATAAAATGAGAAATTAAAAATATATTTATTAATAATTTAAAATAAAAAATATTTATGAAATACTTAAATTAAAATTAAGAATTGATAAAATGGAATTGGTGTGTTGGTCAATCCGCTTAGTCGGTTAATAATGATGGAATGGACTACATATCATATTAATTAGCGTAACATGCGGGCCGTAGGTCAGCTTGACTTGACCTTTTTTTTTTTTTTTTTTACTTTTACTCTTTCGACTTTCTGAGTCTGAATTTTTTCACATATCCCTTTTTCATAAAAAAAAAATATATTTGTATAATGGACTCATCCGCATAAAATAAAATTAATAGTTTTTTAGTGAACAAAATAAAGTCAATCCATAGTTTACTATTAATTGTATATCAATATTATTATTATTATTTTTATAAGCAAATATCACAATATTTTTATACTAAATCTCATAATGAATATTTCATTGATTCCTTCTTTTTATGTATTGAATACAGTAAAGACTATATCCATTTATACAAGAATAAATGAATCATCCATACATAACAAACTAGAGAAATATTAGAAAAAGATTGACATATGTACCGCTATGCGAAATAACAAAATAATACAAGAATAAAAATAACAAACTATAACAACTTGCAAAGAATTAATTAAAAATAATTATTATTTGGTAATACTAAATAACACAAGACTAATTATTGCTCACGATTCATACTAAAATTATTACTAACTAAATATAATAATTTATTAAATAAATTAACCGCACACATATAAATTAAAAGTATTTTACACTGTTATGTTTTAAATAATTTAAAATTAATTAATCAATATAAAAATACAAATAGAATTTAATTTTTTGTCATTTTTATATTTTAACTTATTTTAAATATTTTATTATCTTGAAATCTATTGATCTTTTTCATGAATTGAAATAATATAATATAAATAATGAATGTTATATTTTCATAATTTTTTATAAAAAAATATTTGATAGTTTTGTTAAATCTTTCCCAAGAGTGTGGAACTTTGTTGCTTTTGAAAGTAATGTTGGAATAAATATATAGTGTCGGTGTTTTGTGACATGACTCTTACCCATTTGAACAACAAATTATGATTATTATTTGATTCAAATAAACTTATATTTTGTGAATATTAAAACGATTCATTTCTTAATCGTTAAATAAAAATTTAAAAAATATGTATAAATTCTATTAACAAGGTAATAATTAAATTAAAAAATAAAAACAAAAAGTGCAATTTAAAAAGTATAATATTTAATAATGACCAAAATTCGTAATAATAAACAATATATTAGGAGTTTGTGAGAAAAAAAAAAGTATCGTAAAATAGAACGCTATTTAAGGCAATATTGATTAACTCAAGAAACTACAAATTTATGGAAAATATATATATTTTTCATTAATAAAACAACTAAATAAACATATAAAGTAATAAGTAATTGAAAACACTATGGTATGAAACACACACTTCATTCCTTTTCTCTTCCGTGACACGTTGAAATTCCACTTTAGAAGTGGGTCCTTTGCTATAAAGCAAATAGAGGAATATTGGGTATAACGGTGTCAAACAGCATTAATGCAGTAGCCCTCGAGAGCGATGGATACTTGTGGCCACCAAAATTAATAAATGGTAATTTAAATATATAGATAACCTCCTTTAATTAAACCGCATACCCAATCCTATATTGCCATCTATTTTGTTTAATCCTTTGTAACAACGCAGTTAAACTAATAAAATAACTAAAAATATAAGAAATTAATATTAATTTACGAATTAAGTAAAATTTACCTAGTATTTATAGTTTTTAATAAATTTAAAATTGTGACACACTTTATTTTCCTTTTTATTTAACACAACGACGTCGTGTCGAGTAACGTTATCCTTTGCACAAAGAATAACAACCCGACGCGAAACTCTCCCACTGCAAACCATTAGTTATTATTAAAAGTTATCTAATTCAGATTAAAGTTATGTGTATGGTCACGTCGTCATCTTTTTAACCGTACTTTGGTAGGATTTAAGAAGGCTATGGTGGATTTAATTTTACGAAGGGAGTGAAATATCTTATGGATAAAAAAAATAAAAGAGAAAGGCAACTTAGTTAAAGAAGAACAGTGTGTACATTATAATTTGTTTAAAATGTTAGATAATTTAAATGTTTACGTGGGTTTTTTATTTTTAATCGTTTGCGACAAAACTGATGAAGTAAGATAAAAAATTAAAAAATTAATTGACTACATTAAAAATATTTTGAAAAACTGACCATTGAACTAATTATTAAATATAATTTGAAATAATACTTAGAATATTGCTTGTAAGTTTTGAGATGCAAATAATGAGGAGGCTTTGTTGTGAGATAATAATGTTGCATGCATGGGAACCATACCTACAATTGATGGGAGTTGAAGGACTTGAAACAAACTCTAAACGTGCATTCAGGTTTATGAGTAGGACACGACCCTATATATATTATATTATTTTGCCACACTACATGTCTAAGTTCCCTGTATCATTCTTAGTCCCAAATCAACACAATTAAGATCAAACGGGTATTTCAAAATTTAATAGAATATAATTTAATTTTATAAAGTTAATTTGATTTAAAAATAAATTTGAAGTGATATCATTTTTGTTTAATTAAAAAAATAACTATATAAAAAATATACAAACTTTTATTATAGATAATTTATTTATAAATGTTTGCTATAGTACTTGTAAATTTATGAAAATATTCTACATCTTTCTTAGATTAATGACTGTGATGTGGGAGGATATTAACATTTTTTAATTAAATTATTTATTTATATAAAATTATACTTTATTTATTTATAACTTAAGTTTTTCATGAAAAATTATATTAGATTGAAATATAGGATAAATTAATATGATATAAAAAAAACGAGTGATAGTAAATGGAAGGGAATGATTGGGGAATGAGAATAGGGAGATGGCATTGTAAAGTTATTTATGGGTTCACAGTAATAACTGATGGCAATCTGTTTGAGGAAAAAAGAGTCAGTTAACAAATCACACTCACGCGACGGTGATGCTGCGTGTCGGCTATGTCCCACCACCACTTGGTCAACGCGTTTTCTACATATTCCTTTATTTTCCCTTTTCACTATTACTAATCTTCCTTCGTTTCCAAAACAAATATAAAATTATCATCTTACTAATCAATATTGCAGGATAATTTTTTCTTTACTTCTTTTAACGAAATATCACAAATTAAATATTTTGTTATAAAAATAATAGAAAGAAGTAAAAACAAAACTTTTATTAAAATTATAATTAAACTATTATTATGATATTTTTATAATTTGTATTATTATTTAATAATGTGTTGAACAGTTTTGAAAATGTTTGTTTTTTAGAAATAATTTAGATAAAATTATCCTTGACTTAATATATTTCTTTGAACAATTGAAAAATATAATAATAACTTTTTTTTATTATGTCTATTTCTCTTTTAATATGAAATAAATAAATATAGCCCAATATGAATAAATGCAAATAAATTTGATATTTATATCTTCTTTAATAAATATTAAACGAGTAAGGTAATGTAAATGAGAAATCCAATATCCTAGATACCTACTATCAGCAATGATTAATTTAATCAAACGGTGGAGAGATACTTTGAGGAATGAAAGATGCCACTAAATTAAAAAAAAAAAAATGAAAAATGAAAAAGAGGAAAAGAATAGATAGCTTGTGAAAACGACAAAGAGATTGAGGAATGAAGAGAAAGGTGTCCTGTCCCTCCCCTAGAGCAACGCCGTTGTTAGAGATCCAACACCACATACCAATTCCAATCCCAAAATTCTGAGTTTTCAGAACCAAAATCAAAACGAAGAGGTGAAGGAAGATAGTACTAGTAACCCTTAACCCATGCCAGTGAGTTACTAACTGGATTCGTCATCTTCGTCATGGTTCATGCTCATTGATTGGATTGGATCCCAATCCCATGCTACCCCATTTTTCTAATGCTTTCTCTCTCACTCTCCCACGTGCGCTTTCCTCTTCCTCACTCTAAATAATTCTTCTCTCTCACTCTCCCTCTATACATTATTGTTATATTTTATTTAAATCAGGAAAAAAGAACCATTTTTTAGTTAAAGATACCACCTTTATATTACCCTTTTGATCAGAGTGTAAAATGGTGCTGTGATTCTACAAGGGTCTTGCATGCCCCTTTGAGTTTCAACTTTGACCCCTCTATCCACCCGTAACCATAACTGATAGTGTCTTTGTTCGAGTTGAGGATTTGATTATGGAAAAGTACGAGGCCGTTAAGGATTTGGGAGCTGGCAATTTTGGGGTGGCTAGGCTCATGAGGAACAAGGAGACCAAGGAACTCGTTGCCATGAAATACATCGAACGAGGCCACAAGGTTTCTTTTTTTCTTTTTCTTTTTGAAGAAATTAAAATATAATTTAAGTATTTTTTTTCCTGTATGTTTTTCCTTTTCTCAATCTTCAGATTTGTTACTTTCACGTTTTGCATTTGGGATAATCAATGATGGACTTGTCAGGTTGGAGCTCTGATTTGTGAAAAGTGAAAATCTAGGAAAGGTGTTAACATGTTCATTTGTCCAATTTCGTTACACGTGATTAGAAGAAATGTTGGAGGGGATAGATGATACAATTATAAACTATTTTGTTTTTAGGTATGAAGCAGATCCTTCCCGGAGATAGTTGTCTGTGATTATTGATTAGAATTTAGGACTACAAAATTTATCACTTAGTCTTTCTTTTGAGTTAGCAAATCCAACTTATGGCTGGCTCATTTGCTCCATGTTGCTTGGATTCTTCTGTAAAGCCAAGAAGGCTAGATGGAAAGGCTTTATCCTTCTATTTTTTATATATGAAATTGAAATGCTATTATTGTTTTGGCATCTTCGATTTTAAGCTTTTCCTGTGTCTTCCATTTTCAGATTGATGAGAATGTGGCTCGCGAGATTATCAATCACAGGTCTCTTCGTCACCCCAATATAATTCGTTTCAAGGAGGCAAGGACTTTATTTGCTTACCTGGATCACTTTGTATTGAATACTCTATATAACTAATTATTTGATCTCATTTTAATGGGACTTTGATTTTGCAGGTGGTTTTGACCCCTACTCATTTAGCAATAGTAATGGAGTATGCAGCTGGAGGAGAGCTATTTGAGAGGATATGCAATGCTGGAAGGTTTAGTGAAGATGAGGTTGATCTTTGAATTATCTGGTTTATCTCACTCTTTTGGTTTTAGTGCCATTAATATTGTAGCCATATTTCACTTATTTTCTCCTTTGATTGTTCAGGCTAGATATTTCTTTCAACAGCTGATTTCTGGTGTCCATTACTGTCATGCCATGGTATAATCATGCTCAAGTTCTTGAAAAATTATTGGACTTAGTCAAAATTGTACGAAGTGAGAACCTATGCTTTTACTCTTCTTTTGCAGCAAATATGCCACAGGGATTTGAAGCTAGAAAATACCCTCTTAGATGGAAGTCCTGCACCCCGCTTGAAAATTTGTGACTTTGGCTATTCCAAGGTATTGGATTGAATAACATTTAGTTTCTATGTTCTAATAATATGTTCTTTAGCCTTTATATTTTTGAATGTTTGTTATTTGTGGTTTAGTCGTCTTTGCTTCATTCACGACCCAAATCAACTGTGGGAACTCCAGCTTATATAGCACCAGAAGTTCTTTCTAGGAGGGAGTATGATGGCAAGGTATATACTCTACATAGAATTGGTTCTTTATAATTCCCCAAATCTTTGTCCTCTAATCATGCTACCTGGAAAAAAAATCTTTTATAGTGTCTACTGTATAAAGGATTTGTACGCTTCTGAACCAATATACTAATGATTCTATTGATGTTGTATTCTAAAAATTGTTTTAGTTGGCTGATGTATGGTCATGTGGAGTGACGCTTTATGTCATGCTGGTTGGAGCATATCCCTTTGAGGATCAGGATGATCCTAGGAATTTTAGGAAAACAATTCAGGTATAATATCATCCTTTTTAAACTGATTTTTCATATTGTTTCGTGTTCTTATTCTCACCATCTTACCCCTATTTCCTGCCCTCTTCTGCAGCGTATAATGGCTGTCCAATACAAAATCCCTGATTATGTTCACATATCTCAAGACTGCAGACACCTCCTTTCTCGTATATTTGTAGCAAATCCATTAAGGGTATGTTATAACGTTCAAGTAACTTTTTCCCTGCTATTATTACAACTTGGAGTGACTGTCATGTCTGTTCTGATCATGCATTCATTTTTTGTATCATATTCTAGAAGTTCACTTGTATTAGTGTTCACTAGTCAATCCTTGCGGATCACTATGTCAATGATAAATAATCAAAAGAAATTTGCTGGTGAAAACCCTTTTGACTGACAGCTATACATAGCAAGAAAATTCCACACCCAATATTCATCATCTGGTACCATCTTATTTAGTTGGTTGGTAAGACTCAGAATTACTCTGTATACATAACATGAATTTGGTGTTCTTTTCTCTTTGTTGCACCACTTTCCATATTATCACCTTGCTCAGAGTTATGTCAGAGAACCAGGACATTACAAAATGAAGGCATCTATATTTTGATTAGAAACTAAGGTTGTCTTTTGAAATTTTGGTGCCATGTACCCACTGAAGAATAACTTTACAGGCTATTGGTTGTATATTTTCATACAAAAAATTGACAGAATTTTAGATTTTTACTTATATTCCATTCAGTCCTTATTAATCAAATTATTCATATGGTTTTTACATCGATATATGGCTCCCTATTTTGATGCAGCTAATGTTGTCTTCAGTTCATATTCCAATTTCTTTGATGCATACTCTAAGCAAAAGACAAGATTTCAAATATAAACATGGTGCTTTTGAAAATATACTTGACTACATTTGATATTAGGATTCAAGATCTTGTTTATATCAAGCTAATTTCCAGGCCTTGTTCTCTTTATTGTTTACAGAGAGTTACTCTTAAGGAAATCAAAAACCACCCTTGGTTTTTGAAGAATCTTCCAAGGGAGCTAACTGAATCAGCTCAAGCTGTCTATTACCAGAGAGGCAACCCAAGCTTTTCAGTTCAAAGTGTGGAGGAGATAATGAAAATTGTGGGAGAGGCAAGGGACCCTCCTCCAGTATCCAGGCCGGTCAAAGGTTTTGGCTGGGACGGTGAAGAAGATGAAGGAGAAGAAGATGTGGAAGAAGAGGAGGAGGAAGAAGATGAGTATGACAAGAGGGTCAAAGAGGTTCATGCAAGTGGAGAATTTCAAATCAGTTAAGCAGTATTATAATTCTTGTGTACTTGGTTATAGTATTTATTTTTCCCTAGAAGTCGCCTATTTATGTGTACTATAATTTATAATAACTACTATAAACCAGTGAGGCAGTCTAACTCTTGGCACTGTCCATGTAATGTACTACCTGTATCACCATGGAAGCCGTGTATGAGAACAGTAGTTGTTTGATAACTTATAAATTACCCGTCTCTTTTATAACCAGCATACTTAGGCTTAAAATGCTTACTATAGTAGATGAAAGAGTGGCCTCAGCTATGTATAACGCCTAAAGTTTTTGTATTCACTGGTTTTGGCGTGTGTGAATTCAATCATGACCATATGATACTATCTTAATAGATAATTAAGATTAAATAATCTTGACTATATGATTATACATAAAAGATGAAGATTATATTTGAATAAAATAAATCTTCTCCGTTTACATATATGGTTAAATGAGTAATATTAATTATTATCATTTTCTCACTGATATGTCTTGTTTGAATTTAGAATTACTTCCTTTATTTATTTTTATGTGTGCTTTTTAAAGAAAATTTGTCTTTATTTTTCTGTCATTTTAAAAGTACAAGACAATACTAATTACAATTTTTTAATTATATTTTTGTTTTCACCTAATTCTTTAATATTTTATACTCATATTTTGAGTGAGAAATAATAAGGGGTGCTAGAGAAATAAATGAGAAATAAATCAATAAGAGGATGACAGATAAGAGACCAAGGAAATAACAAAAGGGTAACAATAAATTTAATACAAATGAAGCTATGAATTGCATTTTTTCAAATCGGTGGCATTACTTTGAAAAACAAGTGGAATCAGAATATTAGAATGAAAATAAAGTCTTTATGGCTCTTTCTCGGACCGACACATAAAAATATATCAGTACGGCGATGATCCCGGCGTCCTCACAGTCACACACAATGCTAAATAAGTAAGGCGTAGGTGTTTTGACATACACACCAAGTAATGGATCACACGCAATGAATCTTTCATGTGTTTGCATTGCATAGAATCCTATGAATTGGAGGAACAAGTGAGGCAAGTGTGCATGTGGAACCGGTCCAAAACATGAGGTTGATGTATTATTATTACAGTTTAATAAAAACATAACTCGAGAATTGCATTGTAATACCATGAACTTCCAGTGTTGTTAAATTTTGTAACAAATCTCAACTACTGCCAAGAGTATTAGTCTAAAGACTTTAAATTTTTTTTAAAGATTGATACTGTTCAACATCAGTATCTCTGACGGTGGTTGCACTGTTCCAAATTGGAGGTCTATGAGAGGTATTTCTTTTAAAAAACCCTTTTATGGCTAAGTAAGATAATTTTGATAAAGTAACTATATGAGTGAGATAACCTATCTTTAGGAGGTTAATCTCTTCTATTTTTAGGCATGAGCGTCTCTTGAATAAGTAAAATTTCATTATTGTATAACATGTAAGTGTGGGGATTATTAAGACTATACTGTGCTGCTATAATCCATACTTAGCACAAAAGTTAAATGCACCACTTCAAGCTGATGCATGAGTACCAAGGGATAGTATGAGAACGAACTTTTGGTTTAAGTCAAGATATGACATGTGATATAAGTAAATGTTTGAAATGGAAGTGGCCTAACAATGTTTAATCCTTGCAGTTTTAGAGAAAATTATAATCTGCAATCTAGAAAAAAAAATTGAAAGTTTTGAAATTTTTTACAATTTTAACTTAAAGCAAATTTTTTAACTTAAGTAAAAATAACTTTTTTATTAAATTTTTTTAAACGAATTTTATTAACTTAAATAAAAATTATTTTTTATCAAATTTGTTTAAGCAAATTTTATTTTACTTAAAAATTTAGACTGTAAGTTGCTGTTTCATCCAAAACTGTAGAATATCCATATCTAAACAAATGATAATGTAATTTAAGATGAAATTTTTTTGACATATAATATCATGATTTAAAATATACTTAAAAAGATGGTCATTCCATTCAAGGCAAGCATTCAATTCAGATTGGAGTTGTTACAGTTGCGCAAAATCTTGTACCCCTTGAATCAGATGTATTTTATAAAAAGATTTTAATTAGATTTTTTTTTTCTAACCTTACTATTGATGACTCTTTAATAAAAGGGTTTTTTTTTTTTATTATTGTAAACTTTCTGAATTATGTATGCATTCCATCCAAGCTGGGACAAGATAAGGCCACAGGTTACATGGCAAGGAAGAGATAAAAAAAATGGAATTCAGACTCTGCTGTACTCGACAAATTGTTGTGTACCTTGCGATCCACAGAAAATAGGACAAATTAGTTTATACCTATAAGCATGGTAGCTTTAGGATTTATCCCTCAATCGGCACCCCGAGTATCTGAGTCACCCCATGTAGCAGCAATAGCACAAATCATGAGTTCATGATCGAACTTCCACGTAGAGTTTCTTGTTCATCTATTGTTCCAACGTATTTATTGCTAATACACTGTACAGTGTTTTTCAACAATCATAAGCGTTTTTGCATGCTTGATTACTTTAAGTTTAAAATAAGCTTTCAGTCCCACTTTTATTTGTAATATTTTAGTTAGAACTCTTTTTTAGTGAATATTTTACTTAAAAAGTGGTAACTCAAGTGAAAATTTTATTCTTATTATGAAAATTTACTTGTTATTGAAAACAAGTTAAATTTGCACGCATTTTATTATTAAAAATTACTTAATCTTATTTTATGTATTATATACCCCTGATTTGAAAATAATTCATTAAAAATATATATACCATATATCTCTGATGGGCGCAATGCACCAACCTTTAATTGGATAATTCAGAAATTCCCTTAAAATAAATGTCATTTATCAATTTTTTTATAAAATATTTAAAACAAATAGGGCCAAAAACCAGGTGAACCATCAAGGGAAAGAGTCAAGGTAACATTCAATTTTTTTGTCACATACATCTCTGTTTATTGATAAAGAAAGAAAGATAATGCTGAAGATGGTAGGCAGTAAAAAAATTGTGGGAGGTGAGATGATAATAAACAAAAAGGGGAAGAACAGGTGTGGATTTTTTTCAATCTCACCAGTCACTCTCAACCTCAAAGGTCCCTCTCTGCATTCAGATTTCAGATGCAAATGGCCTCTGAACATTTATAACATTTCCACCTTTGCATTAAAACCAGTCCAATTGGAAAATTTTTTAAAATAATAAAAATAAATAAGCAAAGGAGATTTTCATGGTCTTCATTCACAGTTCACCCTCTACTTAGTGGTAGTTTCTTCTCTTCCAATTTAGTAGGAATTTGGTAAAGCTTATTCCTTTTCCTAAATCTATTTCTGGGTTTGTTTTTTAAGCGTTGAATTTTGCTTCTAAGGGCTCAACTTGCATTTTTGCAGTAACAGAAAGGCGAGTAAAGGGTGAAGGTGCTGTTTTTTTTTTTTCCTTTCAATCAATCAAGCTATGAATTCTCCAATTCGTGCCCCTTCACCACCTTCCTCTTCTTCTTGCTCCTATAATCGTCCTCGTCCATGTCTCACTCATGCTTCTCGTAATTTCAAGTTTCCTCTGTAAGCTTTCCTTTTTCTCATGATTATTATTCTGTTTTGAAATTTTCAGTATCTAAGTTTCTCTCGGAACTCAACTGTATTTCTTATATCTCGTTGGGAGTTTAGTTGTGAGGGTTTGATGATGGAGTCATTTAACTGGAAACACCTTATACTAAGATATGAAGTAGTGTCCCTAGCTGTTATGAGATAGCTTTTCATATGTCGATCATGAAAGTAAATGTTGCTTTGTTATATAATGAGGGTTAAAAGTTGTTCTTTTAGGTTATGTTGCATTGCTTACAAGGTAATTGTAGTTTTTGTTACTAACTTCCAATTTTAGAATGAAATATTTCATTAGTGTTGAATAGTTGGTATTAGTGTAACTATTCCTTTAGTGTAAGTATTTATGTTTATAATTTCTTTCCCATTGAACATCCAGAGCCAACTTGTCTTGGGTTTCTAATTTGTGTTGGATGCTAAGATATGACTAATGACTTTCATTTGGTTGTTCAAAACATTTGATGTTTACCATTTCATTTTGATGCCAAACATACCTTTAGCTTTTTCCTCATGTTAAATTGTGTTTTTCTTGTATTTCAATTATTTTATGACTAAATGTTTGTAGAATTGTCCAATGCTTTTAATATTCTTTATTTTCATAGGGTGTTGCCGCAGTCAATCTGTACCTCTCAAAAGATGCATCGCTGCTCTGGAGGCCATGTGGAGGTTTCTGCTAATACTAATCCCTTGAAAAATAATGTAGTGGGCAGATGTACTCCAGGATGGTCTGAGCCACAACCCTTGTTTTCCAAGAAATTACTCAACCGGCAGTTGTTGCCCGTGGAAGCTTTAGTAACTCCAACAGTTCAAAATGTTTCTGATACACCTCTTCTTGGTGATGATAAGATTGGAGTGTTATTGTTGAACCTTGGAGGTCCAGAGACTCTAGAAGATGTGCAGCCATTTTTGTTTAACCTTTTTGCTGACCCAGTAATACTCTAGCTTTAACACACACTCATCTGAGCTAATTGTTTATATCATCACTATTCCTTTAGCTTGAGATAACCTATAACTTAATTTCTTAGTTTTGTTGGCTAGTTATAGTATATATACAATTTATGCTGGTTTATATGACAAACTTTGAGTTTCCTATTCTTTGATACTTAGTTGTTTTTTCTTTCAATTATGCAGGATATTATACGATTGCCAAGGTTATTTAGCTTTCTTCAAAAACCATTGGCCAAATTTGTATCTGTTTTAAGAGCACCAAAGAGCAAAGAAGGCTATGCTTCAATTGGTGGTGGATCTCCTCTTAGACGTATAACTGATGCACAGGCATGACCCTTCTATGCATTACTATATATATTTCACTTTCAATGTCTTAGTGCATTGGAAATTTCAAGTTATCATATATTGAATGCATGTAATTGATCTTTTATATACTGAATGCATGTCATTGATCTTTTATGAACAAGAGTGGTTCTGACCTCTTTATATATACCGAATGCATGCAATTGATCTATTTTTAAGTTTTAGAAAGTGAAAGAAAAGCTAATCTCCTTGAAGAAGCCATTGTCATTTGTATTGCTGTTCTTTCGAACAATCGAAGTTAGAAATGTTTTATGTAGCCAGAATTCAGAATTGCTGTTTCCATGGAAAATTTATAATTACCATATTGTAGAATTTCATATTGTCTTCTCATCTTTGATTTAATTAATCTTTTCCCAACCATTTCAAAACAATTCGAAGTTTTCACTAATCCATCGAGATTTTACAATTGAGTTCTTTCCACTCAATGCTTTCTTAATTTTAATGCTATGATATGGGATACATAACATACCCAGTCCTTTATATGCTTTGTTTTGTTTGTTTTTTACACTCTCATTGTTATGGCTTTTAATTACTCACTACACAGGCTGAAGAGTTGAGGAAATCTCTTTGGGCAAAGAATGTCCCAGCCAAAGTGTATGTTGGCATGCGTTACTGGCATCCATTCACTGAAGAGGCTATTGAACAGGTATTTGGTCGTCTTATTCTTAGATTACAATGTGAAATTGGATAGCATTTAATTAAGATTATGCCACTAATCGATACTTATTGTTACAATTTCAACAGGATGTTATCTGATGCTTTCTGATAAGTTGTTTATGAATGTACAAGAATATGCATTTTTCACTTGCATAGTCTGCATGAATGATGGCTTGCATGCTTTCACTGCCTTTTCTCCTTAGAAAGATATTTCTTGGCTGATACCTTTGTTAGAGATGATATATAAAACCATTCAAATCAAAGATATGCAAACTAACAGGTTATCCTATTGAATAAACTTTTTACTTTCAAACAGATTCATAACTTAATCTCCCTGTGTTTCAAAATCATTTGAGAAATGAACTTCTATTTGCCTGGTTTAAAGTAGGAATGCAAATGTGAAAACAGGTCAAGTTAGTAGTTTTTTTTAAACGGTCTTCTTAAGAAAATAAATTTTATTCAAAAGAAATTAGGAATACCCCAAAATGAAGTTTTATATTGAATGTAATGGAAAACTGGATTTACTCATTTTGGGGAGAGGATATAGGGAACAAGGTTGGATAAAATTCAAGATACTCTACATGGAGAGCTGATATTTGTCAAAGTAATTGATGTAGTTTGTCATTTGTCTGTTTGTGGTGTACTCTCAATCTGGTTATAATTAATTTTTCCTTTGAAATATAATATGCAGATTAAAAGGGATGGAATTACAAAGCTTGTTGTACTTCCACTTTATCCACAATTTTCAATTTCAACCAGTGGTTCAAGTCTGCGTCTCTTGGAGAGTATTTTCCGGTGATTACTATACAAATGTACTGTTATTGCATCATTATACTCCTATATATTATCTAACATCTTGTTTTGTTATGAATTATGTGTTGGTTCTTTAGAGAGGATGAGTATCTTGTCAACATGCAGCACACAGTAATTCCTTCGTGGTACCAACGTGAAGGATACATAAAGGCCATGGCAAATTTAATTGAAAAAGAGCTAAAAAGTTTTGACAACCCTGAGAAGGTACTGCATCATTTTTTGTTTGAATGACTTGGACAAAACTGTGGTTCCTGGACATTTTTATCTTATTACTTTATTCTTCTACTCAAATGTTGACAGCATAATTTTTATAGGCAGCATATCAGTTATTTCTGGTTTAGGATAATTGAATCATGACAGTAATAGTAAATTTACTTGATTTTATTTAACTCAGAGTATCCGGGACTGGGAAAATATTAAATGGCTTTATTTATGCTTCTTTTCTTTTTATATATATTTTTCTATTAATAGGTTTGGTTATTCTGCATAATCATTTTTTGGCATTGCTATAGCTGATGAAAATTTTCCTGAACTTAAGTTTCCCTTGGCCTTGAGCTCGGGAGTCACTTCATTGTAAATATTTGTTGTTAGCCTTAGTAATTGATGCAAGTTTCAGGTCATGATATTTTTTAGTGCACATGGGGTGCCTCTTGCTTATGTGGAAGAGGCTGGTGATCCATACAAGGCAGAGATGGAGGAATGCGTGGATTTGATCATGGAAGAACTTGAAAAAAGAAAGATAACTAATGGATACACCCTAGCTTATCAGGTAACTGATTTTTTTGTCTTTAATTCATTACCCTGCTTTTCTGTTTTCCAAGTATTAGTACATGGTATTAACCTATTCCTTGAAAAAAAAAATGAGGCTTATCAAAGTATATGGTACAAGGTACACCGCGAGGGGAACTCCAACAGCTTTCCAAATGTAAACATTCCTATCAAGGATGATGGGAATTTTTCAGCACAAGAAAGTCAAACATCTAGACTTTAGAGTGAGATTTCTGTCTAAATTATGAGTAAAGTTTATACCAGATGGCACAGCCCTCACCAAAGTCATAACTGGAATCACTCTTCAAAATTGAATAATCAACTAAGCAATAATATTCTGAACAGTTTGTGTGATTCACCTATCATTACAAAAAGATCTTTGCACAAAATATACCTCTTTGATAAAAGATCTCCTGAAATTCGGCAAAGACTACTCAACCAAATGTCTTGCTGAAGATTAGATTACTGATCTAGGTTAATAGATGCTTCAGGTTACTTGTCTCTCCACAATTAATCTATGCCAATCTCTTCCTACAGCCAAACCTGGCTACTGTTCATGGATGTATCCTTTTTTGAATTTATAATAACAGTTGGTTTAATTCTTGTTACAGAGTAGAGTTGGACCTGTGGAATGGTTAAAACCCTATACAGACGAGACAATAGTTGAACTTGGGAAAAAGGGAGTAAAAAGTCTACTGGCTGTACCAATTAGGTGACGTCACCCAGCTTTATTTATATGGTTTATTATATTAATACTATCTATATACTTACTGTCTTTTTCTTTTTCCTTTCACTCTGTCTGATAATATGCATAAGAATAAGTGACACTAGTATTTTGTTAATATATGCTTGATTCACAGCTTTGTCAGTGAGCATATTGAAACTCTAGAAGAAATTGATGTTGAGTATAAAGAATTGGCTCTAAAATCTGGTATAGAAAAATGGGGTCGTGTTCCTGCTCTAGGATGCGAACCCACCTTCATTTCAGATTTGGCAGATGCTGTAATTGAGAGTCTCCCGTATGTTGGTGCCATGGCGGTTTCAAATCTTGAAGCTCGACAGGTACCATCATATTTAGAATTTTATAATCATGCAAGAATGTTTTATTCAATGTTTTCTGTTGAGTTGTCATAGAAACACCATCTGTTTCAGCAAACTTTTGGTTTAAATTACTGTATTTTGTAGTCTTGTACTTCTATTGTGTGATCTAATAGAAATTTTTGGCTCTTTGGCAGTCTTTGGTTCCCCTGGGCAGTGTGGAAGAGTTATTAGCAGTATATGACACACAACGTAGGGAGTTGCCGCCACCAGTAATTGTGTGGGAATGGGGATGGACAAAAAGTGCTGAAACTTGGAATGGAAGAGCAGCCATGCTTGCTGTGCTGCTTCTGTTGTTTTTAGAAGTCACCACTGGTGAGGGATTTCTGCATCAGTGGGGAATATTGCCCTTGTTTAGGTGAATGAGTCCTCATCTGCACTTCATGGCAATGGAATATAGTTTTGCTTGTATATGTATACCATTAGCATCACATAATATACCCCTTAAAAAATAAGGCATGCACTCAGGAGTCTTCAAATCTAGTTTAGACATAGCATTCCTGGATGGAAACAAGAGAAAGATAATGTATAGTGATTTGGTTTGTAGACTACGCAGGGTACCTCTTGTATGTATCTAAAGCATTTTTACTTGGCTTCCATGACTCTTGATACCTACTTGATTGTTGTAGCTGAAATAAAAAGCAGTTATTGACATAACAAATTCCTTGTGAACTTGTGAGAGACTTTGTCATTTGAACTGTTTTGTTGACGAAAAAAAACAGAAGAGGTTTTGAAAAGGGTGCAGAAATTCTTGTGTATTTTGTTTGCTTCCCGGGTATTTTGTCAACCATAAGAATATACTGATTTTGGTTGGTTTAAGATTATTCCGGTTACATGTTTAGTCTTATTTCTAATGATCAATTGCACCCTTAAGTATGCATGTAAGCATGTGTTGTGGTTTGTGGAAGCAGAATGTATGAAAATGTGGTTACCTCGATCTAATGGATTAGCATCTTTTATAGTAGTAATAATAATATAACAATAATTTGTCTACAATACTTTATATAATAGATTAACGATTATTTCTTGTATAGACATATATGATTATGACATTGGTTTGGTTCAGAGTTTAGGCTTATTTTGTATTTGATATTTATTCCCTTTTTATGTTATATAACTTTTTTTATTCTTTTAAATACCAAGTCAAAAAAATTATTTTTCAAAAAATACGGATTAATAAGAAATTTTTTTAAAAAACAACATAAACCAATAATCTGCATGAATGGGTGGCTTGCATGCATTCACTGCCTCAGAGTTTGAATCGTGAAAACTCACTATCAATTTTATTTTTTTAAGAAAATACTAAATCCAATCCATACACACTACAATAGATCACGCACTCTGAAGCAAACGCAATACAAAAGATCTCTATGAAAAAATAGAAAAACAAAAATAGTTACAATCATGTTACAGTAGGTGTAGGAAAAGAGAAGGAAATATATAGTTAGCTTAGTTCCCTGAAAATTAGAACAGCAGCAGCATTATGACACCAGCACATGGAACCTACAAAACCTCATAAACAACTCCTCAATTACATGCATTTGTCAAACCAAAGCAGTCTTATAATCCCCCTCCCATCCTCTCACCCCAACACACAAAAAAGGACTATATCAGAAATCAAGTTCAATTCCCAACAGCAAAGTAGGAAAACTGAAAAAAAAAAGGGTTAAAAAGAAGTGTTTAGAAATCAATCACTAAAATCAAAGCTTCCACTATGAGAGCTGCTACCGTTGTGACTATGCAACGAGAGGCCTCTCAAGTGGCCAGCCAAAGTAGCACCATCTTTCTTATTCTCCTGAAAATATCTCTCCCTCTCAACGTGCTTTGCAGGTGGCGGCGGAATTGCCACATGATGAAGCTCCCCGTTCTGTTTTGCACTTGGCAGAGGAATCACTGCTGGTGCAGAACGAGTATTAGCTTCCCGAGATGGCTCCAACGAGAGTGGTCTTATCAGCGGACGGTTGAGTCTCTCTTCAAGCAAACCCAAGTGAGGGAACTCAGCTTCATCATCTTCAGGCCTTGCACAAGCCTTTCCTTTACGTAATCTGCCAGCCATTAGTCATACAAAGTTGAATGAATATATTCAAAATCCAGTTTTTTTATACTTCATTGAAAAGTTACTCACATTGACACAAGATTCCTAGTATTCAAAATATCTTTCATTTTATTTCACTATCTATTGGATAAAATAAACAAAACTATTATGACGTGTAGTCAATTTCTTGATGTAACTTGAGTTCTTATTAGTTTGTTATGACATTTATGGTGGTTACTACAGTGATCGTGTATATAAACCTTACTGTATTCTGAATCAGAACAGATAATCCCATTCTTCTGTTCTCTCATGCTTTAGTTCTCTCTTAACCAAAACCAAAAGGAAATAAATATTCAAGATATAGTGTCATCCTTCACAAAAAGGGAATAAATTAAGTTTGATGAATAATAGGCACGGTACCTCCGGAATAACTGTTCAGCTTCTTCTTCCTCCTCTGCTTGGTCACAGTCTAAGTGATTAGCGATTGTTGTGGCTCTGCCCGAAAGAAGGCAATCGTGTCTTGCAAGAACTTTCTGAAGTTGCTCGTTCAATTCAATTGCTTGAGAAACTATCCTCTCATCTCTAAAAACCACCAAAGAAAAAGAAGTTGAAGGTACAAATTAACCATAGAATAAATGCATGCATGTACAAAATTCAAATATTTGAATATCCAGGAATTTTAGTCTTTTTAAAATATTTGCAGTTCAAGAACAAACAACCCCCCAAATAATTAATTAGATTCAATAATGCCATTTATTGACTTGATTGCTTTCTACAATAAATTCCCAATATTTTTTTTTCATAAATTTTCCTAAATTAATATATCAATTTTCCAATATATCATATAGGCTTAATTAAGTTTTTGGTTGCTCAAAAATGTGCAATTTTCTCATTTGGTCTCTCTCTCTCTTAAAATGAGTACCTAAAAATAATGTTTCTTACCAAAAAGCCTCTTCTATTTTTTCTTTTTCCTTATTTGATTCCTCTAAATATCATGAGTTTCCCACTTGGTCCTTGTAGAAAGAGAGACCAAACTGGAAATACATGATATGTAGAGGGACCCAAAAAGGATAGCTCAACATTAAAAGTCTTCGGGTGGCTGTTGTAAAAAGGGCAGAGAGGCTTTCCTTCTTGAATTGATTTTCTTTCATTCCCAGTTATTATACATTCTGCATATCCCTTTGTAATCAAAGCACTGTTCTCTGAGTATTTTTCTCAATTATTACACAGTAAAATTCAGTTCCTATGATGTATACTTCTAGCAGAAAAGAGAAATTTAAAGCAGCCTTACCGAGAAGCCATCACAAGATGCATTACCCTTTGCTTCTGAAATGAACATTGTTCAACAAGGTCAAGGGTGAATTCATCTCTTGCCGCCTAAAAATGGAAAAACATAGTTTCAGCAAAAGGTGGAACGTGATTATTTACATAAGTACATATCAGAGTATTTCATTCACAAGATAAAATAAATTTAACAAACATCTTAGCCATTCATGAAATTCCATCCCGCTGACAGCATACTACAGTTTTTAATCTGTTGTACAATCTTGAAAAAGTTCTAATGTTTCCATACTATCTCCTTTTTGAAATCATCAAGCAATATCTTGAGCATCTCAACCTCAGTCCTTGTTGTCAATAAGTAGAACAAATTTGAAAGACCTATTACTTTAATTGAAGACTGAAGAAGCATCAATGAATGTGACATTCTGATTTCAGGATGACAGGTCCTTGGCTCACCTGAGGATTATGGACATCAACAGCATCAAGGACTTCTTTTAAAACTTCTAATGCATTGCTAGCCTTTTGAATAATGCTGCAGAACATAATTGTCGAATAAGATATGTGCTTAGCTAGATAAAAAAGATGACAAGAACAAATATTTTTAGAATGATATTTCTCCACCAGCTCAGTGGAGAGGTCTCCAGATCAAGAATCATCCACATTTCTGAATTTATAAAAAAAAGGGAACTGCAGAAAAGTATCTGATAAAAAATAGATTTTCAAATTTATCTTTTTCATTTGACAAAAATACTATTGTATTTGGATTTGGACAAATCCTATCAAAGTTTCAATCCCAAAATAATAATAATGACGATGATGATGAATCCTCTTAAATATATCGAGACTATCCAGTCAGAACAGGATTACTAAAGATCCTGTCCAGCACAAATATAATAAAATTGAGAAGAAGAAGTCACCTAGACTCAGGAACAGTCCGGGACTCTGACTGCTGAGGAACCCCTTCATGTCTAGGTGGGGCCTGCTCCCTGTTAGGTACATTGTTAGTCCTATTAGGTTGTGAATGAGGACGATTTGATTGTACCACTTGAGGCCTTTGAGGAAATTGCACCCCAGCACTCTGTAACAAAGTAAAACATAACTTAGCTTTCACATTCAGATGACAGGTAATAAACCAGTATTGACATAAAAACTGTTTACATATGATCCTTGTATCATATACAAAGGGAATGGGAAATCCATGGCTGTCTATAATGCAGGTAGAAAACGTTAGAAAAGAGAAGTTTATTAGCATAAATAGAGACTCTATCTGATACCCTGCATATTTGCAGGCCAATCACAGTCTCTAAGGTTAAAATACCACCATTTGCTGCAAACAGAACTGACTTGGGATCATTTGTCTCGCTTAGCATAAGCTTCCTGTATAATCATTACAAGTACATTCCATAAACCCATAACAGAAATTACAGTATGACTTGTTTACCCGAATTTACCTTGTGGTTAGCACCAACTATCCTCTTCAAATATGAACCAAAATAGGGTGAGCTGTATTAGCTTCTAACCCAATTTATATAGTATGTATTTTAAAAATCATCACATTTAATTACTTCAGTTCTTTCTTACTTTGCTAAGAGAATAGTCCATCTGTCTCTTATTAATGAAATAATCTAGATCAGAATCATAAGAAAATCCCAGGGTTGTAGTTCATATATCTATATATCTATACCTACCACCAAATCATAATATGCATTATAATACTGTGGAAACTTTCCAGAAGCACCACCAAGGGATGTTTGTGTGGCATCTAGTAGGAGAAATATCCGCTCCCTTACTGGCAAATCTGACTGAAAGCAAAGGAAAAAAACACAGAAAAAAATTAAGGAAAAATTAACATTGCTAAAGGACAATAGGGTATGTGGAGAAAAATTTACCTTTTTCTTCACAATTTTCACAAGAATAGGAATAATTCCTGTATCAATCACCTGCTGATGAATATGATTCCCAATATTGTTCATCAACATTTCCAGCAACTAGTAAATCAACAGATGACATATGAGTTAGCACTAAGTACAGTAAACCAAGCAATATACATATTTATACCAAACTGAGTATTGGTAAAACAATTCTGAAAGATCACATGAAAAATTAGAAATAAACAAATTCATAATGCATTATACTCACCGTGACTGCAAAAAGTTGAGCATTAGGGTTCTTGTTACCCAGTCTCTTTTTTATAGCCTTAACAACATCTCTAGCTCGCCTGAATATGCCGAGAAAACATGATGGTTACAACAGCAACATTGCTTGGAACTTAAGGATTATTCTGACACATTAATGACTCCATAATCACGTGACAGGCCAGGGCCAGCCAGCTTTTGACATCATAATTGGCATGACATAAAATTGGCATCACAAATACAGAATGCAGTTAAATCAAATTTGGCATGAAGCAAAGTATTATCATTCATGAGGATTTCTGATACATGACTAGCCAATAGAGCACAATTCAAGTAGTAATAGTAGTAGTGATGAGATATGTGTGGAGATCGATTTGAATCCCGAATAAAAAAAGGAATACATACTTACAAAGTGACACGAAAAATCTAAATGATAAGAATTATATATGAATAAATAAATGAGGTTAATTTCATCATGTTTTAGGGCATTGATCAGTTATCAATACAAAAGACAACACCATATAAGGAAAAGAAAGCTTTGTGAGGTACCTTTGATCATGGGCAACTAATTCACAGATTTCAATATTTTTCATCCAATCAGTTTCAGCCAATTTCTCACTTGTTGCAGCATTGACTAGCTCAGCTGCCATCTTTATCTACATTAAAATATAAAAATTAAAAGATATTTCAAACAAAGAAGCAAACATTGAACACCGAGTTAAATATCAAATAAAATTAAATTAGGACTTGGTTTGAATAAACTTCTAAATAAGTACTTATAGAAGAAGAAAATTAATATGAAAAATACATAAAATTTCTCTCAGAACTTAAAAAAGCAACTTGTATTCTTCAAATTTTAGAAAAGATAAATAAAAAAGCTTTTAAAAAAAAATAAGCATAAGTTAACTTATAGGACAAGTTTGATTCATTTTACTACTTTGTTTTGTATTCCGATAAATAATTATTATTGAAAAGTTTATCCAAATTAAGTCTAGGTTTTATAAACAAACGGAGTGATAGTCTGCTTTCTCCCTCTCTCTCTCTCTCTCTCTCTTTCTCTCTCTCTCTCTCTCTCTCTCTCTCACACACACACACACAAATAATAATCAATCTAAATTGAATACCAAACTGATAATAAACGTTTGTGCCCTTTAATGAATAGAACTATAGAATATAGTATAGTATAAACTAAAACTTGGGTTTCATATTGGTATTGACTGTTAACCATTATATATAATTTCTTTAGGAAAGCGGAAGGTAATTGATACACAACATACAAAAAAGTTGCTATCACAAACTCGTAATTTGTCCTATATAAATCATCTTCCACCATAGACAATTAAGTCGACCTCATAAAGAGATGAAACTCACCTGATGTAGCAGAAACAAAAGGGTAGGGCTGAACTAAATGCGGTGTCTTAACTCTTACAGCAGCAACCAAAATCTGAACTCCTTGTATGTCATGAACGACCTACAACAAGATTTTTTTTTTTTTCAGTCGAGATAATTCAACACTTCACTCAATTCCAATGTCACTTAAAAGAAATGGAACTGAGGAAAATGGGCAAAAATTATAATATTTACACATACCCATAAGCCAAATGATCAGATCTTAATTAGGACACACCAAAAGCGTAATTGGAATTGAAAAAAAAATGAAACCTTGAAAAATCAAACTTGTGCTTATAATATGTGAGCATGGTAGCACACACTCAATGAACTGAAAATTACAAAAACTTAACAATCATAAATAAAAATAAAAAAATCTATATTTACCTGGAAAGATGGATAGAAAGACAAAGATCACGAGGAAGAAACCGACGATGCAGTGATAAACCTCATAGAGTTTCAGCATTTCAATTGCAACCCAAAACCAAAGATCAATCTTGTTGCTGCTTTTTTCTTTCCCAAAGTGCTTTTCTTTTTCGCTAACTTTAAAGTTGGAAGCTTTTTAGCATATGACGATGAAATAGTTAATTGGGCGACTAAGTACTTTAAAGTTGTGACAAATTGTCAGCTTAAACAGGTCTTCACAGTCAGAGAAAGAGAGAGAGAAGATATGAATGTGTGATTTATAAAGAAATGAAATTGAGAATGGTGAGAGAAGAAGGAATGAAATCTAAGGTTGGGTTTGGGCGTTTGTTGTTGTTAAGGTAATTGAAGAAAGTGAATCACCGTCATGAGAATGAGACCTGTCACTGTCCCTACTCTCCCAAAGCTAAAGCTTCTTTTCCAAGGATATGTTGCATTTTGCTAACTTCACCTTCCACCCTTTTAGTTGTCTGTGCTTTAATTGGAAATTAATTAGGAATGATGTACTCATTTTTCTTATTGTTATAATGCATAAATACAGATATTTTCTTTTATATTAATTATTCAAAATTACAAAAAAATCCAAAGTGTGTTTAAAGATTGTAATACAAATTTATATATAATAAATTTTATTAAATAAACTATCACAAAAGTTAATAAATTAATTATATTAAATGATTTTTTAATATGATATTTAAAAATAATATACTAAAATATAACATTTAAAAACATACCAAAAATATGAAAATTTTAAAATATAATATTAGTTAATTGATTAAAATTCAGAAATTGTCGATGAAATTTTTAAAATTAATTTATTTATTAAAAAGTAAAGATATCTGTATCTTCTGGAAACAGTATGCCCAAGATTTAATCTATTGATTATATTAAATGTTTTGCAATAAATTTTTTTTAAAATTAATCCATTACAGTGCAGCTACATTGTCGAATCATGTATAATAGTGTTTAATAACTATGTTTTACATTTTATAGCTGCATCTACAGTCAGATCATTAAAACAATTAACGTAACAACTTTTTTAAAAGTTATTTAAATGGTGTATTGATAAATCTTGGTGTAAAATTAAGCATTTAATATTATAGCTATTTTCTAAAAACAATCTTAACCAAAAAAAAATAATTTAAGTTCATATATAAATGAAATAGAAAAAGAATCTGTTTATATATTTATTATCATCATTGCACACTGTTGACAAAAAAAATTGCATAATAACATAAAATATAATTAGAGAATTTAATTTTAATTTAATATCAGTATAAAAATGTTTATATTGTCAACTAAATAAAAATATCTTAGATATAATTTTCAAAATAGTCATCGTAAAATTTAATAAACTTTAATAATATGATAATTTATAATTAAAAATAAAAAATTATATACCATCAATATATTCTAATTAAATTATAACTTATTATTCTAGCATTTAGATGATAATTTAAAAACTTTACAATGACATTAATGAACAAATTATTATGCTGTGTCGATATTCCATAAATGTCAGAATATCACTTTGATTGCCCTTTCTTACAGATGATTTTCTTATCGCAAACTCAAGTTTTTGACACTGCAGCAACATTATTCAATCATGTTAATATATTTTATAAATTATCCATAAAAAAATATAAAATTTATCAAAATAAGATAGTTTGTGCCATGCAGCTGTCCTATATCTACAAAACATTTTTTTATTTTGTGATAAAATATACTATTCATTGTAAAATATTATTAATCTTAATTAATATGCATAATTTTTGTGTCAATAAATAGTATAAAATTTAAGTGATATATTATTTGTTGGAATATATATTTATGTGAATGTTATTATTTGTATCAATATATGGTTTTTAATTATAACTACTAACATTACTAGTGTGTATGAAATTTTGAATAAAAACATATCTTTTGATTCTTTAACTTAGATAACTGTAAGCAAGACTCTTTTGTAAAAGAAAAAAAATTAATACGAGCTAATTTTAAATAATTGAAAATAAAAAAATTACATAAAATATAATAAATACTTTTTAAAAATTTATAATAATATTTTACAAAAAGGGAAAAAGAGGATAAAGCAGTGTCATGGAATGTGAGTTGTCCCCACGGACACGTTATCGAATCAGAAAAGAGACATAAAATAGGGTGGTTCAGCTCACACGTGTCAACTATGGTCAATTATCATCTGACACTGACTTTTGTTGTCGTTGGTACACGTGTGAGGCATGGCCCACTCGTCGTTTCTATGCTGACCCATTCTGTTGATGCCAACACCTTGCAGCATCCATCCATTTGACTCCCAACTAATCTACAGATTTTTTTAATTTTTTAACAATTTAATAAAAAATTGAAAATATTAACCACATTAAAAAAATTGAACGTAATCAAAACTATAATTAAAACAGGAAAAACATAAAAGAGAAATGTACTAACAACTCATATCAATAATTTATATAAAAATATCAATGAAGTTATGTATTGAAATAAATAAATAAATAAATTTTAATCTATTAAACAATAGTTTCTTATTTATATATCAAATAAGAGTTCCTTAAAAACTAAAACAAAAAAAATATGAAAAATATTTATTTATTAAGGTTATAAAATACAACAAGTATTTTTTTAATAAAATTTTACTACTATTAACGGTTTATCTTTAATTTTAAGAATTGAGATTAATAGTTTTTATCAAATCATTATATAAAATAATAATTATATCTTTTTTACCAAGGTTTGAGAAAAGATATTCCTCCATAACTTGATATAAGATATTGATATCTCATATGAAACAAACCTTTTTTAATCGATGCCGTGGTTGATTTGTAGGTTACAAATAAAGGGCATATTGAAGTTGAGCTTGTATTGTAGTGCATTTGAGACAACATTCCTAGCTGGAATGTATCCCTTAGACCTCATCAAGGTGGTGGGTGCCAACCTTAGGAGTTGTGCATTATGCAATTTAGGTAATGGTCCCTTAAGGAAGTATATAGCTATCATGTCCCCTTAAATTGAGTGTTGAGTTTAGTTGTGTGTTGCTTCAAGAGTGAAGGGTTGTTTTCTAAAATTGTCTTACCACAAGATTAGAAGTTGAGTCTTTGTTCAAGCATTGTCTTGTACACCAAATTTCACTTGCATTAATGGGGCATTGTTTTTTAGCCAAGATGTATTCCATAGACTGTTTCATGCCAAATTGAAAAACTAGTCTCACGAATAGAGCATAAAAACTAGTCTCACGAATACAGCATTATTAGTTTTACATAATTTGAAATTTTGGTTTCTTGAAGGACATGTATCCCTCAAACATCATCAAGCTAGTGACTAGCCAAGTATGAGGGTAGTGCTTAAATGGTTTAGCACATTCGATATTACAGGATGTCATGTACAAGTTTCTCTCGAACAACCCTAAATTGACTGAGCCCAACTTTATGAACAATGCATTTACGAACAGATATGTTGGACCTTACCAAGTGAACAAAATGCTAGACTTATGAACAATGCGTGTTACCATGTTAATATGTTATGGGTTTTGTTTCAATGCTTATGCTATAAAACCACTTATCATATCTCCTGAAAAAACTTCAAATAACAAAAGAGAAAAGGTTAATTAAATCACAAATTTTGTAAATACAAAAATATGACATGATTCTGATCTAAAACAAAAATAGCTACAAATGTTGATACGTGATTGTGAGAAACTAAATTAAAAAATAACACATTTGAGAAAGATTAAACTATGTTTTTTCTTTATGTTTTATTTTGTATATAAAATGATTGTTTTATACTCAGTTTGGACGTGAAATACAGAAATATATAATAAAAAATAAAATGCATAATAAATAATATAATAAAAATAGATAAGTAAACATAAGAATTATTTCGTATATAATTCAAACGTTATTTTAGAATGGATATTTATACATGTTTAGTGAGTATTTTTTATCATCAACTTTTTAAATATATATCTAAAAATACACAAGTAGTAATATTTTATTATACAAAATATAATTTAGTGCACTAATATATTAAATTATATATATATATATATATATATATATATATATAAACTGTTTTATTATATAATAATGTCAGATGTGAGGCGTCATATGTCTTATCCGAACAAGGCAAGTAGGTCTTATCCAAAAGGTTAATCTTAAATAATTTATCAACAAGTTGCATATCCGTGGAATTATTTAACGTAAAAAGTCAAATGTTTCCTTTTCAAAAGCAATTTGTAACAACAAAAAAATAGAAATTTGAATTTAATAATAAGAAGAAAACCGGGGATTGGTTTGAAAATTTGGTCTTTGAATATGCTCATATAAATCTAGTTAATTTTATTTTAAAAAATAATTATTTCATTTTATTATTTTGAAATAACTTTTTTTAAAATTTAATTTTAACCAAATATAAAGTATTTTTATATTAAAATAATAATAAAATTATTAAAATATGATGTTTTGAAAAAAATAAAAAATTAGAGATTTTTTCAAGAATTGTCACTAGAAAGTCCAGAAGAATATTTTGGAATGATTTTTTAGTCTCATATTTTTATAAGTTTTTAAAAAATATTATATTTCGGTATATATATTTTCAAATCTCATATATAAACAATTATTTTCCAAATATATCTAACATATTTAATATTTTAATTATTTAAATTACTAAAAATTGCCAATATGTAATTTTTATTTTTGTTATTTATATTAGCATACTTTAAAATATATAAATAAATACATAAAAGTATCTTGGAATGTTTAACAAACATTTTCGTATCCTAAGAGAAGAAAGAGAGACGATTTATATGAGTAGAAAATAAAACTAAAAGAGATCATAATAATAATGTTTATAAGTTTGTGTTTTTTTTTTAATAAATAAAATTATATAATAAGGAGTTCATCTAGTGGTGGCAGTCCAAGTAAAGCAGCTAGCCGAATCTTTTAAAATAGATTGGATAGGATATTCCATTAATTCATCTCAAACCAAATGGGTTTGATTGGATTGAGTTTTGAAGTGATAAATTCCAAGTTTATCACCTTTTTCTAAAATTAATGTTTTTAATTGTTGAAACATTTTTATGTCCTGTAGCTTCTTTGAAACTACATTTTATTATAATTATTAATGATATTAACACATTAAAGATATTATCACTAAAAAAATCTTAAATATTAAAATAAATTTATCTATTTAAATAATTATCTTTCTAATAATCAAAGGACAAATTTAACATTTTACTATGTTAAATTTTTTTACAATTGAGAGATTCTTGTTCACATTGGAATAAATATGAATGTGAATAATTAAACATAAATTTAAAGACATATTTAGCAGATAGACCAGAATCAATTCAAAATTTGTAAAAGAAAATACAAAAATTTGTAAAAGAAAAATAAATTTCCTTCATTTAATTTATTTTTAAGATTGTTTTAAAAAAATATTTCGTAAGCATTTTTCATTAAAAAATTATATTTATTAGAATTCAAATACGAGTCTACAAGCTAAACTTGAAGAATTTTTGTAGTTAATCCATACTCTTTAGTATATTTATGATACTTTTATGTAATTAAAGTGATAAATATATTTTAACAAAAAAAATATTATTTTTAAATACATGAATACTGTGGTTAACAAAGTCAAAGTTTTATCTACTTTAAATTTAAAATTTTACAAAATTATGAATTTTTAATTCAATGATAAAAGACTAAAATTACACAATTTTTTTTATCAAATATAAATATTTCAGAATAAAATTTTTTGTTGTAAAAGTAAAAAGTAAAAATTATTATTTTTAAAAATATACGTTATTATACAAATAGGCAAGGGAATTGGCACTTGGGGGAGGTTGATGTAATATTTTAAGGCTGATTACACGGCACGATGACATGTAAAATTTGGATCTCTATCTACCTTGCTTGAGGTTTGGTGTTTCATATTGTAATTCATACGTAATAATCACAAATCAATCTTCATCGTCAACATACTTAGTTCTCGTAGGCTGTCGTGATCCATTCCACACCCCATCACATCAAATTCTCAGAATGGCCTCTGCTATAGTTCGCAGAAGCATCAGCCACTACTCCGCCAAGCTCCCTTTTGCTTCTTCTTGGTGTTTCAATCACCACCTTCTCTCTTCTCATTCCTCAATCCATATCCATAACCCTCTCTCTCAACAACATGTTCATGTTGTTTCCTCTTTTCATAGCGAAGCTGTTGGTGGTGGTGGACTTCCATCTTATATGCGTGGAGCTGTGTTCTGGGAAGCCAATAAGCCTCTCACCATCGAGGAATTCCAAATGCCTCGCCCCAAGGCCGGTGAAGTTCTCATCAAAACCAAAGGTATTTGATACCCCTTTAATTCTTCTGCATCCCCAACATTAATGGGAACAAGGGTCTTCCCCAAGATTCTTTTTTTTTTTTTTTAATTCCCCAAGATATGATTCTGATTTTGTGCTCTGGACAAGTCAACTGAGAAATGAAAAGAAGCAAAAAGAGAGAGAAAGAAACCTGCAATGCAAGTGGACAAGTTTTAAGATAGTAACCATTCTGAGTGATTATTTGGTCTTTGAATGTAATTAGCACGCTTCATAGTTTGAAAAAGTGTTAGGGTGTAATTTACTCACTATTCGGTCTAATTTGTCTGTTGTTATCGTTGTGATGTAGCCTGTGGAGTATGCCACTCTGATCTGCATGTTATGAAAGGTGAACTTCCATTTTCCAGTCCTTGTGTTGTGGGGCATGAGATTACTGGTGAAGTTGTTGAACACGGACCACTCTCTGATGCCAAAATCATAGAAAGGTGAAAGTTTTTGGAAATACAAAACTCTTTTACTGCTACATTTTTTAGTGGAACTGTTCTAGTCTGTTTACATGTGATGAAAATATGACTATTCTCGATAACAATGAAAAAGGAATGACAGTTATGCATCTCCATGTTTCAGGCTTCCAATTGGATCTCGAGTTGTGGGGGCCTTCATCATGCCTTGTGGCAACTGCTCCTACTGTTCCAAGGTAATATTGTAACTGATATTCCACTCTACATGTCACATGAATTCTGTTCATCCTTGATTTTGTTTCCTTATGGTACACAGGGCCATGATGATCTATGTGAGGCTTTCTTTGCCTATAACCGGGCCCAAGGAACCCTCTATGATGGTGAAACTCGACTCTTTCTTCGAAGCAATGGTTAGTATGATTTACCTATTATTTCAAACCTAACTATGATTATTGCTATTTTTTCTCCAGTTATGCATATAATTCCCATTTTTTTTCTACTATGGTATTTTATATTCAGCTGGGACAGATTTCAATGTTCTTCAAGTGTATTTATCCCTACTTGTTAAATCATTCATAAGTGGAACACTGACCGCTGTTTGCAATTTATAGGAAAACCAGTATTCATGTATAGTATGGGAGGGCTTGCTGAATACTGTGTTGTGCCAGCAAATGCATTGTCTGTATTACCTGCCTCTATGCCATACACCGAATCTGCAATTCTTGGATGTGCCGTTTTTACTGCTTATGGTGCTATGGCTCATGCGGCTAAAGTACGTCCTGGTGATTCTGTAGCTGTTATTGGAACTGGGGGTGTTGGTTCTAGGTAAATAAATCAAATTTTAAAAGATTTTTATGCTGTTAAATCTTCAATTAGCTGTGCCTACTGCCTTTTGCTGTTTTTGTTGCCTTGAATTAGCTTGCATGCTGTTGCACGTTGTAGTTGTCTTCAAATGATCTTAAGAACTCAATAAGAAAAAACAGAGTTTTTGTTTGTGGTACAGTATATTTTACTTTTCAGCCATATGATCATGCCTTATTGTTTGGAAATTTTAATAACCATTTTATTTACATTTATTATTACCATATGGCGAAGATTACTTTTGAATTGTTGAAAATTTACTGGGAACTATGCACTTAAGCGTCTGATATTATACAAAACTGAATATGTGCTAGCCACTTGGGAATTAGTAGATTTCCTTTGTTGACCATTTAGAAGAGCAAGTGGCTCTAATCAAATTGTTTTTCCTCTGAACTTTATCACCCATTCCAGTTGTTTGCAGATAGCTAGAGCATTTGGTGCCTCAGATATAATTGCTGTGGATGTTCAGGATAAAAAACTACAGAAAGCTAAGACATTTGGTGCTACTCACACTATAAATTCAGCAAAGGAAGACCCCATTGAAAAGATAATTGTATATGCATTTCTCTTTTGCCTCATTGTTTACATTTTCCCCGTATGTATGTATCATGAATCAGTCTTTGTTAGATGACTTCCATTAGAAAATTGTCAAAGCAAAAAGATCTTCAATGGCTCTAGCAAGACTGCTGCATTGGAAAATTTACAAAGGATATGCTGTGTATTTCAATATGTAAAAAGGAGGAGCGGCTCATTTATTACGTGTTTATATTAAGCTTGTATAATCTATGGTCTGTGTACTTTGCCAAATCACCTTTTTATGCTCTCACACACACACACTCTGCCTATTGGATCCTGACATGTTATTGGCTCAAACTGTCATGGCATCATTTTGTTCACTTTAGGAAGCACTTTTTTTAATTGTTTGCAATAATGCGTAGGAAATTACTGGTGGAAAGGGTGTTGATGTTGCTGTGGAAGCCTTGGGAAAACCACAGACATTTGCTCAATGCACACAAAGTGTGAAGGATGGGGGAAAAGCCGTGATGATTGGACTGGCACAAGCTGGTTCTTTAGGAGAGGTGGATATAAATCGGCTTGTTCGCAGAAAGGTGTGTTCCGTGTCCATCCTTAACTGTTATTATTATGACCGATACTCCCGCATGTAAGCACTACTTCCATTCGGATTGAATTTAAATTGTTTATTACGATTATAGTATATTATCGTTTGTTTTTCAGAGATTTTGGTTCTTTTTCCAATTTGTCCCCTTAATAGTCTTCCTCTTACTCTGGCCATGGCCAAGCCAACTTTAGGCTTTTAAGGACTAGGTTTTAGAAGTATTTGCCTTTACTTAAACAAAATGATTGAAGATAATCTTGTGGCTGAAATTATACACGCCTGTGGCCTCTTTGAAACCTAATTCAGTACAAAGGTGAAAAATTCATAGACTAAAAATATTTGTTAATGTTTGTTAATAACAAAAGTTTTCTAATTCAAGTGCTAAAACATTAAGGAGTGTATAGGACACACCTTAACAAAACCCTTTGTGTTCTATAATATTAAGGATTGTATATTTTCTTCCACATTTATTTAAAAGTAAAAACTCTTCATCTAAACATATTAAAATTCGTATTTGAGCAGATCCAAGTTATTGGCTCATATGGAGGCAGGGCTAGGCAAGATCTTCCAAAGTTAATTAGATTGGCAGAAACAGGTATCTTCAATCTTAGCCATGCTGTCTCTAGAACATATACCTTTGAGGAGGCAGACAAAGCATTTCAAGATCTCAACCAAGGAAGCATTGTTGGTCGAGCTGTGATTGAGATTGTGTGACCATAATTCCAAGCATTGCTTCTCTTCAGCAACAACTTTGCTTCTCACACACCCTACAAGGTTTATATGCTTTGGAGTTGCAATGTGTTGGTTCCCTGAGAACACATGTAAGTTTCTTCTGTGTTATGCTGTCCTGACAAAAGAAATAATTGGAGGGACATGAATAAAAAAATTGTTTTTGTGTGTCTCTTTGCTTCTAGCTCATGCAGTCAGACAGGTACACTACGGTTTCTGAATGCTCATCATTGGCTTGTCATAGAACAGATGAAAAAGTAGGAAAATAATGAAAAAGATAGACATGCTCCTTAATTTATTTATTTTTATCAACAGAAAAAAGATCACTGATGCTTCCAAAATAAATTCATGTCTCAAAGTTCACTTCTGATGAGGAACAAACTGGGTTATCCCTTTTTATAAAGGAGATTTAAAGGGGTTATAACTTCTATGTGGCGTTTTTCTTTTTCAGGATTGTTTTTGTTGAAAATTTTATGAGTAAAAAAATTACCAAAATTAAATAATTTGAACGTATACTTAGTTACTCTGTTAATTGATAATAGATATTGTAAAATGCTCCTTTGGACTTTTGGCAAATGAAAATATTATGTATCCAAATGTTTGGAGTGAAATATGGAAGAAATTATGTTGTTTGTATGAATAGAAATAAAATTAAGATAGTTAGAATTATTGTTTTATTTATTTGAATGACTAAAAGAGAGAGTAGAAATAAATAACTTGTATGAAAACTATACTAATTAAAAATAAATAAATTTAGCTTAATTTTTTTTAATTATAATATTTTCTTCTTAGTATAAAATTATGTATTTCTTTCTATGAAAAAGTATTTTTTAAATACTTAAAACAATAAAATTAAAATCCCAGCCTTGCTCCCATTTCATGCTTGTGAGGGATATTTTTTTAGTTGTGGATCTCAATTGGTTTTTTACCTTTTATATATATCCTTCATCCTTATTTTAAATCCAACTAAACAGTGATTTAAGTATTTACAATTTCACGGCCAAAGATAAAGTATTTGAAATTTGATACATATGCTAGCAGCTCAGTACAATTTTATTTTTTTTCATAACTTAATGCCTATTTATTTTTTGCTTTAAAAATTAATTTTCATATTTTCTAATAAGAGATAGAGTTAAATCAATTTTAAAACACATTTTAATTGTATGCAATGATCCAAAATAAATTATACTCAACTTAAAAACAATTAAATATTTACTATTTTTTGGTTAGAAATAAAGTAAGCAAGGCTGAAATGAAAGAGTTAAATTAAGAAAAAACAACTGTTTGCATTGCTTTATTTGTTTGTGGTGTTTTTATTCTTTTAATAATTTTATTCTTTTTGTATTTCTATCAATCCAAACATAAAAAACAAAGCGACATAACTTATCTGCAGTTTCATAACTCTTTTAGCATTATCTTCTGATAAAAATTAAAATTTTACTTCAATAATTTCCGTGATAATAATCGACTTTAAAATTAGCACATCTGTATTGAAGTACATATTATTAAAATAAAACTTTAATTCCAATTAATGAACAATACTGATACACAGTTCTACACCTGAGTTTTGTTTGAAAAAATATTTCTTTCTTAGTTTCATCAATGCAAATGTGTATAAATTTTACTGCATGTTCATTATTTCATTCATTATCCAAACTAGTGTTACTCACTTGGGAATTTGAAAACTGTTTTGTATGCAGTTTTCTTGGGTAGTTTGCCTTCTCAACAATAGATCATTCACTGTCAAAATTATAAGTCGATAGTTTTTCTGCTAACCAATAGTTCATTCATCGTCCAATAATCAACAGTCAATAGTTATATTAAAACTATCCAAAGTTCTTTACACGTTTCAAGGTCTGAGATTAGTTTCTCGCTCAAAAGTTACAACTCAAAATACTTATTTGTTTTTTTTTTTTTTTTTGGTTTAAAAAACACTCCTTCAAAATTAATAATCGTTAATTTCAATAATTGAAAATCTTCATAATCAGAAATAACTGGAGTATTGCGATGACCAAAATCTTGAAGTTCTTTTTATATTTTCAACATGCGAATAACTCAGTAATAATAGATTTCAATTCTTTATTCATCAGTAGTCACCCTCGAGCTCCAATAAACTTGTTGGACTTTACCTTCTTTAAAAATTATGTCAAAACACATACATAGTAATTTTCAACTACGTTGAGAAAAAGTCCAATTTACTGAATCGAATTCATAACTAATATTAAATTAATTTTAAAAATTTAAATTTATATTAAACTAATTTTTTATTAACTATATTTGTATAACCACTTTAATGTTTAAATTCACTTTCTAAAATTAAATTTTTTTTATCCAAATTTATATGTATAAAAGTACTACATTAATTTTATTGTAACTACATTTTATCATTAATATTTTTTTTATTAATTTTAATTCTTATAATTAAAATTAAATATCTAAAATAATATTTTAAAATATAATTATTATATTAAAGATATTAAAATATAAAAAATATTTTTAAATTAATTACTACTATTATTTTTATATTTATATTTATTTTTTAATTTTTAAAATATTATAACAATAATTTTTATTTTTATAGATTTTAATTTAAACTTTTAACATCAACTTTGTTTATTAAAAATAAGTTAAAAAATAATAAATATTTTATAAACTTCTATAAAATATAATATAATTAATAAATATTGTTAAAAATAATTTTAAATGTATTAATTTAATACAACATTACGCACAATAAATTAGTTTTATCTTAAAAATAAAATTTTACAAATCTATTGAAAATCAGTTTTAATTTAAAAATAATTTAATGTAAAACTAAATTTAAAACTAGTTTCAACAAAAATAAAATTTAAAATTAACTTTAAACTAAATTTAAATTTCAAAACTATTTTTAAATTAATTAAAAATAAAATAAAATAATTTAAAATTTAATTTATATAATTAATTTGTGTGATAAATAAATGATAAAAAGTAAAATATTTAAATATTTATTAATTTAATAAAATAAAAAATATATTATTAATAAATTAAAATATATACAAATATTCTCTTAATATATATTGTTAATTTTCTTTAAAAATCTAATAAGTTAGAATACTTGTACTCATATTTAATTTTTAATAAAACGTTAATGCCTAATAAATAAATAAATATATATATATATATATATATATATATATATATACAAATATAATGCTATATTAGTTATTATCAAAGTTAAATATTTTTAATTTAATAATTTAATAATAATATAAACAATATTTATAATATATTTTTACTAAATTTAAAATTGGTTATCAATTTTAAACAAAATCTATATTTTAAAAATAAATTTTAACCGATTTTCAAAAAATTAAAAAAAATTAATTTATAATCTAATCCATATAATTAGATTTTAAATAAATATAAATTAATTTTTAAAAAATCCAATCCATGCACCACTTTAAATTCAACTGCCCAATTTCAACCCAATAACAACATAAACAAAGGTAATAAAATAACAATATAATTCAATACTTAACTTTTCTATTTTATGTATCTTAAAATTTATATTAACTTGTAACTTGACAAAATAACAACAAAAATAATATTACAATCTCATCACGTTGTAGAACATAATAATAACCATGAGTAGGGATATCAATGGAAGGGGTCAAGCGCAGGTAATGCTTGCTCTGAATGACTGTATTTGTTTCCATCTATATTTAGTATCCATGCAATTAAACGCCAATTAAATTAGATTAACAAATTAAATTAACCTCATCTAATGAAGAGCTTCAGTTGTTTGACAACCATGGTCTCGACCAGTGGCCATTCCTTCCCAAAGAGATTCCCTTAAGAGATTCCGGTGAGTTGCTTCTATGTAAAGAAAACTCAGACACTAGAAGCAATCATCTCAGTAATCCTCTACCAGTCATTTGAAATCCCAACTCCAAATTATGTTATTTATAGTACAGCAATAACTTATCCTTACTACCATGTTCATCAATAAAAGAAGAGGGAGTAAAAGTCCTACTCTTTTACCAGTTTTCTGCTATTATTGAAGAATTGTATATGTCATGTACAAAATTTCAGAAACAAGCATACACACATGCTTGTCCATCATCCAAAAATGGAACGTAAAATTAATCCCTATTACTGTCAAGGCTGTGTATCAACTCTCAACTTGAAAGTTCCAGGATTAACCAGTGTGAAGGTTAACTTATACCGTGTTTCTCCCTTGCACCACCTACTACTCTTCTTTCCACTTGTTAACGTATCTGAGGAAAGCATTGGCAGGGTTCTGCCTAGGAGGAGCTCGAACTCGAGTAGATCTTCGAAGCACAGACTCATCCATTGCAATCTTGTGCATCAAGTCCTTCGATCTTTTCTGGAGTTCTGAGCTGTAAATAAACAAATAAAAGGAAGGTTTGATTATAAATTTGGTCCATTTACTTGAAATTGTTTTATCTTTGAGTCCGTATAAGAAAAAAAATATCTTACATTTTGATCCATAAATGAAAAGTCATTTATAAAACTGTCCTTGCCGTCAATCAAAGTTAAAACAGTATCAAATTTAGTCCTTAGACACAGTTTTTTATTTTAATCCCTATACTTGCAGTCTTGCACTTTATCTTGGTCGCTACATTAAAAAAAAGTATACCTTAATCCCTAAACATGACATCGTTTTTCATTTTGGTCTCTACATGAAAAATACACGCTACTAAATTGTAATTTTCATATAGGAACCAAAATATAGAATTTTTTCATATAATGACAAATTATAATTTATCCTAAAAGCAATGAATCTCAAAAGGCAAGGGGGAAAATGATTAAAAAGTAAAATCTCAACAATTAAATTTAATAAAGTGAACATGGAAGCAGCTTTAAATCTTCACTCTTCCAGAAGTTTCAAAAATATTCTAATCTAATTCAAATGTTTGTCAGATAAACTACTAAAAATTGGTACTGCTGACACGAATTTAAACCCCAAAATATAAATCATAATTTTTTTTGGGTAAAATACTAGTGTTATATTCCATAGTTTCTCTGCACCTGTATTCAATCACTCAACTCTCCTCTCCACCACTTTCTCTTAATTTCACATGGTTATGTGTGTTTACATTCTTGTATACAGGTAAAGATAGTTCAATTAATCACAGCATCTAATTCGTAAACAAGAATGATGGAAATCATGTTATGAATTCAATCATGGATGGTCATCAATATAACCACATTCATATAAAAATTTTAGTATATCATGTTTCATGTGAGCCACAGCCAACAACTCCAGAATATTGCTTATCCCAACTTCAGGATCTTCCTACACAAGTAGAACATTAAAAAACTTATATCTAAGATCACACATGTAACATCAATTTTCTGATTTTCTGCTTTCTCTATTTATATCCACTTACAGTATAGATACCTTAGAAGCATATTTGGATGTTGGACTACAAGTCTTCTAAAGTATGCATCAAAATAACTTAAGTACTATGTATATAGAAAACAAGGCCAGAAAAAGCTATATAGGTGCTGAAAATCAAATCTAACTCACCATATTCTACTATAATATTTTTCCAGTTGCTTTCGCAGTGCCCTTTCCCGTTCACCCTTGCAATTCAGTGAACCCATCAATGCATCAAGCTATTCAAGCAAGCCAACAGAAAATTAGTAAAGGAAAATGTCAAAACTGCAAATATAGCTTGCTATGCTCATCTTGTACCTCTTCCTTGCTGCTGTAGTATCCCCACTCCTTGAAGTCACAGCTTTCAACAAATATTCTCCCATCACGACGGAACCACCAATACCTATTGTAATCTCTGTCCTTACCTAATGGACTTCTACGAATAAATCGTTTCTCCATCTCTCGTTCAAAATATTCTCTCTGTACAATAGACAAAACAAAGTCAATAAAGCATCTACCTAAACAACAGACAACAATCTAAACAGGGAGATAGGCAGCACCCTCTGTTCTTTATTATTCTTCTCTGATGGATCCTTGTCACCCTTCAACTGTTTTAGTAATTCCTTTCTGGATAATTCTTTTCCATTTTCTGTTGGTTCTTTCAGCTCTGAATTCAGCTTCTTGGGTGACTTTTTTGAAGCAGGATTTGAATGCTTGATCCCACTACAAAATAATTTTTAAAAGAAAATGAAGTGTAATGTAATAACCACAAAACAGAAGAATGTATTTTGTTGGAGGTTTGTGAGTGTACGATAAAATCTAACCTTCTATCTAATGGATTGTTTTGCTTGGACAATTCTATCTCTACATTTCTTTTCTTATCCATGTCTCCATTTTGTATCCCATGATCATTGTTTGTTAAGACATTGGCATTGTTCAGATGCCCATCCTCAAATCCATTGCTTTTGGACTCAGCTTTTAACCTCTCCTTTTTTTCTCTTCTCCTCCTACCATCTTCCAATGCCTCTTCCCTTCTAGTGGCCCCAAGTGCCTGCCGCTGTTCAATAAACTCGTCCAACTTTTCCCTGAAAATTGCAGTTCCAAGGGCTCGATTGACCAATTCACCTAAGATTTCTAATTTCACATTGGCATCTACAAGACCATAATGTCCCCTTTTTATAGTTGCTTCATAGTTCTGTAGCTCAGGAACATTGATCATTTCTAGAAAATCACATAAATATTCTGTCCAATTAATCAATGTAATCTGAAAATAAAAATGAATGAGATATTGCCATATCAGAAAGAATGATGGAATAAGCAATAAACAAGTTATGAAGGATACCAGATATAGCAAGGAGAAATATTATTCTAGAACAAGCCATATCTATTGCTGATACTAACAAAAAGAAACTTATGCAAGTGAGATGGTAACCTTCGACTTCAACTTTCGTTTCTTTACAGCTGAAGAGTATTCATTGTCATCTTTCATGAGAATTCGAAAAAGTGCTGCATGAGATTCCACTAGGAGAACCACATTGCTATCCTTATGGCAGATAGCATTTTCAAAATCTTCTAGAGAGTAGGGCCACAGGTGCAACAGTTTGCTAAAAGAAGAACAAAATTCCCAAACCATTAAAAGATCCCCTACACAACACATTGGAACATTAAAGTCTCTTGATGGAGAAGGCCGATCAGTGAAAACAGGATCATCTGGACTAGGCTTCACCAATAGATCATCAATGGGGTATTTGATTGGTTCTTCCATGTATAGGCCATTTTCTGGAAAATTTGAGTTACAACCACCTTTTAGATAAAACTAAATTCACAAGGGAAAGGGGGTTCAAGGTTTTTTGTTCTTTTTAAAGAGATTTTATGTGTAATGATAGCTATATGACATAGAGAAAAAATATATATATCAAATAGTTGTAATTTATAAAACATAAGAGAGGAATGCTATTTAGTTAGATACGCAACAAGAAGAGATGCACCTCCAAATCATCCAATTACAACAAAATAGAGACCAAGAGAAGATAGAGAGGAAAAATGAATTTCAGAACTCCAGGTCATATCAAATAGTATTTGACAAGGAAACAATTAAATTAAAGGATAAAATCTAATCAACATGCAGCAAAAAATTGTTTCAGTATTTGCGCTCTACCTTTTTCTTGGGCAGAATGATTGATTTGCACACCATCCAATTTCTTCCTTTTAAAGTTATCAGTATCCTTCGTTGATTCCTAAACATTATAAATTTAGGACAGAAAATGTGATACAATTCGTTAACAAAAGAAACAAATCATAAAAGTCATATATTATTAGAATATCTAACCCATGTTCTTGTACTGATTCTATGTTATTTATCAATAATATTATATTCTTATAGGAAAGCAGAAAAGAACCAGAAACTATCATATTTCCCTTCTATCTACCTCATTTTTCCTTTTCTTGGAGCAAACTACAAGTCCATCTTTGAAAAAAAACCTTCCTCTTAACACCTCAGGAACATCAGTTGATATTCCATGATTTTTTGCCAGTTCATCATGTAAAACCCAAGGGGCATTCCGATATGTAGATTCCCGAATAAAAGACTTCAAAATATTTCTACTAAGAAGTGGTTTCTTTTGCACCAAATCTTCTGCACGAACTTCCTCTTTTTCACTTATATTCTTGTTTTTGTCGAGCCAGGCTACCTCATAACAGACTTTACCAACTCCTTTCTTGATGACTTTTAATATTTTGCATGGACATACTCCATCATCCTTTTTCCCATATAGTTCAGCACCCACAAACAAACATTCCTGCAACTTTTCAGCAATGGAATCAGCTAGATCCTTCAAAGGGAGCATACCTGCAAAATCAAAAGATCACTAATCAGTCCAGTACAAAAATGAAAAATAATACAATCTTTTATATGAAAAGCAAATTATTGTACAATCAAACATGAATGTATGGCCAGCATGTGTCCCAAGACTCCCAACAACACTTTATGTAGCAATTCTTAAACAAGCATGGTTTTTGTAGTCTCCAAGTTTCTCAGAAGCATTTCTTTTATTATTTTTCCTAACTTTTCACAAAACACAAATTTAAGGAGTCTTAATACCATATAAGTTGTGCTATTACTTAACCACTTCAATTCAATCTTTGCAAGTGCTGCCAGCATTATTATTCTACTAGTCTGTTTAATATAATATAATGAATATAAATCTATGATATATCTCAGATATAAGAAGAATAATCAAAATATCAGCACTCATAATTCCAAGGACTTCTTTAAGGAAAACCAAAATTCTTTTATATCCATCAATAAGATGAACCTAGAGCACAATTTCATTTGCTGAACAGTATTTTATAGCCAAAAGTTAGGACTTTCTGTGATAGCTCACAATTGAATCCATGTGTCAAAAAAGATACATCAAAACTGAAAATCTAACAGTCTCAATGTCAATAGAAGCAGGCATATAAACATTAAGGTCATTATGCTGGTGGAAATACATGAACATGCTTCATGTCTTAACAAATTTGTATGACTTGTTTAACCATATGCACAGTAATCTATTAATGCAATCAAATATCAACTACTTAGTCAAAGCCATATCATCATCTTCAATCTGGTCATCAGAGGTCAGGAAACAGAGGACCCAGTGTATCATATCAGAGGTACTATATGTAATGAATTATAAGTTGAACCTTTTGGTAGACACTAGACAACCACACATCCAGACCAAATAGGTAGTACAAACATCAGGGCAGGATAAAAGTCCAAAGCTACTTTTGTCCCTTTTTTGAATGCCATTATTGAATCAAAATAAAATCAAATTTTGGTCCAGCTGTTCATGTTAGAGATGACATACCTAGAATTCAATAGTCCTACTGTGGGATTCAATGTAAATTACATTTCCTAAATAAATATAACTTCACATACATCATACTTTCTGAAACAGGCATCTATACAATGTATGTTAACCCTCTACATTAATCACCACACATTATCACAAAGTTAGCAGATTCAACAGAAGTCCGAAACAAATGACTGCTGAAAACACTAGAATTACTCTCACAGAAAAAAAAAAAAAGAAAGAAATATCCACAACTATAAATAAAGAGAAGGTAAAAACAGATGTGCATCACTGTATCAACATATGTCTTACTGTACTGAATAATCCTTAAAGCAGAAGTCATTAATTCTTTAGGAAACTGTTGAACTTTCTCATTGGCACGTTGTTCAGAAACCAAAGCCTCTTCATAAGTCAAGCCATTTTTTCTAGTGACTTTACACATCCAAATCCTCTGGCGGTATAGATTCAAACGTTTCAAATAATCACTACTTGATGTTAAGGATCCATTTTCCACTCAATGCTGGGACCAAGCATGGAATGCCGAAGACATGTATTATCAATGAACTTTGTAGCAACTAGCCTAAGATGCAAAATTACACAAAGCAATCTAAAGTTTTTACCACTTTCCCATTAAAGACAATCAAAAAGCAATAATGCCAACAGTAAAAAAAAAAAAATAGATGAGTTCACAGGATACTGATATTCTCGGAATATTTCTTTTGTAAAACGAATTTGATAAACATGCTCTTCCAGCTTCAAATCCTCAGGAGGCTCAGCCAAGGCAAAAGGCTTTCTACTTAAAATAGGCATTGAGAAAGAACCTCAGCTCTTGTCAAACAGAGACATGCACCCTGCATTGAGAATTTGACACAGCAGAAACCGTTCAGTGGCATGGTCTTAGCAGTTCCATAAATTAGAAGAAATGAAAAAGGGAAATAAACAGCTCCTGAACAAGCTGAGCAACCACAGTACAGAAGCCAGTCAAATAATCATCTAAATTAATTTTAAGAAAGCTGTAAAATCTGTGACTTTTTATTATGAAAACAAAAATTGTCTTAATTTTCTATTTGGTCTCCTTCATTGATCACTGGGAGCTTAAAAACTAAAGAAATGAAAATGTACGTCCAGTTTACCCCCAAAAGAAGCAGATACACTTTCACTCGCTTAAACATGCTTTAAACTGCATCATCACAACCTCTCATGTTATTCAAACTCATTCATCAAAGCTACAAATCTCAGAAGCCCAAACCCTAAGAAACTCCCAGAAACCAAAAAATTGACAATCAACAGCAAGCAAAACGAACCTACAAAGATCTCTAGGACAGTTGAAAGACAGCATCACGAAAACCCAGTCTAACACCAACGCAACGATCTAAAAATGCAACAAAGGTTCATACGAAACCCCAATACCTTCATTTCCAACACCCCAAAAAAAAAAAGGAAAACAAGACAAATACAAATATTTCATTTTTTGATAAATGCACACTGCGTAAAGCCCTACATTGAAAATCAAAACGCGAAACCTTACACAGTCCGAAGAAACCCAAACGCAAGAGAATAAAAAGGAAACCCTAGAATGCGACTCTTTTGGGGATCTCAAAACGCGTAAACTCCTGGGGTACCAAAATATGGAAACGCCACGACAAAACGCGGCACCGAATATCCAAAACGCAAACAACGAAGGGAACAAAGGCGGCGGCACACACTCACCAGAAAAAACCGAAACGAAAAAAGAAGAGAAAATGTGGAATCGCAGAAAAACCTCGGTTCCCGCCACAACCAAATGGTAACAGTTGAAAATAAAGTAAATTAAAAAAAAAGCAAAAAGTTGAAGGGCGAGAGAGTGTGTGTGAATTGTGAGTGGGGATGGGAAGAGAGAGAGAGAAAGAGAGAGAGAGAGGATCTTACAGTGAAGAAGTTGGTGAATGTTTGAAACGAGAGGCGAGAGTTGTGTTGTGTCTTCGTTTTGTATATTCTGAGTTCCAAGCGAAGAAGTTTCTCACGTTTTCTCTTTCTCTCCCTCCTTATGTGTGGGAAAGTACTAACACCATTTGCATTTTTTTCTAATATAAATAACAAAATTGCTATTGTGTCCCGTGCTAATTTAATATTGTGGTCTTCAACTTGGACACGTGTTTATTCTTGCAACACCTCGCAATGCAATTCAAATTTCATCCCCCTCTTTATTTTTTCATTTCACTACACTCTCGCTTCAGCCCTATAAATTACTGGGATTCACTTCTTTTTTTATCTTTTACTATTTTTATTTTTTATATTTTATAATATCTTAACTTAATTCTTCACATTTAGAGCGACTATATATCACGTCGTCTATGCTAAAAATCAATTTACTAACATCCTTTTCTATATTCGATCTTAGTTTTACTGTAATCGATATTATTTTTTATAAATAATATAAAAATATTTTTAAAATAAATTTTACTATTTTTTTAATTTTTATCATGTGTCATTTGATACACATTTAAAAATCTATTTATATATTAATTTTTAAACTTATGTCTTAGATTATCTAATAAAAAATTATATTATATATATATAAAGAAAATATTAATAAACTAAACACTTGTGTTAACATCAATTCTAAAGCTGAAGTTTAAGTATAAAAAAGTAATATATTTTTGTTTAAATAAAAAATTACTGTTTTTATTTTTTAAAATTTTAAATTTTAAAAATTGAGGTTAAAAATTCATAAATTAAATAATGCAATACAAAATTTTCTATTATTGATAATGCATTTTTTTTTTTTCTAAATCACGTATATTCTCCAGTGAAAACATTTCTCTTACCATTAATTCATTGTTTAATATCAAAAGGTACCAATTAGAGAAAAGATAGAGAATAGTGTGAAGTTTATGAAGCATTTTTAAAGAGATTCGGCGACAAAGATAGTATTAATAATATAAATTTTCATTTAGAAATAAAATTATGTTTGAAAAAAAAATTATAATTATATAACTTTTTTTTTACACCATGAATCAATTAAAAATCATTTAGAATATGAATTTAAAAATATTTGTGAAAGAGGTTAATAAATTTTAATTACATCACAGTTCATAATTAATTAAGAATATAAAACATGCTTAACATTTAATTATAATTAAATATTTTTTATCACATGTATCATCTACTAAAGATAATTATTCGAGACAGCGATTACTGTGAGTATTAAAAGTTGTTTTAAATCTGAAAATATAATTTATTGCATTTAATAATATAATTTATAATAAATATTCTTAATCTAATATCAATTCTTTAACAAGTATTAATTATATGTGTTAATATAAAAGATTAATAGAATTCTCTAGAAAATGAGGCTCCGACTACAGCTGAGTCTGACGGGCCTACGACAGTCTGAGGGAGGAGGATGCTACTTTCGGCCGTATTCGCAGTTTTAGGATGGGAACTGCAAACCATTCATTCCACTGTTGATAGGCTATCCAAAGGCCCATTCGCTTCATATTCCAGAAATTAGGATTTATTTCAATTATTTCACCACATAAATAATTTTATTTCAGGTGCAGTGATAAAATTAAATAATTATATTGAAAATTTTATTAATTCAATTGAGATGGATTTATTTAGTTCATAACTTAACTTGGACTAATTTGAGAGGAATTATATAGTGGCGGATCTAGAACACTATATCAGCAGGGATGATTTAATCAAAATACATGAGTCTTTTTTACATGCATGATATACCAATGTATTTCTTGTAGCTATGACTAAGAAATAGTGGTGCATATCTAATGTTTACGTGCACTTTTTCCTACTTCTCTAAAAATTTGCACAAATTGGGCCATAAATTCAAATTAATGGAAGAAAAGGCACAAAACAACGTAACTTGCTTGCAGGCAAAAAGAAAGAGCTGTGGAAGGTGCAGATCAAAGAAAGAAGAATGAACGAATGAGTGGTTAGTTTCAGCAAAGAAGGCTAATAGATCATCTGATTTGCAATAACTTGGTTATTGGCCAGTTAACTTGAGATCATGGAAAGTTTTTTTTTTAATGCATGGTTTACGAAAGGAAACCGTTTATGCATATCTTACAGTTTTGTAAAGATTTTGAACACACATATGGGTTGAGGTACGTTTGGTATACTTTAGTTTTTTTACTGATATGTAATATAATAATGTGTATATCCTATGCTGAAGTTATCATATTAAATAAAAAAAAATTAACACGTGTAAGAATCAACAAGCTTAAAAGGGAAAAGAAAAAGAAATCACAGACGCATAACATAAAATATATATTTAACGAAAAGAGTTAATTTTGATTATACGATCATAAATAGACAATCGGTAGAGTTTTAATTAATTTTAACTGTAGCTATATCTACTTTAATTATACAGTTCTCTTCTATATATAAGATAAATTTATGGTGCTATTTTAGTAAGTGTAAATATAAAGTAAGTTTTTAGTTTAACGAGTTTAAAATTATAAAGATAAAGAGACCTAACGAGTTTAATTATATTTTAATTAAATGGATTTAGAATTATTAAAACAAGAGGTGCAAGATTAATTTATCATTTTTGTTTTTGCAAAGATAAAAAAGTACACATGTCCATCTTCATGGGTGATTGATAATATAATAACAGTGACTTTGAATAATTCTTTAAACAAACACTTATTAAAATTAAATTATCCATCTGAAATTTTTTAAAACTTCTTTCATTCACTTCTTTGTAAGTTTGAAATCATATGTTAATTTTAATAACTATAAAAGAAACTTAATTTATTTTTTATTAAAACATAAATGTTTTTTATAATTGACATTTATTATATTAAAAAAATTTATATTTGAATCCTTACATCAGTTCATTATATTTTGATTTCTTTTATTTTAATAATATTAAAAATTAAATTAAAATTTATATAAAAAAACAAGGACTAAAGTGTAATAAAAATTTTATATGACAATAAATATGTTCTTTTAGTATAAAGATAGATGAATTTCGCATGTAGTGACTAAACATGTATTTGATGTAACATTTATTTTCTTTCTAATTATTTTTTAATTTATAAATATTTATTGGAAAATTTGTTTTACCTAATTTAAAATTTAAATGCTTGAAATGCTCTTCATACCTGGCTTCTTTTGTCGTAGCAGCACAGTACTGCTATTACTTTGCCCTTTGACTTGAAAGAATCTTTTAAATTTGATTGAAGAGAATAGTATATTTGTACTTTGATATTTCACATGAAGCCGAAGCTTTCATTCTTCCATTGTTTACTGTAACGATATACAATTGCATCAGAGAGTTAAAGCTGGCACGTGATGTGAAATTCAATTGCTTTTATATCAATGCCACTTGTTGTTTTTATCCCCTACATTGCCTAATGCTTATTAGATCTCCCAGTACTTTTTGCCTTCACTGTATTTCCTTTATGATGTAGTAATAAGATGAACTCACATTCTCGATCACTAATATTTGCAGATTTTATTGTTTATCATGGAGATATATGATGTCATGATCTGACTCTTTATATTTTATTGTTGATATTATATATTTATTATAAAAATTATTGACACTGATAAAAAATAAAAAAACATTTTAAATAAACTCTTCATAAGCTGTTTGAAACACACAAATTATACAAATCCTGCTGTGTAGAATAGTAGGTACTTGTGAGACATTAAATGGGATAAGAGCTTGAATCATGAAAATGTTGAGAATTCTGGGAAAAGAAAAGGGTCCAATGTGTTGATGATTTACAATATTTTGAGCCTATTGCAGCAGTGGCTAAAAAGCTGCTGCTTAAAATCAAATGAAAAAACTATTACTTTTTTAAAAAACAAAAACTATTTTGCAACAATTTTCTGATTATAGTAGTTTAAGACAGTGCCTTTTCTTTAGACAAATGTTTGATATGAGCAAAGCAGCCACAGTGCCATACTTACCCGGGTGGTGGTAAAAATTGAGAGGCAAGGGAAAAGAGGGAGCCGGGAATCTTGCTATGGCATTTTTGGCCAACTACCTAGCTTTTCAAACATTCATATTAATTTTGAATTTTTGACCCAACTTTTTCTTGGGATCCTTTTCTGTTCATCCATTATCGTTTGTCATATTTATAATCATTACTAATGACACATGATGTCTGTTGTGTCTAGCTATAGGTAATATTGAGTGCCCATTCAATCGGCAAAAACACACATATATACATACAAACACAAAACGCTATTCTCACCTAATTATATCTTCTCACTCAACCAAATCGGAATTGGGTTCGAATAGATTTGACATTGAAGAAACACGTTAGTAGTATGTATGTCATGGCACGTACTTTGCCAAGACTTAGCTAATCATATATTCTGCTATATGCATATATTTTATTAAGGCGTGGTTTATGATTTAGAACCAAAATATTAGTCTAAACTGTTTATAAAGGCGACAATGAATGCATGATAAATAAGGCAATTATATAAACCAAGTGTTCTCGTCATACGGGTATGGTTGCTAATTGAGATAAAAACAAATACGTAAATATTATAAAGGGAAAGTTGCGCATGGGTAATGAACATTGACCGGAATCTTGTTTGCTTTCGAGTTTTATGCCGTGCAAATATGGGTCAGCGACTTAGTGAGAGCATTATTGACCTGCCTCAAAGAAAACCAGAGAGAAGAGTGATTTTCATAATTTAGCAGCGGCCAAACAATTGGTGGCTGTGCCCGTGACCCTCTTGCGTTGTTTTGTTATAATTTAGTCTAGTTGACTAATGCTTGATTATGTCCACATCACCAACAAAACAGCACAAAAATTACCTAATGTTCAAGACTTTCTGTGATGTCCTGACATGCATGTAGCTAATTTTAAAGTCAAAGCTAATTACTGATAAAAATTAAAAGCAAAATATTTGACACGAATCACTAGCAAAATAATATGCTACAACAAGAAACATCTTGAACTTACATCTTATTTTAGAACTTTCATAATTATGTAAATTGGATGAAGATAATTTATTAAACAATATGATAAGGGTGCTATGGGTAAAAAGTAAAAGCATGTGTGTTGAATAGTAGGAGTTGCCTCTTCCAATTCATTGACCGGATCATATTGTGAAAGCTGCTCGGTAAAAACAAGGCCGGGCCACCTCAGATGGTCCAAAGTATTACTAATCTTAAAGTTCTCAAATACCCATGTGGTGACTGCTACAAGCATAAACAACAGATGAAAGTATACCGGAAAAAAAAAAACAGATGGAGAAAAAAGAAGAAAATATAAAAAACAGAAGTCCCAAAAAGTATAAAAGAAATCATTGTTATTTATGTTTTATAAAAAAAACGATGATATATGTAGCAATTGGTTGGTTGATGATTTGGATTCTTTTGTCTTAAAGGGCAGCGTGTGGCCCATAAATGATTGACCCTAAATACGGACCTATGATATGATATGATACCATGTCCTGTTTTGTTTTATAGTATTTCTGGCCGACAATTATCTACAGATCAAAGTGACAAACTTTTCTTAATGCCTCATGTGAAATCGACCTACTGAATCAACGCCACACACTACTCCTCCCTGTGTGTCTCCCAAAACACCGTGCTCAAATTCCATTTTTCAAAACAATCGCACCAAATTCGAGTAAGTTAATCTCAATCTCTTGTAATATTCTTTTCCTTTTATTTTCACGAATTATAATCGTCACCTTAATCTGCCATGATCCAGCGCACAAATAACCAACAGCAATTTGCAAGAGATGTGAAGAAAGAGAGCCCTTATTGAAATTTTATTTGTTTCTTTTTGCCCAAACTTTTTTTTGTTAGAAAATTGAAAATTGATTTTCAGTATCATTTCATCAGACCATTACCACCGTCATCATCCTATATAACAAAGATAACACCACCCTCAGTGGTGGGATTATGTGTGATGCCCACTATATATTTCCTCCATTTCATGATGACTATAATAATAATAATAGCAATAATGATATTCTTAAAAAGTTGTATACTGTTATAGTAATACTAACATTATTATAAGAATACCCGATATATAGGTAACGTCGGTGACGGAGTACAGAAAAATTCACGTGGAAAATTAGTACAGCATTGTTAACGATGGTTGAAGAAATGAAGCGAAGGTAGCGAAACAAAGCAAAGCAAAAGAAGCCACAACTTCTGCTCTCTCTCTCTCTCTCTCTGTGAAAACCCATTCATTCCTCTCACTTTCTCTTTCTCTCTCCTTTCGACACTTTTTATTTTTTTGAGTTTCGCTGGAGATGCTGTCGACGTCGCTTCATTCTCCGGCGACGGAGTGAGAATTTCTTAAACCCTACTATACCATGCAAGAGACGCTTCTCACACTCTCTCTCTCCCACCAAGACATTCACATTCACCCTAACGCACCGAAGAAGAAAAAATCTCAACCGAAACCGGGAACCGACGCGGCTTCTCGCGCGTCGCGGCGCGTGAGCCCTGCTGTTTCTCCTTCCTCTGCCGCCGAGAAGTCTCTCCCGAACGGCGACATCTACACCGGAGCCCTGTCGGGGAACGCGCCGCACGGCACCGGAAAATACCTCTGGTCTGATGGGTGCATGTATGAGGGAGAGTGGAAGAAAGGAAAAGCGTGTGGGAAGGGAAGGTTCTCGTGGCCTTCAGGAGCCACATACGAAGGGGAATTCAAGTCGGGTCGAATAGACGGGTTCGGGTCATTCATCGGTGTCGACGGCGACATGTACCGTGGGTCATGGGTGGCAGATAGAAAACACGGTTTCGGAGAGAAACGTTACGCTAATGGTGACGTGTATGAGGGCTGGTGGAGGTGCAACTTGCAGGAGGGGGAAGGGAGGTACAGGTGGAAGAACGGGAATGAGTACGTTGGGGAGTGGAAGAACGGTGGTATTTGGGGAAAAGGGGTTTTGGTTTGGGCTAATGGGAACCGTTATGAAGGGTATTGGGAGAATGGGGTTCCTGTAGGGAAGGGTGTGTTCACGTGGTGTGATGGAAGCACGTGTGCTGGGAATTGGGGTGAGGAGTTTGTGAAGAATGTGGTAGAGGTGGAGGGAAGGAAGAGATCTTCGGTGGATGGGTGTAAGAGTGTGAGTTTTCCCAGAATTTGCATTTGGGAATTGGATGGAGAAGCTGGGGATATTACGTGTGACATTGTTGATAATGTGGAGGCTTCTATGTTTTATAGGGATGGTAGTGAATCCGAGAACGGTGGAGAAGCTTATGGGGTGTTGAATTTGAACAAGAGTCCTTTTTGGTCTTTTGATGGCGGTGAGGTCAAGAAGCCTGGTCAAACTGTGTCGAAGGGGCATAAGAATTATGATCTCATCCTTAATTTGCAACTGGGTATCAGGTATTGTCGATTGCTTTTCGAGTTTTGTGGTTAGATTCAGTTTTAGCTTTGTGTTATAAGTTATTTTGAGGAATTGTTATTCTTGTAGATTCACCGTTGCCAAGTATGCTTCCATTGTGAGAGAGCTTAGGCCTGGGGATTTTGATCCCAAGGAGAAGTTCTGGACGAGGTTCCCGCCTGAAGGGTCTAGGATTACACCCCCGCATCACTCAGTGGACTTCAGATGGAAAGATTATTGTCCCATGGTGTTCAGGTGTTAACAAATCTGTATCAATTTTCTTTGATTTTTTTTTATCATTTCTAAGTATAGAAAATTGATTGTGTCTACGATACTAATTATGTTTATGTCTTGGTGGTTACTTGTTGGTTGGTTGGGTATTTAGACATCTAAGGGAATTATTTGCCATAGATCCTGCGGATTACATGTATGCTATTTGCGGAAGTGACACACTTAGGGAGATGTCTTCTCCTGGCAAAAGTGGAAGCATCTTTTATCTCACTCAAGATGACCGGTTTATAATCAAGACCGTCAAGAAGTCTGAAGTCAAGGTTAGTTGGAATGAATTAATTTGAATTTTGAAGACAAAACTATTGACATTATAATTGAGTGAGGTGAAATTTCGCTTTCAGTTCTGGTCACCTTGCACTTTTGTAGGTGTTTTGTAATAATTAGCTGGTGTCCATGTCAGGTGCTGATCAGGATGCTTCCAAGTTACTACCAACATGTTTGTCAGTACAAGAACTCCTTGGTAACGGCATTCCTGGGCGTACATTGTGTCAAACCTGTTGGAGGTCAAAAGGTATATTTTCAAATTTGTTTTTTTGCAGCAGTAAGGTGATTTACCATCCAAATACCTTTCAAAATGTAATGAGAACTTGTAATGTCATGCAAAAAAACAGATCCGGTTTATAGTTATGGGCAATGTGTTTTGTTCGGAGTATCGGATCCATAAGAGATTTGACCTCAAAGGTTCTTCTCACGGTAGAATGACGGATAAACCGCGTGAGGAGATTGATGAGACTACCACTCTCAAAGACCTTGATCTGAATTTTATCTTTCGTCTGGAACAGTCTTGGTTTCAAGAACTTAAATGGTACAGATCTTGCCAAGTTGCATATTCGATTCCACAATGACCCTTTTGTGTTTTTCTTACATAGAGTCGGTCTTATGTAATGTGGCTTTGCTCAGGCAACTTGATAGAGACTGTGAGTTCCTGGAAGCAGAGGGAATCATGGATTACAGTCTTCTGATTGGCCTTCATTTTCGTGATGATGACTCGGTTGATGAAATGAAAAGTTCACCATGTTATTTGAATTCAGGTATTGGTATTATTTTCTCATTCTGTATTTCCTTTTCAAATGTTAAATCCCCTAGGGATATAAAATATTCTGGGTTATTGATTTACCAGGCAAGAGAGACATGCATGATGATGAGATGCACATATGCCGGTAAGACCTTGTCTCTATTTGTATTTTAGCTTCCTTATTTTTACTAGTTTATAATTAGCCATTTTAAATTATTCTAGATCTCCTTGCATTTTTCATTTATTAACTGATAGAGGACAATGGTTGGAGATTTAGAAGTCTTGATGCGCTTCTGTCAGTTTCTGGCCTGACTATTAATGTAAATTCCAACTCAGCATTTCGTGTACAGATGTAGTCAAATAAGAGAATATGGATTCTTTTAATTACACACCAATTCTCAGTTACTAAATGTCACCCCTATATGATTTATAGGGGGTATAGCATTTTTGTCTCTAACATCATCTATTGCTTGTACCCGTTGGTGGCCAATTGCTTTCCTTTCTATACATGTGTCGTGTCCTTGAGGTTTGTTGCATATGGACCCGGACCAAGAGCAGAGAGGCTAATTGCTTTCGGTCTTAAAATATCAATATGGCCCATGCACTTGCGAAGCGCCAAGAGGATATGGCCGCAAGTCATGTACAGACAAATCACTGTATGGTGATTAGCATTATGTTAGCCATTCTTTCGACCTGTCCATTAGAGTCGACTTATTGATCTTTTTTAAGATTATGTCCACAATGGGTGAGAATTGAGATGCACCGAAAGTGACCTGAGTTGTACTGCCAAAATTGGATGTAGTTTTGTTGACATTTGAAACAAATTCTGGTGGGGTCATTTTGATTTTTTAGGCAAGGCCAGAGCTTTCTTTTCTAAAGCCAAATGGTAGCTGACAGGGATTTTGATGGATCAGTGATGTTTTCTAGGACTTGGGAAATATATTTGTGCCCCAGTAACAGATGATAAATGTTTTCATTTTTTGTAAACGTTCCAACATTTTTTTTTTCTTTTTCAAACCCAAGTGCAGGGTATACAACTTATAATCTAGTCACTAACTATAGAATTGTCATTACTTCCTGACAATAAAACCAACCTATAAACTATGGTAATCTTGTTTCCTCTTAATGACAGCTGGTTTGGATCCTAATCATGCGAAAATACTTGATCCATAATTATGATTCTTGATATTCCAGGGGACCTCTAATCAGGCTGGGAATGAACATGCCTGCAAGAGCTGAGAGGGTGTGTAAGGCGGGATTGGATCAGCAGACGGGTAGTGGAAGCAGCAACTCTATCCCTTCACGGAGCTGTAGTGAGATCTCTGATGTAATCCTCTACTTTGGTATCATTGACATTCTCCAAGACTACGATATTAGCAAAAAGATAGAACATGCATACAAGTCATTGCAAGTGGATCCCACTTCCATCTCAGCCGTTGATCCCAAGCTATACTCCAAGAGGTTTAGGGATTTCATACACAGAATCTTTGTAGAGGATAAATGACAAGCTTGGAGACAAAAGACTATGGGAGAAGTGAACCGGGACCAACTCTGGCATGCTTAGGTGACACCCCATGATCCATGAAATGTTGCAAACATGGGTGATTTAACACTGATGTTGGTGTTGAAATTAGATCCACAAGATTGGAATATAATATGGTTGTAGATGGCTAAATTTTTCTCGGCCATTTTGCAAATAGGAGGGGGGGTTACTAGAACACGGATGCCATTTGTTTTTTCATTTATGTTGGTGGGGGGTAGCGGGTGGGGGGAAGGAGGGATTATCACATTTAGCTTGTCCAGGGCTTGTGATAATTCTTTATTTTAATTATTGCTTTCGTTGTGGATGTGGACATTGTGGGGTGTGGAGAGATTCAAATTGACCCGGGAGGGGGTAATAAATGTACAGACAGTCAAAAAGATTGATAATAGAATTGAATTGAACATACATTTTTGGTTGGAACAATCAAAAAGAGACGGTTTACCTGTAGAGCAAGAAAGAAAAGTTCCCAGAGGGGGACCCCATTCTGGCCCTCAGTCTCTCTCTTTCTGTCTCTTTGATGTGCATTCAAACGGGTTTTTTTTTTCCCACTTTTGCAGTAATGCATAAAAAGAAGAGAAAAGCAGAAGGAATAGGTGGGTGTTTCGTTGGTTCATGACCCTCCTTGAATAAACGGAGTTTGAAAAGTAGAATAACAATAATACAGGGTTATAGTATGTCCCTTTTGCTTCTTTAGAACAATACCGATAGCAAGATGCAAACAAGACGACAAACCAGTCACTTCAATGTGGACCAGTGTGGCATCTGATAGCTATTTATGCATGTTATGCCTCGGCATTTTAATAATGACAAAAATGATGGAACTTGACATTGAAGTCTCCGCTTCACTCAATACGTAACCCCACAAAGACAAAATAAAAATAAAATAGTGATGGTGATATCTCATAGGGTCAAATCAGAAGGTGAAAGGGAACGGTGGATTTTCTGTTGGCAAACGGATCCTGCAACTGTTGTGTGCTTGCTGTGATTTGGCAGTTTTTGAGCGTGACAATGTCTCGTGTCCGACATTACTGGAAGTGAAACATCCTTGTATAAATAGTAATTATACTGAATCTGGCACTGCCTTCTTGCTATCTGTTCGTTTTCTATTTCTTCTGAAAAACACTGGATCCCATTCACCCATTCATTTTGATTGTTTATAATATTTTGTCAATGCTTATTTTTTGTGGTCTTTTTAGACATTCGATAATAAAGTGATATTCTATTGATTTAAATTTTCATATTTTATAAAATTAGTTTTCAATTAATGATAAATCGAGTTTTATTTTTTATTTTATATATCTTTTCACTTTTAAGGAGTTAAAAGACTTCTTCATAAGGTGGCAATTATAAGTCTAATATTGGAAAAGATAAAATTTAAGTGTAATTTTAAATATTTTTATACAACTTGTTAATCAAATTTGAAGTTTTACTTGAATAACTCAAACAATAAAAGTTGACGTGAATTATTGAAGCACAACTTTAATTTTAACTAAAGAATAACAACAAATAAATTTTATATTTAAATGAAAATGTCAGCGACGCATATTTTAATACTTTCTATTATTATATTGAGTTTATTGGGGAAAAAAAAGATATAACTGTGTAATATAATTTTTAGAATACTTTAGTATTGATTAAAATTATTAAAAATTACAAAATTATATTATAGATTGTATTCTCTATTTAATAAGTTTACTTGTAATTTTATAATTTTTAATAAATTTAATCTAATAATAAATAATATATTACACGGTGCATTATTATCACTTTGTTTTTATTAAAACTCAATTGAATTTTGTTTTCAACAATTAGTATTTCATAAAGGCTGTATTATTAAATTTTATTTTCGTATTAATTTTGTTATTATAGCAGTGTTAAATCTTGTCAAAATCTCAATAAATTTTGTATGATTGTTAAAATTAGTTATAAAGTATTATAAATATTAGACTATGACTACAATGAGAATGTATCAGGCTAAAAGGCTTATAAATTAACCTATTTAGATCTAACCTGACTCAACTCGTTTATTAAAAAACTAGATTTAAACTTTTAAAAATACTTATTTAAATAAAGAGATTAGACATAAACTTTAAAAAAAAAAAACTTTCATATTTTATTAGATCAACCTAATTAAATAATTATATTATTTTATAATTTATATTTATTTATTTATTTGTAATAATTTTATATAAATGTAATTATCTAAAATATATATATATATATATATATATATATATATAATATGTAATGTAAAACATAATTTAGTATTTATACTTTAATAATATAATAATTATAATTATACTATTAGAATATCAATTAAAACTTACTGTAAAAAAGTTATTAATTAAAATTTTATACATATTAATGTATATATAATATAATTTAATATTTAATTTATAATAATATAATAATTATAATAACACTATCAAAGTACCAAAATTAAAACTTATCATAAAAAAACTATCAATTAAAATTTTGTCTGTTCTAAAATATCTTAATCTTTTATTATAATTCATTCATTCCTAATTTTATTCTAGTATTTTTAATTTAAATATTTTTCAACTTTTTAACCCTCAGATAATTCTTCAAAGTCATTACTACATAAATAAAAAAGATGTTATCTTTGACAATTGTTTGTTGAATTTTATGTTCTAGTCTCACTTTTAGTTTTTCTTTTTGTAACAAATATCTTAATTATTAACTTAGTATTTGATATTACATAATATAGACATAATACTTTTTGAACTATTTGAGATATGAAATTTTGTGAAGTTATTAAATATGATCATGTTGAGATATGATATTTGTAAAGTCATTTATGTATATATATATTTTTTATTAAACATAATATTTAAATATAATTACTTATCATATGTTATTTTATTAATAAGAAGTCTTTCGGCTTGCTAGCCTATTGGCTACTAGTTCATTGGCTTACTGGTATGTAAAATTTAAATGTATGTTATTTAAAAGCCTTAATATTAAATATACTACTAAATAAGTTATTGAACAAAGTCAGATTTCTAAAAAAGTCAGATCAAACTTAAAAATTTAGCCTATGGATCATAAGCCTAAACTTAAACTCTAATTTTATGTAGTAAACAAGGTTTATTTAAATATAAGCCTAGTCCGTTCTTATTATTATCTGTGACCAATATTTTAAATTTTGATATAATTTAATAAGTTAAAATGAAAGACTGAAGTTCAGGAATAAAGATAATAAAATTATTTGTACATATATATATTTGTAGATAAATTTCTATAATAACAAAAATATTTATATTTGTGAATATTTGCGAGATTGATTAAAAGAGTATTATGTGCCCACACGTTAATGGGACAGGTATAGTATTGTGGTATCCTACTTGCGGGTACCTCAATTTATAAATTAAATAAAACGTTTTTACGTGTATAAAAGTAAATATGATTATACCTTCGTTGTTTTACACGTGTGTTGAAATTTTTGCTTTTAAGTGTCCTGAATTTAAATTATATTTGGAAGCCGATTTGGGGTGGTCAAAAAACAAACACTCCCTAATATGAAGCAAACATTTCAATTGAAGGAGCAATTGATGGATGAAAAGTTGGTAATAAAGTAGTGGCTCATCACAGTAAACACGCATCATTTTACACCCAATAAATGATGTCGCTTTATGAATCCATAGAATAATCAAAAAATAAAATAAACACCTACTATATTAATCCATTTTCTCAATATTTTAAATAACATTTTTTAATTTCGGTCATGAATTGTATCTTTTTTCTGCTATGTTCACTAATTTTTAACTGAAACCGTAAAGATATTAGTTGTTTATTTGACTGGGAATATGTGTAAAATCCCTCTTTTATATTGAAATTAATTTATATTTAATAATAATATTATTAAAACATAATTAACAAAAATTTGTATGCTTTGTATAAATAGTACAGCATGAGAACACAAATTAGAAAACTTGACGAATTTATAATATTTCTTTAAAAATATATAAATATATTCTTAACAGAAGATTTCTCTTTTAAAATGAATAAAAATACATTAAATATTTATACATCTATTTCATAAAATTTTATTAGATCCGAGCAGTTCCTTTTCCATAACTTCTTAATGAGTATGATCCTAGAATAGATCATCTATCTCCATTCTTTCTTTTTCAGTACCTAAAACATTTTAATAAGGGTGAGTATTTTCCGTCCACTAAATTTCTTTTATTATATCTTAACTAATAATAATAATTAGAATCGTAGCCTAATACTTTATTCTAATTTATTCTCATTCAAATACATATAGTCATACAATCGTCCATCAAGCACATACAACATTTCACTTATTATACACACATTTCAATATTGACCTGTATGTTATTATACATGTGCCATATCATTTCAATTCATGTGTCATGATACATCTGTCCCAGTAACACCTGTCGATGTACTGCAACACACATACCATAACAACATGACCTGATCTGCTACGATACATATATCATATCACAACTCATCTATATTACTTTTCATCATAATAATTGCCCCTGTGATCCCTTGAGGACTTCTAACATGGATAGTTGCTGGATAGCCGCAACATCACGAATACACGTGTGTTGCCCTGGCCCCTTTTAGCAAAGGAATAGTCAGGAGTTGCGTCGGGAGATGCGGGTGTGGCCTGTGAATGTTTATTTTCAATAATTTATTGTGCACCCTTTTCATTACTAACATTCACAATCCTCATTTTCCTAAGATTTTTCAAATCTTCTCCTTAACTCTATACTCCTAGTGTATCGCTGTACTATTTATACTCATTCTCTTTCTCATTCTCAGCATTTCTCATTTCTCATTTCACATTCCTTTCTATCAATCAGCATGTCATGATTCATGAGTCACAATTTATATAAAAATTCATAGATTACAATATACATGATAACACAACCTTCAACGTGCTATAGTTTATATTATAATCACTCTGTTTCAAATTACGTGAACTCATGCATTATAACCACGCATCATATTCTCATTTCTCATTTATATATGACATGCTTTCACTTCCAATCAACATTTCATTCATATTTCCATCATTCATTCATATACCATACACTTCCAATTTCAATCATTCTATTCATATTACATACATTTTAGTCATCATTTCACATCTATACTTATTACATCATACAAGTCCAACATATCAAATTATCAGGCAATATCACATCATATCACTAATGCAATACATCAATCATATCATAGAGACTACCACACAAGCTCACACCATACAATCAGTATAATCTGCCAAAGGTCAGACACCTTCGAACTCAGCTCAATTCGCACAATACCAATATATGTAGTCTTCTAACTTAAAGTTCATTATCGTATATCTTTTAGTATTTAATTCATATACACCCTTAGAAACTTAGTTTTGAAACCTCTTAAAGTTGTCCTAACTCATATCTTTCTTTAAAAAATTTGATATTATCAGTTCAAATAAACTCAAACCTTTCTTTATGTCAAAATACTCATTTATCATATGCTATTATCAAGATCTACCGATCTTTTCTAAGTGAGATGCCCATGTTTCTCATATAACCACTAGATCTATATATACATATAAACTACAGCTAGAAAATACTCCCCTTACCTGATAATGGTTCCTCCAAATTAGTTCTTTGAGTGATCTACAGAGAGATTTCACAGTATCCACAGAGAGATCTTCCAAAAGATAAGATTTCCTAAGTATTTTGAGGTAGAGATCTTATCATGAGAAGAGAACCGAAGAAAAGGAATGAAATAGAGATCTGAGCTCCGAGAAACTTACATATATCCAAGAAGAACGAATGTTTGAGCTCAAATCTGAAGAAGATCGAGAGTTATTAGAGGTTTTCTCTGAGAAAGGAGAGGGAGAAAATGAAGAGGATGGAGAAGGATATGTGATTTGGTTGAAAATGAAGATTTTAGGACGAGAGTTTCTTAAATATCTCTCAAACTCGCAACTTTCTTGCTACAGCGAAAAAATCAGAAGTTTTCTTCTTTTGCTGTTTGTCATTCTAGCTACAACGAGAGCTCCTCGCTACAGCGAGAGAGTAGCATTCTCGCTACAGCGAGAGATTTCAGCTACAGCAAGAGGGCTCCAGAATGTTCTATTTTCACCGCCTTATTCTCGCTACAGCGAGATATCCTATAATTTACATCAATTAAACACTTCTAATTTCAAATAACATGCACAAACAACTAATATTAATTGTAAAAATAATAAATTACAAAATAAGGGTGTTACAATATGAGAATCATAAGATACATCATTTATAGTATTTTATTTTAATATATTTCTGGTGAGTTAATAGGATTAATAATTTTTGTTTATTAATTTAAAAATTGTATTGCATATTAATAAGTTAGGATAATTTTTTTTATCATCACTTTGTATTATCATTATTGTTATTTTTAAGTATTTATTGTTAGTCTTATTATTGTTATTATTTCGTGTATTGTATTTTTTATTGATGTTGCCAATACCGGAATAAAGTCATAATTATCGCTATTATTGTTATTACTATTATTATAAATGTATTTACGTTGATTTTACTTTCATTATTATTGTTATTGTGATTATTATTACTTTTTTTTATTGTTATTAGTATAATATTATTATAATTACTAATATTGCTAATATTATTTTTATTATAATTACTATTGTCACTGTCTCAACATCACTATATTATTATTATTGTATTTTGTTGTTACTGTTAATATTACTGTTATTATTGATATGATTACTTTTATTATTATTGTTATTGTGATTATTATTACTATTTTTATTGTTATTAGTATAATATTATTATTATTGTCACCATTATTATGTTATTGACACTCTAATTAATATATTTTTTATAAATTTTTTGAAATAGTTTATAATAAGACTTTTAGAATAATCGATTATATATGTGAATTTGATTAATAATTTTTTTATATATATTATTAATTTATTTAAAGATTGTAATAGATTAGAGTATCTTTTATACTCAATTTATTTTTAATAAAATATTAATATTTAATAAAAAAAATTATTCTCTTCATATTATTTTTTATTTTTATTTTATTTTTTATTCTCTTGTTATCAGTTGAATTCTTAAAGCCCTACATTCTTTTGTTTATTTTAAAATGTTTTCATGAGTGATGCATTTTTTATTTTTAAAAAACACCATAAATTTGTATTTGATGCTTTTAAGATGTAAGCTCGAAATGACTAACATAATACTCATTGTTTGATGTTGAAGGGTTGGTCTAAAAAAATTGAAGTTTTTTTTCTCTGAATTCACAATTTTGGGCTTCGTCATACGCTCCAACCAATTAGCCCAATAGCTAGCTTATCTAAGCTAACTCTTCTTCGGCCTGACCCACTTTTAAGCTATGTTTGGTCGACCAAAAAAAATACAAAATCATTCTGGCGTAGTATTTAATGCCATAATTTATTTACTATATCAAGTTATTTATAAAGAGTTAATATTGGTTTTGTAGATTTTGTGTTAAAATAGTACAAAAATTGTATGTGTAACCCTTATTGTATTTGCTTTCAAATTGATATTAAACATCTTAATAAGATTTTATTTAAATGAAAATATTATTAAAATTATTAATTATTTATTTACAGGGATTGCAATTTATGGAGAATAACACGATATTAGTAAATTTTTTGTATATTATATAGTTATTCTTAAATAAGAAAATGACAAACACAAGAGTTTAAAATTAATTGAAAAAATGAAAATAAAAATAAGTTAATACATAAAAATACAGGAATTTTAGATTTTAAAAAAATTATTTTTTTTGCTATAAGATTTTTAAATTTTTAAAAACTTGTCTTAGTTTATTAAAAGATTATTTTATTGACACCCTGCTAAATTCTTCGTTGTGTCTAGCGTTGATTAAATAAGAATAAGTATTGATTAAAGTATTAAGGAAATTAAATTTTTTCGAAGTAAAGCATCCTCCTTATTTATTTGAAGTAATAAATAAGTAAAGATGAAAATAAACTTGAGCAGTTATGAGTCACAAAACAAAGAGGATACGTGATGAAGCGAGAAAAAGTATATATAAAATTAATCTTATTTTTAAGAACAATTACGATATAAATGGATATCATGATATGATAAATTACCTGATTTTTAAGATTCAATATATTAAAAAATATTTGCAATAATTTTCAATTTTATTATATTATTCTGTAAGTGAGTTTCTTAAACTACATATGTGTATGGGCAAATTGATGAATATACACATCAGAGGATAGCAATGTTTGCATATTATATTTTGAGAGCTGAAAACCCTATCCCAATCCTATCCATGATTTCTCATTTCATTTGGTTCATAATTTTTGTGACTTTAGAAAGAAAAAAGGAAATGCACAGAGACAAGATTTGAGGGTGTGTGTGTGGAAGGGACACGTAACCTTCGATGCCATATTTATTAAAAGTTAATTAACACTATTATCCTTTTCTCATCATCCATAGTAAACTAAATTTTTAAGAAAGGATTGTTAATTTGGCCGTTTTACAAGGCCAAATTTCTGTTTTGTTTCGATTTGTTCAAACAAAAACTTGGATTTAATTTTAGTATTAAGTTAATGTACCCTTAATCATCAAAGTAATAGTAGTTGATAATGGGACCATTGGAATGCCATTTATTCTGGTCAATTGAAATAAATATTTCTTTGAAAATCTTACGACTTAATACAACACTTCAACAATGTTAATTAATTCCTCCAAATATGGCATTTAATAAGGTCTTTTGAACTAATTTAAAAGCAACACTAACACCTGTCTGTCATAAAGAAAAACAAATCAGTGTTCACACTCTACACATGAAAACATTTATTTTAGAGATAATAATAATAATAATAATAATAATAATAATAATAATCATATTTTCTCTTTAAAAAAACAAAAACAAAGGAGTGGAGAAGACATGGCTATTTTTAGTTGAGAAAATTCATACACTCTCTAATATATTTTTTAACCCAATTTTAATTATTAACTAAAATTTATTAAAAATATTAAAAAAAGTGTGTAATATAATATGTTGCTATTATTATTATTTTCAATCAGCAAAAGACAGGAATGAAAACATGCCAGAAGATGTTGACCCATCCACCGAAATGGAACAGTGAATGGAAAGGGGAATGTGCCTTAATAACTCCAACCTCATCAAATCATTGGCTGTGTCTGTGTTTCGTTTCACCTTTCAAATTTTCTGCTCTATTCTACTGACAATAACCAAAAGAAAGAACACTAAAAAGGAAGACAGTACCAGAATCCTGGGTGTGTCTTTTGTGGCACAAGACTTTTTGTCGATCGTACAAAACACACACAACCGATACTAAAATGTATAAGGTATAAGGTTGTAGCTTGTCACATACACACCAACGTAACACCTATATATAGAAGTGTATGGTTGAGGTTGTCGCGTGTTACTGTTACTATTTCTTTTGCATTTCGATTTGGATTGGGGGGAAAACAGATAAATGGTTTGTGAAGAATCTTCATCGGACACTGCCCCATCTTCCGAGTTCTACAAAATCGCTTCTGTTGATTCTTCTTTTTCCTCTGCCGAATCCAGCTTTCGTGAACTCGATGATGCATTCCTTCAGGTTTATCACTCTCTGTTTCACTGTTTTTCGTTTGTTTTGATGATTGCTTCTTAGTGCGATTTTGTAACCGATTGATTTGTTTTGGATTTTAGAATCTGTTTGCGTTGATTCATTGACAGAAGATAATATTTATTTCTTTTTCTAGTTCTTGTACTCCCATGGATCGACCGTTTTGCTATGTTACATTTTCTTTTCACTTGAAGAATTGGAATCAGGATTAACGCTGTTTTGATATGTATATCAGTTTGCACTCTGCATATTGATTTTGTTGTTTCGATGCAGAAGCTTTACTATGCTTATGTAAGTTATCGTATTAAAGTTTGAAGATTGTGCTAATAGCATTTTCTCTTCTTAGATATAGGCAGATGATGCAGGTAGAGTTTGAGAGCTAAATAAATATTTCTGAAATTATAAAACTTTTCTGGAAAAAGAAACATCCCTTACTATTTATGGAGAAACTTTCAATTCTTCAATGTGGAATTTGGGGTGGTAATATTGGTCTCGATGGATATTATTATACAAGCTTTCTGAAAAATGAAATATAATCTTATACTTTATAATATATTATTATAGGTTGTTTTCTTTCCCTTTTCTTCGTCGCTGAGTTTTAGATGATATGGGTTTGTTCTTATTGCTAATTTGTTTTCCAATTTACAGACTCAAGCGAGAATTTGGCTTGGAGAAGTATTGCAGATAAGACTAGATGAGCAAATTATTATATCAGAACTACTTGCTGATGGAGAATTGCTGTACGTATTTTGATAATGTGTGTGATGGACAATGTTGTTTTAAAATTTTTAATTTTACTTATGATTATTATTGTTGCTAATATATTGTATTTCGAAAACTAATTCGTAATATATTATGTTTGCATTTCTATTAAAATTTAAAAGCTACATTTATCATAAAGATAATGCAAATACTAAGCCGATTATACGATATTTTTATTGCGTTAATTTTGGAAAGTAGATAATTAAAATTAATATAGTTTAAATGATGAAGTTAAAAAAATCGAGGATAAAACTTTGAGAATTGAAGAAAAAAAAATAACGAAGGAATCTCATTGTGACCACCTGCATGGAAAGTAGTAGGAATTAGAAAAAAACATTTTTTTTAATCTGTTTGTTTCTAATTTTTCATGATTTTTTTTCCAATAAAAATAAAATCCGTGTTAGAAGAATTATAACAATCATGTAATTTTTTAAAATTGAAAACGATAGTTTCTGAAAAAAAAAAGCTGATAAAAATTTACACCACAAAGTTTTTTTTTTTTTTAATAAATCTAAAGAAATGAGCCTTTATCAATTACTGACATTCATTTGTGAGTAAATCATTGTGCTATAATAACATTTTACATAAAATTTCTGAAGATATTGGGAAATCCTAAACGTTCTTATGTTTTATTCCAGGCAAATCTACAGCTAGAATCTAATAAACTCTTCATGAAAGAATTTGATTTCGCCAGAATATAAATAGAAGAATACTTTTACTTTGTATGTTGTGAGTAGAATTTAATTCCTTACAGAGGAAGCTCTTGCATTGGCACTTTACATTGTTTGGAATCTGAATACAGTTTAATCGGTTTTCAGGTTTCAAGTGTCAAAAGTTGTGTGGAAATTTCTATTGGCAAAACACATGGAGCTAAGACATTCAAAATTTTACAAAAACCAACCATTTGCTTCTAAGAAGATCAGTGGGAGATACAGGCCTTATTCTAATGTTGATTCATTTCTGAAGGTAAATTGTTTGATTTTTACATCTTTCCTTTTGACAAATTCGGCAACAATTCTTATATTTTCCTTACTTCCTAGAGAATGCAGTTAGAATAATTTTTTAAGTGATCACACAGATTCATACCAGAAAACTCATTACTGATCAAACCAACATAGGGTAAATTTTGCATTTTCATTATAGTTCTGAAACCAGCAGTTTTCCTTGTTATTTCATTTGAATTTAGTGGAACGTGGTTGTATGGAGAATGGGTGTAGACTTCTGTAATCCAATTCGGAATCCAAATTGAAGCACAGTCCGGGATGTTTATACTGTTGAAGTTTTGCTCAACAATTCTTTAGTTCTTCCTCCCAATGTAAATGTGTTGAGAGCTTCTGAATTATGTAATGACTTATGGTCTTTTCTGTTTTGTTGTAATGTTCTGTTTTTTGTGAAATTAAATTGCACCACCATGACGATTTCTAATGATACTCGTGACATGAAGATTCAAAATAATTATTGACCATTACATCCGTATCAATTTTAGTTTGCAACTCTGTATGTTATGCTGATACTGACTTATTTGAAATAGTATAAATATATGTAAACATAGGAATACAGTAAAGACAAACTCTGAAAACTTATTTTATTCATTTATATTTCCAACTTTTGAATTATGTAAACAGATAAAAGTAACTGGACATCTATGTAATCTCAGTATCTTTTAATTCGCAGATTTGCAAAATTTTGGGACTTACTGGTGTTGACCTCTTCTCTCCGTCAGATGTAGTTGAGAGAAGAAACACTCGAAGAGTTTGTATGTGTATACGTTCATTCTCCAAAAAATCAAGGTCTATGAATATAAATGTAAGAATTCTTCACAATCTTAATTTACTTGCCCCTTCCATTTTATTCTCAACATAATGGTTTTTACTAACGTGAAAATGTGGTGACAGGTTCCAGACTTTGACATTGTGACTTGCATGGTAGCCATGCCCAAGGATTTGGTTGGATGTATCCGTAGGAGCATAGAGCTGTCTCATAGCATCCTAGCAGATTCCTCAGATAGTTATTGTTACCAAAAACATGCAAGAGGAAAATCTAGACAGGTGTGTTTTTAATTTACTATTCAATTAAAACAAAACATTAAATTCTTTTATGATTGGGTATGATAATAGTGCCAGAGGTTAATTCCTCACTTCCACCTATCCCTTTTGTATCCAAGTGCTTTTACCTCCAATTTAATCCCAAAGAGAATAAGTAAATAAAGTGCCAATGAATAGACATTTTTGTTAATGCCATGTGCTTTACCTTGTGCTTCTAGATTCTACCAAATCATTTTGTTACTTGTATCTCTAAACTATGATGCTTCTGTAGGGTTACTCAGCTACAGGCTCCACTAGAGACTGCAAGCCATATTCAGACCAATCTGAATATACAGAAAACCAACACCTAGTGCTTCAATTTGATGGCTTAGGTACGGACGACTTGTATGATTATACATCAGAGACAAACTACGACGTAGAGTCCCCCATGGTTGAATTTGGAAGTGTTTATATGCCTGAAAATTTTGATCAATTGGGCATTCAAAACCAACATAGAAATGAAGATTTTAATGATGATTTTGAATTGTTATGTTCAATGGAATCATTGCAGTGTCATTGCTCTAAGAATGTAGAGCATGATTGTGAGCTGATTTGGTCATCATCTCATCCTTTTGGGGATTTACGTGCTGACCTTATTGGTATGACCTCTCATTTAGATAATAGAGTCGAAAAAATCCAAGAAAGTAGGTTTATGGACTTCGATTACTTTGAGCATGTGTTGTCAGGTTGGACTCCTTCGAATGACAGAATACCATGTACGATAGATGCTAGCTCGCATGCAAATGATGGGAAGGACCCGGATCTGTTTCAGGAAGGAAATAGTACACCAAATGTGCCTCAAAGTGTTAGTTCTCATGGTTCAAACCCAACTCCAAATACTACTGAAAATGGTAATTGTTTTGAAATTGGTGACAATATGGAGGTTGCTGGCATGAGCTGTTTGTCAAGGGAAGCATTGAACTTGGGAGATCAATTTGATGCAGAGAACAACTGTCAGAACATTGAGTCTTTTAAATTGAACAATGACAAGAGTGGTCACTGGGACAAGATAAAAGAAGAACATGAATCTCAAGGCATAATGAAATGTAAGGAAATGGCATATGGTATCACTTACAATGAAAGATATTCATATTTTGTAAAGAAATTTGAGGAAACTGAGCATTCACTATATTGTTCTGATTGGTACTTCAGAAATTCTAATTCTTCCGATAGAACTGTACCTCATAGCAATGACATTAGCTCAACTTCACTGAAAAAGTTACTAGCATATGAAGAGAGGAACTCTCAAGTTGATTTAAAGTGCTTGGATAATGCTAGTTGCAACCAATCTGGTGAGTGTCCGTCCGATCAGTCTTATTATTTGCCTGAGTCTTGTAAATGGGATCAGAAAGGAAAATTTGCTATGACATCATATAGAAATAATGGTAACAAAAGTTCTCCATGTATTTTGGAGGATGGATTATATGAGGAAACTACACCTTGTAAACAGAAAACTTCTGAAATCTTGATGTCCAAGGTTATGTTGTCCTCTCTACGAAACGAAGATGTAGTTAGTGGAGCTGCTATTGAGTTGGGCACTGATGGTAAAGAGCTAAACAATGATTGTCTTGCTCTTGCATCAAATTCTATAGGTGTAGATGACTCTGAAAAATGCCCAAATATTGGTGATGAAGTTAATGATTTCTGCAAAGGTGTCGCAACTCAATACATGGGAAATGGAGACGGAGGTCAGAAAATACTACTAGATTTAATAACTAATAATGTAGTTCCTGTCAACTGTGATGATCAACGCTTGAAACTTGAATTGAATGATGGTCATCAAGCATGTCAATATGAGAAGGACCCTTTCTACCTTTCAGAACATACTCATGTAATTAAAGTAAGCTGTTTTGATATTTTTTCAGGCAGGCTTGTCTTAATCATACCTGTATGCAAATTGAGTTTGTCTTGAAATTTTTTATATAGGAAGAAATAAAACCGGATGATGATAGCCTGCACTCCTTAGAAAAAACAGACGTGGGAGCTATAGAAATACCAAAAGAAAAAACTCAAAAGAGGCTACTGCTAAGATCAGTGTTGGGTGGTGCAGCTGCTGTTGGTTTGCTAGTCATGGTTTTGCACCTAAGGTTTGTGTTTGACACATTTTATAAGATTTCCAGGTAGTGCTGACTATTAGTCCATTGATTTGACTTTTGGTCTTTTGTTTGATAGGAGGAATGGTGGAGAAAAAGCTGCACAACCAAGTATGGCATCTAGTCATAAAGGCAAAGAGAAGATACAGAAAAAATCACCTCTGAAAGTAAAGAGGATAAGTACAACAAAAGGGATTTATCCAGCTGAAAAGCTCAAGTTAAAGTAATAAATATTTAAGTCTCTTACAGATAATGAGAAAGGTGTAAAGAAAAGTTTCATCCTATTTTACAATGTTTATCAAATTGACCCCGGGGAATAACAATTTTGAAAAGCTCTTCCCAGAATCTTTTTTCCCCGTTTCAAACATGATAATATAGATTTCACCCTTACTCTTCATTGCTCCAAGAATCGTATTGAGCAGCTATGGTAACGTGTATCTTGGTTTCTCATCCTTCTATGACCTTTCACGCCATGCAATTGAAAGACTTTTGACCATATAGGGGTATTTTTCACAAGAACTTGTCAAGTTTGGATTATTAAAAAATTGACTAAATTAAACTATCTTCCTTTAAAAAAAATATGCTTCAATTATACTCTCATTCACTCTTATTTTAAAATAGACAATCCCTTACATTAAATACGCTTTGTAACGGATAAGCATGCTTAGACACTTGCCCCCAAAGTCCTAATTCACTTGAACCATAATTAAACTGTCAAGCTGAAGTTACATTGGGCTAGGTAAGTTTACAATTTTATTTACATGTAAATCTAGTTTATAACCCCCCAAAAAAATAAACCAATTTTGAACTTTAAAGAAAAGTATATGCTAAGGTGATATATATTATATCTAATTCAATTCCATTGTTGGCAATTAGTTGCACACGATTGACGAATCTGCCATAAATTGGTCTGTAGAAATGATAGGACTAAATTAAACAACACATACATGCATTCATGGATACACACGTATGCATGTATGTATATGAAAAATCTAATGTCAAAGCCAAACCCGCTAAAAATGCAGGCAGTCAGGCACCTTTGACTTCAAAGGAAGGTTAATTGATCATTAGAACACTGTTATGAAGCTTCAGTTTCACTTTGCATAACGAAGGAAAACAGTGAATACTTAACAAGGAGATATATCTTTCCATTCTGAACAGAAAGCCTTGCTCCGGACACAACCCAATATCCCGGAGTATCTTCTGGTCCTCTAATCATTTCTTTTGTTTCAACAAACCTTTGAAGCTTAGGTGTGTGGACTGGTGCAGGGCGTGCAGCAGAATATGTAGTTGAACCAATTGTCTTATCACCTGGCTTTGGATGACCCCTTTGTCCCTCTTTGGAAATAAATGCTAAGATGCCCCCAGATTTGATGCTGAAGTGGCCAAGACTGGAGGATTGATCCCACTCAGGTGCCTTCTGTAGAGTGGCACCAATGACTTTGGAGAAGCGCAACCTTAAAAGGAGACACTTCTTTTCAACTTGTAACTGAGCTCCTGTCACAATGGAAACACTATCATCTGATTCAACAGGAGCAGTACAAACATATGAGAAGCTGTTCCATTTAACTTTTTTATGGAAGCTGCAGTTGTACGAGTTACAAGACAAGTATGCATTTGCATTGTCTGAAAGTGGTAAGGACTTAGGTAGAGAAGCCAGATGCTGCAGGTGAATGGCCAACCGGTTGCTTCTTCTCCCTTCCAATTGTAATCTCAGCCCAATCACTGGTCTATTACCTACATCTACCTGCCATCAAGGAAAAAGGAGCCAATGCATGTAAAATGCATAATAGGAGATATGCATGTAAAATGCATAATAGGAGATATGCATGTAAAATGCACAATTGATATTTGGTAGTATGATGATAATAGGAGATCATTATACCATCAGAGGCTAAATAACCTATTAGGATTAGCAACATCAAATTAGAATATTCCCGATAATTATATCACAATAGAGTTCTGCAATTTTTTATGTGTGCAAGGATTATGATCAATGATATTTCAGTATTTCAGTTTAACTCTGTCAGAAAAAAGAGAAATTAACACACCATGCCATACAGATTCAACAACTACCCTTACTTTCTTTTTGTTTTTAACAATAAGAAAAAGGAAAGTATATGTACAGAAACTAATCTCCCTTTCTTTATGTTTATAATAAAAGGAAAGTAAAAGGAAAGTAGGGACCATTTTCTTTTGGCTCACAGTTTACTAGAAGTATAGAACAATAAAAGTGCGGGGAACTTCAACTCATAAAATGCACATTAAAAATGAAGGATAGAAAACTTACTGGAATTGTATTTATGTAAAGCTTAGGACCCAAGATACTAAATCGTAGCCAGGTGTTCACTTGATGCTTCCAGTGAGAACCAAGACGTATCTCACTAAGCACAGGTGCCCATTGTCTTGGTAGTTGAAACTCAAAGAACTCATGGAGATCTTCAATTGGAGGCTTGTCTGTTTCAGCAGCCACCGTTCACATGCGGGTTCAGGTAACTCAGTTTCAGACAGATTTTATTATACTCCTAATGTTCTTATTTGTAAAACTCTCTTAATTAAACCACACAGATAAATAAATAAATAAAATTAATTAACGCATTAGAATTACAATATTCCAAGTTTATTCTTATTTAAGTCAAACTCTAATATCAATATATCATATTAATTGTTGAGAAGTTAGAAAGATTTAATATTTATGAAAGATAAATATGGAAAAAATATATATTTCTAAAACTTTGTAAAGAATCTTATAAGATCATAAAAAATCTTTGAAAATGTCTTACAAAGAAAAATCAGCAAGTGTCTACTGGTAAGAGTTATATGTACTTGACCTAGTCTAACCCTTTGAAGCGTTACAGCATAAGAAAAATCTGCTAGTGTGCTAGACCCAAAATATGGTCAATTGTGCTCCCTTCAAAAAACAATTGAGATTTTTTGTTTGTCGATAATAGCATTTTTCTTGACATAATGATCATTTTCTGAAATTTAGGTAGAATCTAAAAGGACTCATATTTACTGTTCTGTGAAATATTTGTGAAACAAAACAAATCAAATAATTGCTTACAACGAAGATAGAGATTTATGGCGTGGCTCACGAATCCACTTCCTCGGGTACTTCTCAAAAGGGATGTCAGAGGGAGAAGAAACATTGATATTACATCAGGTTCTGAGTCAATAGTATTTAACCATTCAGTATGATACATCTTTTGACTGCTTCCACCCCTCCTACTATGCATCACAAAAAGGTTCTGCAAACCCAAATGAGAGAATTTATGGATGATCAATTTGGTTATGAAATTTAAAAAGCTTTTTTTTGTTTGTAACAAATGTTAATATTGTGAAGTTATTGATGCTAATTGTTACATTAAATGAGAGCATAATAGAACCAGCATTTCTTCATTACATTGGACATTAAATGTTAATATTGTGATGCTAATTGTTACATTAAACACAAGTTCTTTCAGCGGCCATTGACAGAGTAACATACTAGGGAGAATTTAAAATTTCAAAGTGAATTATTTTATCTAAGAAAAGAAGAGATAATTAACGAGTAAACCTCCATTTTGGTCCTGAATATTCTAAGTGTCATTCGTTTTAACCCTTAACTTTGTAAAACATTTCAAATTTCATTCATTTAGTTCTTTTTCACTAACACGTTTTAATTGGCATTAAGGATTAAATTGAATGAAATTTTACAAAGTCAAACACTAAAGCAAAAGTTTTGTAAAGTTAAAGACTAAAGCGAATAACTTATAATTCTAGGGATCAAATATTAACTATCTTCGGTTTCCACTAAAACATGAAGAAAGGCCATAGCAACTCAATAAAGATGTGCAATGTGACCTCTTTTTCATTACTTAAGTCTTCAGAAGCTAGGCAATGCTTTTCTGCAGAATCCATGAACGTCATGTTAGCTGTATCCTTCAAAAGCTTTTGAATACTTGTTGGAAGAAGATATGATGTATCCTCTTGTCTAACGTATAACACATCCTTCCCTCCCATGCTCACCCCAACTATGACATGAGTTCCAAAACGTTCTATAAACCTTGCATGAATCAGTAGAAATTACTTTATCATTATAGAGTTACACACATACAATTTCAATTGTGTTATTCAATGACATCCTATATCATAATGCAATAAAAAATAGAATTAAAAAACAAAGTAGAACTTTATCCAATGAGTCAAGAACAAACCACACAGGCACATTAGAAACCATATCTAACCCAAAACCACAAGATATTAAGTATATGAATTATTCTCACTTATATGTTGCTTAACTTGTATCCAACGTGAACTGCACTTGTCACTCTTGCAATTTCTAACCTAGAATCTTTTTGATAGGTATATTATATTTACTTCTTACCACAATTTGAACCTATGACCTTAAACCCGCTCACCTTGCCAAGGCCTCAGGGTCCCATGATGATGGCACAGCTTCTTTGACATGATCAAGGAGTTCACCATGATATCTTTCTAACTCAATGGCATAGCGTTTGATGAACCACCCATCATAAGCAAGAGACTTGATAGAAGCCAAATCTTTTATACATCTACCAGATAACCCAAATGAAGCACAGAAATGACCAGATGCAGTTTTGCCTCCCAGACACATTTCTTGGTTGAAGTATTCCAACATCTAAAAGACATCATAGGAAAATTAACACCATTCTAAATGTTAATATAAGTGTTTAACCATGTGGTAATATATTCATAACATGCCTGTTGCAAGGTGAGAACTTCTGAATGGATTCTATTTGATTCCCCTCTGACACATTTGATAGAGATTGGAACATTTGGAATTGAAATCCCGCCAGGAATCTCAAGATGACGGCATTGTTCATCATTGATAAATATCAACCTTGAACCCCTCTTAAAGTTGTCAAAATCTATATCTTGTGTTATGTCAAAACCCAACCCAATTGAGTTTATTGCTTTCTGGGCTGCTTCCAAACGCGAATCTCTTGGTGCCATTACTCAATTTGAAGGTCTAGCTCATGCAAGCAACACACATGTTGAACATAAGTTGAAGGCTCAATTAAAGTCAAGCCTAGTCAACAAAAGCGAAGACTTAATTTTAAAAAACATTCTGAAGTTTCATTGATCTATTAACTAAAATTTGGGAGCTAAAACTGGTGCCATTGATTTGCCTTCTCTGAGCAGTAAGGAAGTAGCAAGGAAGCAGGATCTCTTATTCGGTTGTGTTGACTTGAATGGATCAGGTTTTCATGCTTCAGACTTTTTTGGTACACACAATAAAGTATCTGTTTGACTGTCAAATTTAGGATTAATAACTTCATTTTAAAATTATAAATTATAAATACTAAATATGAATAATTAAAATAGTAGTTAAATTAAAGTATATATATTAGAATTTGTAATCAAGTTAAAAAAATCAAATAATTTTATATTTATGTGTTTAAATTGATAAAAAGAGATGAAATATAATCAAATGAACAAGAACAATAATAAAACCATTATTTAAATTATTTGTAATAGAATTCGAATGGAAAGAGTTATGAATGTATGATAACCTGCCTATTTTCTCCTTCATCTGTTTTGGGATAGAGTACTCTTTTTTTTCGTTGTAAAATTGTCCAAATGATGAAATGATAACTGTATTTTTTGTTTCATTTCATTTGCCCATATCTCATTCTATATTTTACTTACTATTGAATAAGGAAACATAATCTTCATTTTAACCGTTTGTATGAATTGTATTAATTTATAACTATCACATTCCGGTGTAAATAAATCATATAAAAAAATTACAATAAATTTGTTGTACCTTTTACATGATTTTTAAAAAAATGAACGATGTTTTAAAATTGAGAAAAAAAAATACATATTTTAAAAAATATTTTAAAAATAATATAACTCAATTATATATATAAGGGACTAATCCAAAGTGTTAACGGAGTAGTGTAAAAAACCATTACATTTACATGTCATCAATCTTTTAACGACAATTTGTTACAAACCTTACAATAAATAAGGGAAGCCAAGAACAACAACAATAATAATAAGAATAAGAATAAAAGAATAAGATTTGCTTTTATATATATATATATATATATCTATCGTGAACTTGTATTTTTTTACTAATAATTATAAAAACATTATGTTATATATACTTAATTTTATATATTTATTATTCATATATTTAAATTTTTAGAAAATAGAAAATAAAAAATATTTTTTTTACAATAGTAATCTACTTTTATTTTTTATTTTAATCCTTTATCATTTAAATTTATTTTATATAGGTAATTTTAAAAAATATCATATTTTTTTTATATTTTTTACTTTTTTTTGCTAAATACTGATTACTATCATTATTCACTTCTAATGTTTCTTTTTTTATTATATTAATTAATATTTTACTTATTTATTATATGTGCCAAAAAAAATATTAATTATTGAGGACAGATTTATTAAAAATATTAATTTTATAAAATGAGAATAAGAAATAAATAACTAAATTGCTAAAATGTTATAAAAACAAAGGAAGTCCCACTAAAAAAAAAAACTCCTTAAAAAGTTAGGTGGAAGCAGCTGGACCTCACCAATTAATTAGTTTTAAATATAAGAATATGTCTTTTTTTTTAAAAAATTCACTGCTCGTTATTTTATTATTTTCAAATTTTAATTTTTAAAAAAATGTTTAATACACTTTAAAAATTAGAATTTTAAAAGTATTTATAAATTAATTTTAGAATGTAATTTTTAGAAGAAATTTTGTTTTTCTCAAGAACTAAATCCTGGAATTTATTTATAAATTACTTATAGAAATCAATCTTAAAAGTGATTTTATATTTTAAAAAAATTAAAATTTAAAAGTAATTTCGAAAATAACTTTTAGAATTTAGTTTTGCAACAATATTAAACGTGCTTTTAAAAAATTAAATTCAAAAGTCAATAAAATAAATAGGGTAAATAGAAAATAAGAATTATGCAGATAGAAATCCCCATTGTTTAATTATAAATATAAAGTAACTGCTATTTAGGCTTCGTTAAAAAAGAAAACATATAATTTTTTTTTATCAAAAAATAAGTTTAGTTATATTGTTAGTCTTTATATTTTAATTTATATGTAATTTTAATATCTTAATTTTGATTGCTCACATTTGATTTTTTCAAGATTTTATTATTCAAATTATCTTTTTTATCATAAAATTTTATTCAATAAACTAAGAAAAATATAATAAGTATGTAATATATTATTAATTTATGAAAATTTACCATATTTATATATTAATTAAATAAAAAAACTTTGTTATATTTTATCTAATAATTTATGAAATCAATTAAATATTACCTTTTATTATTTTTTATTATAATAGACTTGATTTAAATAATTAAAAAACAGATAAAATACATTTAAATATTTAAAATTAAACAAATAAAAATCACAAAATAAAATAAAATATACTGATAAAAAGTACAGTTAAACTTGAAAATTATTATTAATGTAAATTGTTTTGTATTTTTTAATCGTATATTGACACAATTTTTAATTTCTTATAAAATGTCATAGAGATATTTAAAAATAAAAAATTCTCTGTAAAAGACAGCTTTAAAAAAATTATAATAGAATAATTAGTTTTTTTATCTGTCTATTTTTTAAAAATAAAATTGATAAGAACAAAAATAATATAATATTAAAATAAAAGAATTGTGGCATGTGATTTTGAGGCGCAGCAGACTACCAGCCGCCGTAGAGTTTGACTTTCTCCAGAAACAATACACCTTTCATTACCTAACCCTCCATCCACAGATTTTTATATATAATCATTAAATGAATAATATTTAAATGAAATTTAAGCAAACACGATTATTAAGACTATTATTTTTTATCATGTAACTTTTTTTTTTTAAAGAGAATGCTCCTTTATAATATCACCTTTCTAATTTTTTATGATAATTTACTATCTCTTAAAATTATAATAATATTTTTCTATCTGGTTCCAAATTTGGCCATTGTTCTCCAAAGCTTTTTCTTCTTATATTGAGAGGGGCGGTTGGAGAATATTTATCAAATTATTTTAATTTTTTATACAATATACGAAAAATTCATTATTTTTATTTTTAAATTATAGCATCAATAATTTAAAATTCAGAAATTCAATTATGAATTTTGCGGATAGTTGCTGCTGTGCGAAGCGTGGGGTGGCTTATAGTAACGCCGTCAAATTGGAACGGTACCTCGTTGACTGATACACATGTTTCCGTCCAAGATGCATACAAAAACCATTTACTTTCCAAATTATCCAATTCACAAAAACTATATAATTTAATCTCAAGGCTTCGCTGTTTATATAATTTTCATTTGATTTGTATGTAAAGGAATTAAAAACACAAAGAAAAATCACATGAATATATATTATATGATTTGAATCCCTAAACTTCCATATGAAGCCCACCAACCAAAGAAAATAGTAGCTGCAAAGTTTGCATTAAAATCTATAAAAAATGCTAAATGTAATGATTAAAAAAATTAATTTTTTTATCAAAAACTTAAAAAATTATTTATTTTACGTTTTTTAATTAGACACTGATTGCCAAAACACTTACAATAATAATAATTAGAAAATCCATATGGTCGTGGCTTTTGTTTTTCCCTTTCAAATTGGCTTTCTTTAGCAGGTAAACTATATGGTTATAGTTGAATACAAGTTGCTACAAGTTTGGGACATGCAATAATAAAAATAGCAGAAGTTAAATTACTACAAATATTTAATTTATTTATCTTTCTTGCCTTTGACAACGAATCATTCTTATAAATATAAGTTTAGTTTATTGCTATTTAAAATTTAAAATTTATGTCATATGATTGATGATTGAGAATATTTTTTTATTTTTTAAAAATAGTTGTGATGTTCAAGTATAACTTTCAAACTGTGGTTTGAATGAGTAAATTGATGAAGAAATTAAAAAGGAAGTAGTATTGATGTCTAATGCCACCTAAGTAAAAGAAACAATTATGATTTTGTCATACCATATTATGGACATTTTAATTATGTTAAAATTTATCTAATATTTACTATTTGTTATTACATCATATTATTAAGAAACATTTAAAATATAATGTAAATAGGGTGAAAGGATATAATATAATTGAAGCGGCAACTATTGTTAATTGACAAATGGAGAGTTACCCACGAAAACACTGTTCCAACTGTACAGATTACGAAATGAAAACAAAACGTTGCTGCCATTAGTAATTCAAATTGAAAAATGTCTCAACTTACTTAATTTGATAAAATAATTCTTAATATATACTTAAAGACAACTAATAAATATGGTGAACCTACCTATTTTATTAATATAATCCCAAAATACACATTAAAGAAGAGCTAATGAAATGAATAAGGGCAAAATTGTTACATTTTGAAGAGAATAAAAGTATGAAGGTTGAAAAAGGGGAAATAGTTGGAAAAGGTGACTAGTTTGACCAGTCATGAATCCATAAACATAAAGCAAGTATAATAGTACTACTTTGACTATACCCATTATTCTTCTTCGTCTTCTTCTTCAATTGTCTCGTGAACTCCCTTGCTTTTGCTTTTGGTTTTCGTATTCACAGAAATTGGATTCGGAGAAAGAGAGAAATTGATTGAATTGGAGGGGTGATGAGGGAGTGAGAGAAAGGAGAAGAAGATGATGGCAGACAAGAAGAAAGGGGTGGCGGCGGAAGATGGCATAAAGGCAATTGGATTGGGTTACGATCTTACCACCGATCTCAGGCTGAAATCGTGTAAGAAACATTCCAGATTGATCGTTTTTGATGATGAACAGCTTCGTACCCTTCACCTTCCTCCTCGAATTTCAATCCCTAATGTCCCCAAATCCATCAATTGCGATAAAGGTGACCGCATGAGATTATGCTCCGATGTCCTCTCTTTTCAGCAGGTTTTTTCATTTTCCCAAACTATGCCCTTTTTTTTTCATTATCAATATTATTATTTTTGACTTTTTTTTTTGTGTGTTCAAGGGATACTGTGAAAAAAAAAACTTTTGTTTTTGGTTTAATAAGTCAAAGGCATCATTTTTGTAACCAGGTGATGTGATTGGTTGCAACTTATTTTTAAAATTGTAACAATTATTTATTTTTACCGGCATTTTAGGGAATTTTTGAAAAATAAGTTGTTATTTTCGCATCCTTTTAGTAAATATGCTACAAGTTTAAAGTTTTTTTTTTTTTTTTTTCATTTTTAAGTCTTAGCTCAAATTTATTACGTGGGTCGAGGAAAGGAAGTTGTTTACGTGTCCATGTTGGAATCTAGATTTTTTTTTGCTTTAAATTTTAACTTATTGTTCTCTGTTATTTTCTGATGAAATGAAAATCTTTGGCATGCTTGTGTGTATGTGACATTGGTATCATGTCGATGGGGGTGAAGGATTTTTTTTTTTTTTTTATTTGGTTTAACAAGGGATATGTACATTGTCTTTTCAGATGTCGGAGCGGTTCAACCAGGAGTTGTCACTGTCTGGTAAGATTCCAACGGGCCATTTCAACACTGCGTTTGATTTTTCAGGAGTTTGGCAAAAAGATGCTGCCAATACCAAGAGTCTTGCTTTTGACGGTGTCTCCATTACACTCTACAACATTGCATTTGAGAAAACTCAGGTTGTTCTCCGTGATCATGTCAAACAAGCCGTTCCTTCGTCCTGGGATCCGGCTGCATTGACGAGGTACTTCCTTGATTCAGCAAAATATTGTATAATGCATAGTTGATGTGTTCAACAAGTGTCCAGGAAAAACAATAGTGAGAACAGAGTACAATAAGTTTATGCCTACACAACCATATTTGTGTCCTTCAGAACTCTGATACCACTTGCAGCAGACCCTTTGCATTGTGGTAGATAGATTCCATAACATTTTTCCTGTAGCTGAAACAAGTTTAGTGTACACTGATGACTGCTTTGGCGGTCATTTGAATTAGCCATTCCACTTGCAATGTTGGAGTTGCAGCTCATCTTTTCATCTTATCATTTCAGGTTCATTGAGAAGTATGGAACCCATGTTGTAGTTGGGGTGAAAATAGGGGGAACCGATATAATCTATGCAAAGCAGCGGTACTCCTCTCCTCTCCAACCTGCTGAGGTGCAGAAAAAATTGAAGGACATGGCAGACAAATTCTTCATAGACCAAGTTGGACAGTCTAAGGGTAATGATGTGGGGTTTAATGCAAACGAAAAGGTTTGAAGATTTTCTAGTTCAAAGTTATTTTAAATGCTAAAAGATTACACCATTTTATTATGCGGTTGTGAATACATGGTAGGTTCATGAATAGCTTCCCTATAACTGTAGGATTATGCCAAGTTTCTGTTTTTTTTTTTTTTTTTTAGGGATATACTGAGCATATTGAATAGTTTGTGCCTCAACGCATGTTATTTGTAGATGATACCAGGTGAAGGAGTTGAAAGAGGGAATCAATGGTGTACTAGAGTTGTGAAGGGAAACTTTATAATCAAATGCTTTTTGATCACGTAGAAGTAAAATGGAGTATATTAAATTCAAGTTTAGTCAGATGCTCACTAGCACTGCCTTGGGGGTGGAAATTGGAGATCATAGGACTTAAGTTTGGTGAATGAAATTAATAAATGTTTCAGGAGTTATCTGGGGTCAAAAGGTTCCTATCAAACTCAATGGAAAATCCAAGGTTGATTTGTAGATTGTTCGGTATTTCAAATATCAAGCAACCTGATATCCCCAGTCTTTACTAAAAGGATTCCAGTCCTTTACAAATATAAATATATATTTCCAGTAAAACACTAGAATATTTTGGTATAAATTAATTATGACATCTTATATTATGTCATAAGTTAAAGGAATCATGTATTGAACCCCTTACATTGTAAGTGGTGATTTAGAAAGGAAATTACGAAGTTGCATTTTGTACCCTTTACTGGATTTTTTTAGATTAGGAGCACCAATGAAAGTATCATCTGTTTTGTATGAAATCTGGATAATAATGTGTAAAATGAGAAAGACAGATCAAATAAAAATACTAGGGAATGAATCCAAAGGACGTTCTCAATATATGGGTAGATCCCACTTATTTGTGGTAAAGCCATTTGTCACTCATTAATATTTATACTTTTTTTCTGAAGAAAATATTACATTGCACAATGCAGACAGCCATTATAACTTGTATTTTCCTCTTCCCCCCCCCTCCCCCCTCCCCCCAGTTTATGAAGGACAATGGGCTAGGTTTCATGGAGATTCAGTCTCGTGCCTACTATGAATCAGAGGTAAATACGATTATTTTAGTAAATACTTTGATATATCTTTGAAATTGTGGTGGATCAGTATTATTTGATTTGCCTCGTTGCATTATTGGGTTTATCATTCCAGCCGAGAAAGTCATCAAAATGGTCTTTTTCAGTATCGCTCTCCTCTTCTTCAGTTGAAAAGCGAAATAAATAAATACTACAAAGGGTCACACAACAATTATTCTTATATTTTTCCCCCTTTTCATTAAACATTCTAGGTGCAAGATATCAAGTATATGTGCAAGAGGAAAGGTGGAAATGGGAAAAAATCTTTGTCCCATAGTGAGTGGTGCCAAACTGTTATGTCTCAACCTGATGTGATATCAATGTCATTCATACCAATTACATCCCTACTTGGTGGAATAAATGGGAGTGGATATTTAACTCATGCCATTAATCTCTACCTACGGTGTAAGTAACTAAGCAGTGACTCCTTTACTCATTTTCTTATTTACATTTTGCTTCAATGCCTATGGATATGGCAGTATAGATTTAAAGTTAACTGAGATATGATGATATATTTTGGTTTGTCAGAGAAACTCATGATTTCCTTTTAGCAACATTATACGAATAATCAAGCAACTTCAGTTAAAATGGAGGTCTGGTGCTGAAAATTAGTTACATGGGATGGTTTCTTACAGCAGTGAAAGGGTTCTTGATCCTTATTTCGATGGAATGCATAACTTTGAACCTATTATTGATATCACTGTTACACTGATGATAGTTTGATAGTGTTGATGCAATGGAATAAGATTTTATGCTGGTGACACTGGCATTATGTCCTCCACTATTGTTTTACAAAAGATTTTAAATATTTTCTCATTTATTTTTCTGAAAATTCATTGGGCATGATTATGAGAAAAGTTACTGTTCTAGCTATAGTTGTGTTTGTCATTGGAGGTGGTCTATTTATGAAGTTAATTAAATATATGCTATAATTTCAATTCTTAATCCTTGAGTTGGAGGCCCAAAAGAAAAGCATGTCTTGTAGTAAAATATAACTATCATCCACTGTAACTTCTAACTGCAGATAAACCACCAATCGAAGAACTGCATCAGTTTTTGGAGTTCCAGCTTCCAAGGCAATGGGCTCCTGTATTTGGTGAGCTTGCCCTTGGTCCTGAAAGGAAGCCACAAAATACAGCATCTTTACAGTTCAGTTTCATGGGTCCTAAGCTCTATGTAAACACAACACCGGTAATGCTGCTTGTTTTATTTTGAACTTTTTGAATCCAGTCAGTCTGTTGTTATCTTTGGTTCTATGATTTGCATCGTTTTTCTTTAATACATGTGGATGGCCATGTTGATTCCTGTGCTACAGGTCAGTCCCATCCCCCTTCCGTACAGGGAAAAAATGGTCCGTCAATGATGTGTTGCTTTCTGTTTTCTATATTTTAAAAATTGAGTATATGCGAATCTTAGGATTATTGGTGTCTTAGAAGTGTCATTGAGCTGGGCTTGTGCTAATTGCACTCGTACTTGACCTAGAACATCAGTATGAATAGGAGTATCGGGTGAGTTTTTGGATATTCAAGTTTTAATCCAAAAATGAAAATTTGAAATATTGTATCATAGATTTGGTTTTCATTTTTCCTGTTCCTGTTTCATTAATTATTATCTGTGCAAATGTATGAGTAGATGAACAAACTTCATATTTCGTGTTAAACTTTAAAATTTTAGTGACTAGATTTGGTTTGGGGTTCACATTTACTTCTCTACTCACTATCTGTGGTTTATGTACCAAAAGTGTAGTTAAATTTTCTCAATAATTTTTGGCAGGAAATGTAAACTTGTTTATGACATTAAATTTTGTCGGTCAATACTTAATAGTTGTGCTGCTGAAGAGTCTTCTATTTCTTTGTTTAGTCATTCAAAATTAGTCAGTTTAATTTTTGCATTATTGGATATTTTGTACATTGTGTTACAAATGTGGTGATTTAGACTGACCTTGAACTACTCACAGGTTGATGTGGGAATGAAGCCCGTGACTGGCCTACGATTGTATTTGGAAGGGAAGAGAAGCAACTGCTTGGCAATCCATTTACAGCATCTCTCCTCTCTGCCCAAAACCTTCCTACTTCAGGATGGCCCTAATAGGAATGTTTCTAATGCCGCTTCTGAACGCAAGTACTATGAGAAGGTCCAGTGGAAGAGTTTCTCTCATGTTTGCACTGCTCCTGTTCAATCAGACGATGAAAACGCTGTTGTGACGGGGGCTCACTTCGAAGTTGGAGATACTGGTCTTAAGAAAGTTCTCTTCCTAAGACTTAATTTCTGCAAAGTTGTTGGTGCAACCCCAGTGAAAGGATCGGAGTGGGATGATTCTCCTGGCCTGACCCAGAAATCCGGAATAATCTCAACTTTGATCAGCACTCACTTCTCAGGTCCACAGAAGCCACCCCCACCACCACGGCCATCTGATGTAAACGTCAACTCTGCTTTATACCCTGGGGGCCCTCCTGTGCCCACTCAGTCACCCAAACTTCTAAGGTTTGTTGACACAACAGAAATGACAAGAGGACCACAGGACTTGCCTGGGTACTGGGTTGTGTCTGGGGCAAGGCTTTATGTGGAGAAGGGTAAAATATCACTTAAAGTAAAATATTCTCTTTTAACGGCAATTTTACCTGATGAAGAGATGGCAAGTTATTGAAAATATCAAATGAGGCAGTGTGAAAGATAATCTCATCAGATAAAGTTCGAGGAATGAGATGGGTGTGTGTATATAATAATAGTGTCTGATTCTTTTTCATTGTACATTTGCCATTATTTGTGTATACCTGCACTGCAGATCTTTTGGGGGAATTCCTTGTAGTTTTCAGAATGGCTTGTGTAGCAATGCTCGTTACATTCTTTGTCTGTATGTTTTAATGTATTATTCTATGTTAGTGGCTTCTTAAATGCAATAGTTCCTTCTATGTTTGCTTTGAAGACAATGAAAGAACATTCATTTTATACACTGGGAAAGTTATGCAGTGTCTTATAACCGTGATAGGGATAAAAAATAAAAGGGATCAGCAATGTTGCATACAAAAACCAAAGCACTACAGTACTCGTATGAGCTTGTAAACTGCAGTATAATTCATTCATCTCAAAGACTTCCTATAAAATAGAAAAATCAACATCAAATTATATTAAGTTTATATAAAAAACCAGGTACTTCAAAAACAACCATCGAAAGTGTCAAGGTGTCATATGGGTATTGAAGATATAGCTAGGTATATAAGATATTCAGGTGTTTTAAATGCAATTAAATATAAGTTGAGTTTGTCCTCAATATTGTGATTGATAAAGGAATAGGAGCAGATTTTTATTTCTGATTCGTAAGCATGATCATTCACATTCTAAGCCGTGCAATTGACAAACCATAACTAAGAAGAAAAATTTCAGAGTGGTCCCGCTTCTGATGTGATCAACTCATTTTTCCTAGGCTGTAATTGACTAAAGTTGATGCAACTAAGAATTTTTCTTGGGTTATATGAACAACCCGCGTTGCGTGCGGTGGGGGTGCATGCATCCAATTCCCGTATGATGAATCAATCACGGAAGGTTCCTCTCAGAAACGAAAACAAAAAGGTTTTACAAAAGCAACTTCTTACTTTCTTATTTTATATTTTCATGGCATGACATCCATTATTCACGTGTGGTTAATTAGCACCTTTGTAACAATGCTTAGTCTCATTCGGAAGACTCAATCGTATTTATATTATTATATCAATGGTGTAATGATATTATATTTTGTAAGTGAATAAACCGTATTTATATTAACCACACGTGATCAAGTGATTTTCAATTTTGATAATCAGTTAAAAATATATTTTTACCCCATTCCTTTGGGAAGGGCAAGGGGTACAATGACGCACCCTAACTAATAAAATTATGTTTTTTAAAATTGGATTGAACTGCCCAATTCGACTGAAAACTGGCCAAGTTACTGGTTTGTAAAACTTAACAAAAGTTAGTGTGAAGCAAAAGATCGGTTGAAAATTGACTAAAAGTGGTACCAATTAACTAGTTTAAACTGGTTTATTGTTTTAATTTTTTTAAAATTTAATGCTATTTTTTCAAAAAAGCTCGCATGTGAAATGTATATATGAATTGCTATTATTTAAATATTTATCATAATTTTTTTATTTGGTAAAACATGTAACATAATTCTTTTATATTAATTTAAAATTTTACTGAATTTAATTTTTTTATAGTTTTACACTAGTTTGTTATTTAATTTATTATGTAATGTTAAAAATCTTATTAAATTATCGCTAGTCTAACCTTAGTTCAACCACAAATGCTTTTGTTAATTTAATGACTAATCTAATTTTAAAAACATAGAATAAAACTATACATATGATCTATTCAGGATTTTTCTTTTTTGTTTACTAGAAATTCATCAAGTGTCATCATAATAGTATTAGAACTATTACATGTATAAAACATTAAATAAACTCTCATTTTAATTCATGAAAATCATAAATATTGGCTATATTAGTTCCTTTTATAAACTAATATATTTCATTCTAAAGGTAAGTGTAAGAGTTTATCCAGATTAATTGATGCATATATTTCACATAAAAGTGATGACCAGCATTAATGGAATAAAAAACATGAGAACAATAAGAACGATGATAATGATTATTATTGACTAGTTTTAAACTCTACCTTTCAAATGAGCTTATGACTCTCCAGACGAGTGTTTGGATAAAACCTCTACAGCTAGCGTAGCTGTATTTGGATCGAGAATTGCTGTCTATAATAAGATTAAAATAATCACATTCTCTCTGCAAAGAAAAGAATCATTTTTGTTTTGGTAATTAGCTTGCATCTTTTGTTTTTTCTTCCAGATATAATACTAAAAATCAATGTCAATGTTTTGGAAATTCAATCTCAAGCTTTATCATCTCCTTTTTTTCAACAAATCTCACATACATCATTTCTATGTATTAATTGCTTTTGATCATTTTGGTATAATGTGTCTCATAAATACATCCCAAAATCAAAGACAGCTTTTTGTTGTCTCGTTTTATTATTCGCAAAACATTATCCTATCTGAAACAAACACAAGACATTAAGCTTTTTTTTATTTTTTATCATCCAACAATGACAAGGACAACGATCTATCACAGCATGGTCTACACTTGAGAAAAATAGTTACAAGATTCGGCAGAGTCAATATGCATAGGGAAAGTAACCAAACCAACAATTATACGTGTAATGAAAAACCACCATTAGTACCATATCCTCATTGTCTATACACTCTCAAGAACAAAAAAAAAAAACAGAAACCACCCTGCTCCAATGGCAAGTGGGCACTGCAGTAACATTGGTACAAGTAAGAATACTTATCGTGTCAACAATTCCTTCGGTTCCATATCTACATCATGCATGATAATGAGCAGCATTTCACCAAAACAAAGCACCCTCGTGAAGCAAAGGAATCCAGGGTGCCAAAAGTGCAGCCAAAATTTGACCTTCAACACACTTGCATCATGAGTATGCTTGTATATTTACACATGAAGTCCCATTCTTCTGTCCCCTTTTTTGCTACTACCCTTTTGTTTTGAAGGCACACAAGAATAATTGATAATTATCTGGCCACATCTAATCTGTCAATCACATCCAATGCTCTCTTTTTGTCAATACCGAAATCAATCACAGGAAGTTTAGACAAAATTCTATTAAAAGATATTTCCTTGCTTTTACTTGCTGATGAATAACTGCTACTCTTGGTGAGTCTGCCATTATCTGTCAACCCAGTCTTCACACTGTCAAAGTCCAAGCTTTTACTAACCCCTCTGATACGAATTTTATTACTTACATCTTGAAGCATATCCTGCTCATCAGGTGTTAGTAATGGCGGTGAGGCATTTCTGGATTGTTGATTTGTCTTTTGTGGAGCAGTGCCAACTTGGGGCTTGAAGTTAGAACTCATTTCTCCGGCATCAATTCCAGTTTTACTTTTGATGGCCAAGCGGTGAAGCCATAGGAGAAGTTCAAGGATATATTTTTCTACTTTGTCTTTGTCAGCATGGTGAAGTGTTTCAATCCGCATCACATCACTCTTCAAGTTCTTCTTATTTAGCTCAGAGCTGCAAGAATAAAACAAGAATTTAGAAACAGGACTTGGGAACAGAAAAATGAAAAGACAAAAAAGGTAGAAAAAACCAAGTTTCAATTTCAAAATAGTAGCAGTAGATTGTTGCTTACCCAGTGCTTGCCCACTCCCCTACCCAACCAAAACCATGATGGGCTCTGAATCGATTTTAGAGTAACAAATCAAAAGAACAAACAGTTAGTTTTATATAGAAACTAGAAAGTAAATAAACTAGCACTAAAAGAATTTCTCAAACAGGTTGTAACAAGCTATTTTGAGTCAAACGTGTGCGTAAAGCCAGACATCTTACTTGGCTGTGTTAGTAGCAATGGGAACCAGCCAGTGCAATGTTTTCTCCATCTCCTGTTTAATATCTGCCACAGAAAGCTGCAGGAAACAGACACCCAAAGGAAATAGCAAAAATACAATTGAGAAAATAAAAACTAAATTAATATAGGAGATGTTACATTGGTTGAAAGAAGAAAGTAGAAAGCCAAAAGCAGAAGTGAAATAGTATAAATTTTTGTTGATCATTTTCCTTGACATTCAAATTATATATGATGTCGCAGTGTTTTAATAATCTAGTAAGGTCACAAGGAAAGTCCTATGGATTAAGGAGGTATTGAATGTCAAATCCAGGGTATTAGCAGTGGATTGATTATGGGAGATTGTCTCTCTGAATTAGAGAGCTGATTGAGAGGTGATTAATCAACAACTATACAATTGTATATTCCACCCTCTAGTCAAGTGTTGGCTAGAGGCAAAGTGCGCTTCTCTTCAACTCAAAGGCTTTCTATATTGCCTCTATCTCATAACTTTTCTAGACAATTATCTTCTCTCTCAATTTTTAAGAGTGGTAATAAGAGGAAGTACCAGAAAAGAAGATCATACCTCTTTTACAACATTCGAGGTTGGTAATTTGGAACGCAAAGTAGATTTTAGGTTAGGAGGCAAGCTCTGATACAATGCATCCCTTGTATTTGCAGGCATAGAACTGGATCTGGCAACCTGACAGCATCAACACAGGCTAAGTACAATGCTCCGCAATGCATAAGCTAAATCACACATATGGGGAGTAAAGCAGACAATTATTTAAACAACTATGAACTATTACACCTGATAAAGACCAGGAACTCAAAAGAGATTCAGCCGCAAACAATTACACCAGTTATCAAATGGTCAACAATAAATGTACAATCGAGCCTTGAATCAAATAAATAGTGGCATAGTTCCCTATTACTCTAGTTGAACTTTTATTCAAAAGATACAGAAAAAGCATACTGTTTGTACTAAACCAAGTTATGAAATAAATACAATTAAGAAGAAACACTAACCAGAGTATCAACTTGGAGCACTATATTAGCATAATGGTCAACAATAAATGTACAATCGAGCCTTGAATCAAATAAATAGTGGCATAGTTCCCTATTACTCTAGTTGAACTTTTATTCAAAAGATACAGAAAAAGCATACTGTTTGTACTAAACCAAGATATGAAATAAATACAATTAAGAAGAAACACTAACCAGAGTATCAATTTGGAGCACTATATTAGCATAATGCAAAGCAAGGCCAGCAGGACCTAATCTTTGGCGATTGCTGATGGTTCGAATTAATGGTTTATGGTCGTCTGCAGGTACACGTGGATAAACACCAATCAAGAAGCAAAACACGCCTTTCATTATGAATAGACTTGAAGAGTAATTCAATGATAATAAAACCAGATAACTTTCCTTCCTAGCTTACTCTCCCTCCCTCCCTCCCCTCACTCCATCCCTCTTTCCCTTTCTTTTCTCCCTTTCAAATTTTAAAAGTTTCCAACAACTAAAAATAAGGTTAGCAAGGCTGAAATTGGTACAGTGGCTATCAATGATGTCAACTAAGTTGTAAATTTGATAACTGATCATGATTAAACTTGGTGAATCCGCATGAGTATAATACAACAAACAAGGCAAGTATGATATTATTGCCTTTAGTGGGTACATACCTGCACTGCCAAAGGCATTGTTTATCTCCAAATGCAAAAACTGTACTATCTCTACAAGCTTCTCCATAACCTGTAATCCATTGGATTAGGAATTATCCTCTACTTTTCTCAATTATCAATATATATTATGCACCAAATGAACCCCCCTCCCCACCAATAAAGAAAACATGTTAAGAGTCTCTGCACTAGTTCTTGCATTATACATGGATAGAATGCAATGAAAGGATAAAACATATTAATTAGAAGAGAAAAAGAGATAATAATCACATTCATGTAGAACAGTAATCTGAAGTTACCTCCTCCAAACTTCTGGACCACAGTGACTTTTTTTTCAAATGTTTAACTTGCTTCTTTTGACTTTTAAGTTCTGCTCTCAAGATTGAAAGGCTATCACCTATATGATGAAGAGAGACAGTCAAGATTATATAAGAAATTATGGATAGAAATACTGTTCAATATAATGAGGTCAAACTTTTAGGTCAGAGTGACTATTTCATTAAAAGTGTTATACAATAACCAACACATAGTACCTTCATACAAGTGCTCAACAAAAATACCCAGTCACCCCACAAAATTCAAATAAAATATCAATGAAAACCAAAAGAATGTGCTTTGGCAACTGTGACCTGATCATTCTCTGTTAGTCTTTAATAGGGGTGACTTGCCATGGGATTGCTTACTCAAGGCAGATGATGAAGGCATTCAGAACAGAAAAATATAACAAATACAGCTTAAATAAATCATAATCCATTTTAGAGTCCTGGTCAATTAATTCTACTGCTTACATGCTTTTGTTTCGTTTGATAAAAACAATAGCAGTTAACATAGGAGTAACATAAATTCTGGAAGTATATCACAGATCATTTTCACTAGAAATCTGAACAATGGAACATGTAAAGCAATCAGTACTACTTATGTGGAGTTTCAACCATCAAATCAATTACAACTTTTCAATATACAACAACAACAACAGCCAAGCCTTATCTCACTAGGAATCAATTACAACTTTTCAATATAACCATGATAAAATAGGTTGATAATGCTACCATATATCTTTCTTCACCTTTTCAGAATCAATTGGGTGTTCAATAAGTCTTGTCCAAGTTTCATACACTCCACATCCTCTAAATGATTATTTAACAATACCAGAATTAATCTTCTCTTTTGAATTAAAATCCTTCAGAAAAATTTGCACTTTATGACAATAATTATTTATCACAAATAAAAATTGCATATTATGTCATAGGTAGTACTCTTCAATTACCGTTTTGAGCTGCACCTGAATTATCATCCTCTTCACGCTTATGATGATAATCTTGTGTGAATCTATCCAAAGCATGCAATTCATGGTATAATTCCTGAAACCACAAAAAATTGATTTTCCAATTTCTTTTAGACTAAAATCCAACAAGAAGAAAAGAACAAGTTGAATGAAGTACAAATGCATGGCAACAAATTCACTGTATACATGATACTATTATAAAGGCCTTGGTTGTGCCCAAGAAAATATAATAGAAAATATTGGAGATAATTTTTCATAAAATGATATAGTAGCATGTGGAAATTGAGTCCCCTTTCCTTTACCACAAAATATGAGCAAGTACATAAAAGAAGATATCACTTCAATAAAAAACAATTTGTACTTATTCAACCATTACAGGAAGAAAGTACAACCAACCATCACATTTGTTTCATTCCAAAACATTCATTTTATAATGAAGCAGCACTGAACTACTAATATACATTTAATGTTGGGTTTGTTAAAAATTATAATACAAGCTTTGCAATAGGGCGGCCATAGAAAGTATAATACCCACAGATTACTACAGAGCTAAGAGCCTAAGAGTAGTTAAACTTTGTTAGCAGTAAGCAGACAGGAGATAAATTTAGTTGACAACAGTTAGAGTGATTACTAGTTAGTTAGAGGAGTTAATTAGATATAATTAGGAGGATGTATATTCTGTTTTGTATCAAGTGTAAACTGAGTATTAGCTCTGCGTGAAAGCGGGAAATCCTTGGAGGACAGATCTATGCTTGGTTCCTTTCTTTAGCAATCAAGAAATACAATCTTCCTTCTGTTTCTTCTATTCTCTAATTTGGATTCCTAACAAACTTGAATACAACAATATTCCTTTATGCAATTTATGTGTGACACAGACAGAAAAGTAGAGAAACATCCTTCAATCAATTCCTTAACAAGTCATTCCCAGGAAATAGTACCAAAAAAATATTTTTTGGTAAACAAATTTCCACTTTAGGAACAATTAATTACTCAATTATTTAACAATACTCAAAGTGTGATTAATGAGTAACCATTTAGTGATTGTATTAACACTTGAACGTTGTTTTATTTTTACCTAAAAAGACTTCATTCATTTTTTCAGCTTCAAAAGTAACTGTTATTTCTGGAGCAACAGTAAATATTTCTTTAATAAAGGAATACACTCACAGCTGTAAACTGAACCAAAGTCATCAATTGTTGCATTAACAATTCTGCCTCCTCCTTTGATTGTCTTGGAGAATTAAGTTCTCTGCTAATTCTAAAATTTACAACAACAAAAAGACTGGTCAGAACAAAAATATAAAAGGCTAAATTTTGTTTTTCTGAAAGGCTAAAAACATAGAAGAATTGTGTGAGTACAATTTATATTACTTCTCAAAGTATCGGTCCAAGTTGTGCCACTGGGGATCCTTCGAACGATTTCCAAAACGAATTACCTCATCAGAGAAGACTTTCAACTCACCCCTGAAAATATAAATGAAAAATCTGATACAGTTGGCATTTTATAAAATAATGGTAAATTAAAAGGTTTGAATGTTAGCCTGTTCATGAACCAGATGCCCCTCTTTAGGAATTTGACTTAATCCAATAGTTACCTCTTGTCTGCAGCAACAATCCTTAGAAGTTCATCCATATCCTTTGATACTAAATCTTGCACAGCCTCTAACAGAAGCACCTCTCCTTTTAAATGCTTAATACTTCTTGTTGAAAGAGATTCCATAAGACTAAAACCCTTGACTATAGTGTTAGCAACCTCAAATGCTAAAATACCAATTTCATTCCCCTTTGCTGCAGCTCCAGATACAAATCCACCACCACTTAAATTTGTCATACTGCTCCCAAGAGTGTCCAAAACATCAACTGCCTTCCCAAATCCAATAGTACCAGCTCTGCCCAAGCGTAAACTCACCTCTGAGACCTGAAATAGAAATATCTCAGAAGATAACTTCATTATCACCGTATTTAGTACTTACCTGCTCTTTCCTGGGAACTCAGCCTATTCTACTTAAACCAAAGGGGCACTATAATAAAGAGTAGGCATGTTTGGCAGTGGTTATTCAAATATAAGGGGAAAAGAATTAAACACAGCAAACATCAAAGCAGACTCAACCAGTATAACACGGAAGAAAAAGATGAAAATGTGATGTTCAGGCAGTCGAAGAAAGTTTTTCAACTTTAACCAATTCAATGAACTTGTCCATGATTCATTAACTTTAGGGATTTATTTACTCGTGCTGTTAGTTTTTTCTCTTATTTCCATTGGTGAGATTTCTGTATAAAGTTGATCTTCAATAATTATCAGAAATTTTTCTTCTAAACGTTAGATAAATAAAACAAAGAAAAAAGAACATAAATGTATATACAATGCCAAACAAGATGAAACCAAGGAAATATCACAGAAAATTGTCATGTTTCCCAACATGTCAAATTCAAATAACAACAATGAAATCCCTGAGATGGATGATATGCCTAATAAAGACAAGCAAACAACCCTAATAATGCCGGGTCCAGCAAAACAAAGCTAAGACTCAATTAAACATAAACTGCGGCAATTAGTCTATCCAGAAATAATCTATCCCAAGACCCAAAAAATGGAGTTCAGAAATTCCAACAATCTTAAAACATTAATAGCCCATACTGCATTTCTTCCCTCATGTTGGAGAAAACTCATTCTCAAGTTGAAATAAAGATTTAACAGAAATATGTAACAGGTAGTAGTGGAATAACCAATAATGAAAATGGGAAGTAACAGAAAAGTGCAACAAATGGTAGCAGCAACAAAAATGGCAACAGGTGGTGGAAGCAACAGCAGAACCACTTTTTGGTTCTCAAGCATTTTACAATTACAAGATCATTGGTTTTCCCGTAATATTACTTAAACAGCAAAAATACTACCAAGAGTAACCCACATACTGAGTTTCTAAACTTAATATAACTGTTCACAACATGCTTTTTTAAGTGAGTGACAGTGTGAATCTGGAGTTAAGCTCGGCTCTAATGCTAAACTGATAAAGAGCAAGAATAGTCGAAAGGGAAGGAATCTCAAAAGACACTCAAATACTTAATATTTATATTCAATAAGGGCCAAATCTCTAAGCCCAATTATGGGCATCATATAGGCTGCTTGAACAACCAGAATACTTATTAAGACAAACAACATAATGAACTAAACAAATTTCACTGCAACAACACCATCCCTGTCATCACTTGCAGGTTTAACTATTCTTCACAATCCTATCTAACCAGGTTCTGGCAATTCTACTTTCACCCTGATCTATCTAACCCAATCCGTATCACAAACTGCAACAAGTTTCATGACTATACCTTGTTTTTCTAAGACTAATAGCATATTTGGAAACTAATAATCTTAAGAAACAATAGCTTAATTTTCAAAAGCTCTTTCACAAACCTGATGAAAATAAGTAATTGTTCCTTTAAAATAAGTTAAACCAATCACCAACTAAGATTACTGATTTGATCAGTTCATTAGTTGAACACAGAAACAAAATTTTAATTAACGAAAAAAGTTAAACATAATTGATGAAACTGAACAAGGAGGAAGAGTAACCAAAAACTAACCTTTGCCACAGCAGCTTGCCTTGATCTTACTGACCGAGACTTGTGAGGAAAAGAATCAGTGTAACGTGGGATTCCATCATAGAAATCAACATCAGGGCCAGTCCCTGCATCCCCTTCTTGCTTTTTCTTCTCTACTCCATTCCCTGCACCTTCCAAATCACTTGGCATGGTGGCCTTGTGGTTCTTAGCACTAGATTCATGGTTATGTGAATGTCCATCAGTCTTGGCAAACACCTTGTCACCTTTGACAGACTTGGAACAAAGACCCCCCATAGCAAAATTTCAATTTTTGAACAACTGGGCATGCACAAAACACCTCAGAAGAAAACCCAGTTTCAGTTCAGCTCATCCAAATCAGGAACTGACCCTTTTATTCGCTATACTCAAAAAATCAAATAATACAAAGGTTAAGAGGAGAAAGAATAGGTGGCAGTATGAGTTGAGAATAGAAGAGAGGGGGAAAGGGGTTCGTGGGACTGAGACAAAGATTGAAAAATGGGGAAGAAAAAGTCTACACTCAACTTCCTTTGGTTGACGAGAATATATAAAATATAATATAATAATAAGATTAATGATGGAATGGAGGAGAGAAAAATCATAGTTTTATTAGTGAGAAAAGGAAGAAGAATGAGTTTATGTTACGTTATGACAATCAAAGAGACATGAATAAGGCGGCGTTTCTGGTAGGTTAAGGAAGCATTGAGCAGAAAGCAAACGCTATTCTCTCTCTCTCTCTCTCTCTCTCTCCTTGCCTTCGACTTGGACTGCCAACACGGGAACTGGTCAAGTTCCAACTTCTCCAACCCTGTACTTTTACCCAATATTTCAACATTTGTCCTTTTTTTAATTTATACAATAAAATATTATTAAAATTATAAAATATCTTAATATCTAATGTAATATACTACTATGATTTTTAATATTTTTACTTTCAACTCGTGACAGCAAAATGTTAAACTAAACACAAATAAAAATGGCAATATTTGTGAATGTTTAGATAAGCTTATTTTGAAGAATTTCTTCATATACTTATGTAATGGAAAATAGGTGTATAATATAACTTTAAAATTTATTTTAAAAATATTTAAAATATTAAATGATTGAATTGATTATATGATAAAATTCAAGATACTATTTCTGAATTAAAATTGATATTTTACTTTAATAATAATATATGTTAATTGTGAATTATTAAAATAATTTTTAAATTTTAATTAGAAATAATACTAAAAGTACTTATAATATTATATTAAAGTTTTGTCTTTAACTATATTTATGTGTATGAAAAATAAATGGGTAGTTTATTAAGGCAAGTTAAATATGGACAAATAAATTTAATAATTAAAAACGTAAAAAAATCGAGTGATGTTTTCTACAAACAAAATTAAAAAATATTATAATATTTTTTCATATTTTTAATGTAATTTAACATATATAATAAAAATATTTTAAACTTTTACTGATATTCTTAAAATACTAATTAACAATACTTTTCTGGTAATTAAGATAAAAAAATCCATATTTTTTTAAATTTTTTGTAATACGTATTAATTGATACAAGATAAATAATAATTTTTTATTAAAATATAACATATTATTGTATATAAATTTTTATAATGTTTATGAAACACGTATTAAGTTATTTTTTTATAATTGAAACAGGTGAAAGTAATTATTGTTTTTCGAGTCCTATGAGTTTTATATTAGAAAAATTATTATTATTTTCATAATAGTATAATTAGTTTATCAATGAAATAATGTTCATTTAATTTAAAATTAGATAAAATGAATTTAAATCATTAAATGTAACTAAAACATATATTCAAATTATTTTTAATTAAATATTAACATTAAAGCATATATTACACTATAAGTAACATTCCAGGCATTTTCCTAATAAATAATATAGTTTTTTTAATAAAAAAAAGATAAAAAATGTTAGTTTAACATGTTTTTTATTATTTGCTAAAGTTTATTAAAAATTAAAAAAATACAAGAAAAAATACTAATTGAAGAGTTATAACAGTGAAATTCACTTATTCATTAATAACAAAAATATTATAAATCATGTCTTAAAAAATATGTTGTTATCATTAATTAAGAAATATATCATCTGTGTTTAATAATCAATCGTGTTTTAAACATTATCGCCTTCAACAAAACAGCGCGTGCATTAAAGGGGGTTAAACCAACATTAGCCAGTGGTACATTCATAAGTTAAGTTTGTATTTGAATTTTTTTTTTAAATATTTGATTGATAACGTGATATTCTTTTTATGAATAATAACGTGGTATTAAACTTTTAAATATTACGTGGCCTAAAGTTTCATGTTTTTATTTTATTTTCTACATCATGCGTATGATTCAACTCAAATTCAAGATCGCAATTCTCACCTGTTTGTATACTATTTGGAGTGAGGAAAGAATAATATAATGATTTAAGAAGACATTATTAAGTGTTTATAACATAAATTATGGCATACCTAAAATCTTACATCAGTTTTGAAGAAAAATCTAACCTTTTAAACACGGAAAACACTAAAATCTTTCTCCTTCTTACGGGTCAACTTAGTAGCACTCATTACATGCGACAAACCAAGATGCATAGCCTTTCCCATTCTGACAAATGGCCATCTATAGTATATAACATTTTATTCGAATTATTTTAAAAAAATCTCACTAACTTTACTCGATCAAGGAAACCTCCTTTGTCTGCTGAACCCGTGGGAACGATTGACCCATTCCCGCGTGCGGCCATTTATGCTTGAAATTATATTTTTGGGTACAGACTATGGACCTTATGCTTTGATTCGATGATATCTAATGTTCTTTTCCACGCTTGAAAACTCATCCACATTACATTATTAGCTATCATGACAATATTGAAAATAGACTATGAAGAGTTCTTTCCTATTTTATATTAATTTATGTATTAGTATTGTTATTATGCATTATTTGCATGATTTTGCATGTGTACTATTTTGTGAAGATATTTGTCTCTACAAATCCTCAAAATTTGAAGAATCTAGAAGGCTGTCCACTAGAAAGGTCAATGAATGACAGCTGAGGAAGTAGCAACTGGCCAGCCAAGCCGACAGTGAAGAAGAAGCCATGAATCATACATGTGCATGGACTAGAATAAACGATAATATCAAAAGTTTACTAATAAAGTTCTACATAATTATTACATAACTATATATTTTAGACATTGATAAATTTAATTTGATTGTGTGTATGAAAAGATATTCAAAACAAATTTTATTTAAATAGTGTATACTCTTAAAAGAAAGGAAGTCACGAATAAATTAAACTCTAAATTAGAATCCTCGTAAGTTTCGCTAAATGTGTTTATTGATTGAAAAAGAAAAAGAAATTATGTGATATTAAGAGAAGAGAGGTGAAAGTTTAAAAATTAACTTTTATAAAAAAGTGTATAATAAAGTATTAATGGGGTGATATTAAACTAACTTTTATATTTTTAAAACAGCGTATTTGTTATCATTCTTATTTTATGTGTTTATTGCTACTTTTATTCCACAAATTTTTATTTTTTTTTATTAATATACTAACAAGAGAGAAAAAAATAGTATTTTAGACAATTTTTTTAATACATATGACAGTAAATGCATTTTCTTTAAAATTATAAATATTTATCAATCGGACACGTCTCGATTAATAAGAGTATTTGAAATTCACATTAGTGAAGGGTGAAAGAATAAAAATATAAGCTTGTTGAACTTTTTAAAAACTAAACATTATTAAATGAAAAAAATTTCCAAAATTTTGACTATGTGAGAGAATACTGTCATTCATGCATGCACAGTCGCTTGTTGTACGTGACAAATTATTTGTCTGTTAATGTGTTTCATGAATTTTTGGATTGAAAGTTAGGTGTTTCTATATTTGTGTTCTTAGGGGGTTACAGTGGTCCCTATTGTGATATATGTTGCAATAATGATCAGTAATATCTTCCATACCTTGTACTAGCGGCCCAAATAGTGAGAGAATAATGATCAGTAAGATTTCAAAATATTATAAATATTTTGGTGTTGATATTTCTTTTTACCTTAATATTTACTTTGCAGTTAAATTTCTTATTAAATATGAACGTTTGAATAGAAAGAATGCCGGTGACTATGCAATTTTTTTTAGTTCATTTTTAATAAACCTATATTACATCTATCTTTTATAAAAGAAAAATACATATGTGAGTTAAAAATATAAGATTAGTTCTTTTAATATTTTTTTATTCACAGTATTTGAATGTAAGATTTCACTTAAAATAATTTAAGTAGAAAATATGTAAGCAAAATTTACTTGAGAAATAGGGATTGATTTAACATGTTATAATTTACTAAGAAAATGCATGGAGTGAGAGTGAGGGTCTATAGGTAATAACAACTTATCTATATAGACAGGACGAAAAGCGAAACGGCTACCAATGTTTTCTCATTGGAGCCACATTGACACACAAGAGCGCCAGAATTTAATGCCAACTAAACTTAAATAAAAATGAAAATGAAAATTAAAATTGTGAGTTTGAACAGCGAATGAAGGTGGAGACTAGGAGTTGGTCGTACTCATCTAACATCTTCCTCTTTCGAGTTAGGGTTCGTGTCATGAGTTCCATCGATTCAAGTACAACTACCTTCTGTTACCGTTGTCCTCGTTTTCATCGACACATGCAACAATAAAAAACAAAAACATCGTAGATGAGCTCCAGCAATTTGACGGGGTTTCTGTTGGCCGTGGTTTCCAGTGCTTTCATTGGCTCCAGCTTCATCATCAAGAAAAAGGGTCTTCAACTCGCCAGTGTCAATGGCCCTCGTGCTAGTATCTTCTCCCTTTCAAACCCTGAGATTATTTTTTATTTTACGATGGATATATTATTTGTAGTTAATTTGTAGGTGTTGGGGGCTATGGTTATTTGCTTCAACCCCTCTGGTGGATCGGAATGGTTACCAGTATGTAATTGTGTTTCAATGTCTCTACATTTTTATTTTATTTTTTTGCTTTTGGGTTTTTATGAACACTTAGACATTTCATTTTTCAATTTTGTTATAGTGATTGTTGGAGAGATAGCGAATTTTGTTGCTTACATTTATGCCCCTGCTGTGCTTGTTACTCCACTTGGTGCTTTGAGTATTATTGTTAGGTAAAAAAGGTTCATTTCTATTCTGTCTAATCATTTCCTTCTTTACTCTATTTTTAACACAATCAACTTTTGTGATTACCTTGATTCTGAGAATTGACATGGATGTGGCCAGTGCTGTCTTAGCACATTTCCTCTTGGAGGAGAAGCTGCAGAAAATGGGAATGCTGGGGTGTCTTCTATGCATCGTGGGATCTACTGTTATTGTGCTCCATGCACCTCAAGAAATGTCTCTTACTTCTGTGCAGCAAATATGGCAATTGGCCATTCAACCTGGTATTATCTCAAGGTTTCATTGATTGTCCATTATGAAATGCCTCTTGCTATGTCATTCATGGGGCAATTTTCCTGATCATTGCTTTTGATTTTGGCATCCAGCATTCCTCTTGTACACCGCCTCTGTCATTGCGATAACATTAGTCTTGGTTTTGTACTGTGCTCCGCGCTATGGCCAGACTAATATTTTGATTTATGTTGGAATTTGCTCTGTAATTGGGTCCTTGACGGTAAGTGATTCTAGCCAATTAAACTTGTCAGTTGTCAATGCTTAGTATATGATATTTTTATCATCTTGGATATTTCTGTACATTCTAACAGTTGACTCATTTGTATACCATGGTCCCCCATTTGTTTTATATTTCTGACAAAAATCTTATTTGTCAGGTCATGAGCATAAAAGCAATTGGCATTGCGATAAAGCTTACACTAGAAGGTGCGAACCAGGCTTTCTACTTTCAGACGTGGATTTTTACAATGGTTGCTGCTACCTGCATGATTCTCCAACTAAATTACCTTAATATGGTCAGTATCACTTATTTTTTCTTATTTCAGATACTTTGTCATTGCATTCTGTTGCTTTGTTCACTGTGGCATGTGCTTTAGATGTATAACATATCCCATTGAGTAAAAATATCAGTTAAAACATGTTAGGCTGTCTGTGGCGAAACTTGCGGATTGAGATTGTGGAAAACTATGTGAACCTTGTATTCTAGTTTAATATTTCTGTAATTGTCTTTGTTAGGGAGAGATGCAGTCATACACACATGTATGCAGACTGTTTATAAAATCTTGATCTTAAAAATTCATTCTAACTGTTTTCTTTGCTATAATTCATTTGACTACATGTTTTATTCTTTTTGAATGCTATGAAGTCCAAATAACATCCATGTAATGCTTGAGCTGAAGCCCACTGCCTGAATTTTGATTTACTTGAGTGTTGTTTTATACTACTCGTGTTCATTGCTATGTTATTTGATCTTCAATTGGGGCTTCTGTGGTGTCCAACGCTTCCATGGTTGCAGGCATTGGATAATTTTAATACAGCAATTGTTTCTCCAATCTATTATGCATTGTTCACAACTTTTACAATATTAGCCAGCGCAATTATGTTTAAGGTTGGTATTTTTCAGAAACATAATGAGAAAAAAATGTGCATGGAAGGATGTCATGGTTCAGTTATATTTTCTAATCCTGCCTCCTTTGCGTTTCTTATCTAGGACTATTCTGGTCAAAGTATAACCAGTATTGCATCAGAGCTATGTGGTTTCATTACTGTTTTATCTGGAACAACTGTGTTGCACAGTACAAGAGAGCCAGATCCTCCAGTTATTACAGGTAAATAACCTTTTTCACTTTAATGTGGAGGACTAGGATGATACAACTCAATTATTTGTGGCAATAAAGGATATCCAGCTTTGCTTGACCTGTAATATATTATGTTTACACCAAAGGCTAAAACTAAATACATATTGTAGATAACATGGAAGAATTGCTCATATTTTATTGCTGCAGACTACTTGCTCCATTTTTTGTGGTAGTAGTGCCTACTAAATAATTGATGATTTCTTTTTCATAATAAATATCTGTTAGTGGTGAGAGAATTGCATGCACATGATATATAGTTTTATTTATATATTTTCTGGATTAAACCAGAGAAAAAGATAGAACAGGAATTGGATGGCAAATGAAGAACACATGACAGAGTCCCTCATAGAGATTAACCTCCCTCAATACACAATGCACAGGCCTAAGCCCTAACTGAGTTTTTCTCTCTCAAACTCACTCAAGACCAATTACCTACTGAATAAAGAAATTTCCATGCCATGTACATATAGAACCCCACATAATAACTTCCACCCAAATCCATAACTGCCTAAAGATACATCGCATAACTTTCCTATCAGTTCAGAGTATGCAAATATAATAGGGAGGATTGATGACAGTATATTGGCTATATATATTGATAGCTACTTGTTTGGACCTAAAGATTAACACGGATTATCTAGATGCTGACAATTGGTTAGAACTAGTGAAGCTGTCCTAACTCATTTGAAAGAAAAAGACATTCAGTTCCTTGAGATTTCAATTTTTGGTGATAGGATGAATATTCTATTATGATTCAATGCTTACAGGAAAAAAGATGGAGATTAGTAACTAGTAAGTTCTGCGGTCAACTCTTTCCTGAGAATTTGGACTTCGGAGATAGATGATGGCTCTTTATTAAGCAATTATTATTTGATTTGTCTTCTGTATTTCTGTAATATGAGAAAGTTAACATATATAGAGAGCATGGGTGATTTTTTAAAAACTTTTGGTCCTGCACAATTACAGTTTTGCATTTTAAGTGCAGAACACGAGGTTTCAGAAACTTGTAGATATCTAGTCTTAAATATTGTACAGAGTCCTCTAATTTCCATCAATAGTGTTATTTCACTTTTCTGGACTTTGTTAGGATGTATAATGAGATTATGAGAGTGAATAAGGACAGTCATTGGTCATCAGTTATTTCATTAGTTAGTTGAGCTAGTTAGTTAGAAGAGATTGGCTATAAATAGGAGAAATCAGATTGGGGGAACATTGGGTGAAAAGGAGAGATCCATTGTGAAGGGGAAACGCTTTGGGACAGAGATCCTATGTGAAGAGGAAACCCATGGGTAGAAATTTCATTCGCCATTTTCTGTTCTGATTATTGTTTTCTGGTTTCCATTTTGTTTTCTCTGGGTTCTTGTGCGGACATTTGCATGGAGGGGTATGTATTTGGCAAAAGTTTAAACAAGGGATAATCTCTATGGTGAAATTCAGAATAAGGGAGGTCAGTTTAAGATCTGGAAATTGAGGAGGGGTGTTTCTGTAGGTTTGGAAAAGTTTAGGGTAAGTCAACCATTCAATGTATTTGTTTTTTCTGGTTAGAGATTAAATGAAGAATGTATTGTTAGAAAGAAAGAAGGGAAAATACAACTGGGGAGAGTGCAGGAGTTCATAGGAAAACAATCTGAGAACAATGAACTAAAATGACTCAAAAATACAGTAAGGCAGTCTGGTTTGATTGCGTATCAGTAATAGGAACTCCCTTGAAATTACTATAAGTGGAGCACCAAAGACAGGCCACAAAATACAATCATATCCTGTTACATGGACATTCCTCTCTCATTAAAATCACCAAATAATTTCATATCCTGCACTGGCATATCATATAGCTTCCTTTTTCCTGCCAAAATATTTAAAAATACCATGGGGAACTACTCCCAGGTGAATGGACAGCCCAAGTATAGTCTTTCCAAATAATTTTGTTTGAGTATTAAAATGGGAAATTTCCTATATATGTTTGGTTGCAAAAATTTGGAAATATAATCTACCATTTGAGCAACAACTACCAGGATAAAGAAGGGAGTATAATTGAATTATGAGGTATCCTAGTGTCACACAGTATATGCTAATATGTGCTGAATGATTGGAAACGAAGAAATAGAATAATTGGTTTGTGAGCCCTCATGCACATATACTGTCATTTAATTATTATCATTTACAACTGTTTTGCTTTGTGATGTACATATCTATTATGCAACTGAAGCTATGCTTGTCTAGACCTTTTCCAGATACTGTATGCTTACCATTGTACCAAAGAAAATATATTTATAAATATCTTATGCCTGACCAAGTCCTTTCTGTTTTCTACAGCTGAATGAATTTCCTTTCTTGAATATTTTTACGTAGATAAGGATTTTCTTATATTTTTATTCAAAATTCAGAACTTGGCATCATATAGAGAGATTCGTGAGTTTTCTAATCAGTGTAGTATACATCTTGTCTTAATCCCGAATTCAATATTTGGATGGGATTACAACCCATAGGTAACATTAAGGACAGTTTAGGAATGTTGGCATAACTGGATGTGTTGACTCTGCAGTGAGATTGGAAATCATTTGCTCTTTCTAGTGATCTTAAGTTGAGATAACTAATACTAATTTCCAAAGGTACATAGATTATCTGATTATCATCCACATACAGATTTATATTCGCCATTGTCTCCAAAAGTGTCATGGTATATCCAAGGCAACAGTGACCCCTGGAAACAGAAGGAGGAGGATGTGTCACCCTTTAATCTAATTGCAATTATACGGCAAGATCATTTCAAGTGACACAGGAGGCTTAAAATGCTGAAGTTAAATCTATCTCGTGATCTCCTTCCATTGGGCTAGATATAGCACCTGTACTTTTCTTATTCCTTCAGTTGCTTATACTAAGCAACAGAAATGTGCCAGTATTGTGGGGGGTTTGGCTCTCTGTAACCCCAAAATAGTTGGTTCTATAGATCACATTGTGCAGCAGAGAGGAGACAGTGCTAACTTTTTTTTATTCCCGGAATCTAGCTTTTTGTCCTCTGGTAGCTCGTGAAGTGAAGGGTTGAGTGCTATTACCTAAAAATTAAAGCTGTCCTTGGAAACAGGCCATGTTTCCAGGGAGTTATTTCTTGTGTAGTTTGCTTCTTTTCTATTTCAACCCTCCTGTTTTCATTCATTGGTTCTTCCCTCACCTCCCTGGCCCGTTATTTATTAGGGTTTTTTTTTTTTTTTTTTGGGGTAAAATGAAGAATGCTTCATTGTTTTGGTGTTTAGCAGGTTGTAGAAGAAGCTAATTAATGTATATTGATCAGTGAAGTTTTAATTATTTAATTGGTACTTGCAAATTATTGGTAGGATATATGTGATATGTTATAGTTGAAAATCCATCCGTGTTACTTCCTAGAGACCGACGACCATGTTATCTACCAAAATGAAGTTATTCAAGTTTTAATTGTGGGGTTTAGCTCTTATGAAGGGAGGGATTTACTTTATGGCAAATGTTAATAAGTGACTTACCTTTCTTCTAGTTAAGAATGAAAGTAAAGTTTTTCAAGTGTTATTAATACACTCTTATCATAATTTTTAATAGATTTTTAACAAACTATTTTTTATTGATTTCTTAGGTAATGTTTTTAAAGTACTGGTTAACAAAATCTTTACTGTATAAAGTAAAAAGAAGAGAAGAGGAATTACCATTAATGTTGACATTTAAACAAATATATAGTTTATTATACGCGTGCATGCATTTAATTTTAATTTAAATGTTTTTTTCAATCAGTTTTAATTAGTGATTATAATTTTTTATTTTGTTTCTTAAAGTGAAATTGTATCAATTCTTTGTTTTAGAGAGGATAAATCAACAATAATATATTTTGTTATTTGATATAATTGTGTTCTTGATAATCGGGAAAACTTAATACATTGTTGTATATGTGAATATATTTTTCTATTCTGATGGAAGTTTATCAATTATAATATTAATTAAAAACAAAAAGATTAATTATAATATTAGTGAGATTGATATTATTCAAATAATTGTAGATTTTTTAAAAAACTAACTCTTGTGTATTAAATTAAATTACCCTCTCTTGATGGAGAGGAGGGCCTTTAAGATTTACTTTCTTTCTCAACGAGGCTTTTTGTATTTTTCATATGAAAATGTTTCATATATTTTTAAATTTATTGTTTTAATTTAGTCTGTTTTCATTTAAATTTAAAAACACTATTAAATTAATGGATATACAGATTGCGTATCTTTATTTAAATAAATTACTTCATATTCTATTTTTCAATTTTAAAAGTTTTATCTTTTTAATTTACTATTTAATAAAATAAAATTTTCACTGTTGGCAATAAAGTCATTTCTTATTAATTTTTTCCTTTCTTAATATACTCAATTTCACCATTATTTTACAATGATAAGATTTTAAATTTTAAAATTATGTGTATAATATATAAAATCTTGTAAACAGAATATTATAATTAATAAAAAAAATTATTAATTTGTGCAAACATTTACTTGATATCAATTTTGTTCAGTAAATTACAATATCAAATAATTCATTCGAAGCTTAAAAATTAAATAATTTTTTGGGTCTTTTAATATTTACATAACTTAGATAATGAGAAATGAAAATGGTTTTTAAAGTGAATTATCTAGTAATATATATCTTTAAACAATACTTCATCTCAAGCAAAGTGGCTGTAGTTTAGTGGTAAGAATTCCACGTTGTGGCCGTGGAGACCTGGGCTCGAATCCCAGCAGCCACATTTTGAAGTTGAATCACAATATTTTTTCCTCTAGAATGAGAAATCCACCAACTATATCTCTAAAACGATCTGGGACATGCTTGTTTAAAAAATAAATAGTAATTTTATGCATATTTTGATCATATTTAATAATTTAAAATCGTTTTTTTATCAAGTTAAATTTTATTTGACTTTAAACAAAACGAACACTTAACTAATAAATAAAATAGCTATTAGTGTCTATGTACAAAATTCTGTATGGGATTAGGATGCAGAAATATTACAGAATATACCTTTTTGATAAATAAGTAAACTCAAAATAATAATTAATGATGATTCATACTAGCTGGAAGCTATCATCGTTACTAGCGGTTTTTTTTTTATCATGTGAATTTACAATAAAAAAATCATATATATTTTTTATTAAAAACTATAATATTTAATATTATTAATTTAAATTTTTTATATTTTAATATTATTATATATGAATTTTTACAACATATCTTCAAATATATATTAAAAAAAATCGTATTGCTAATTGCTTCTAAGATTTTGCTAACTAAACTTGAAATCTTCTATTTATATCAATATTAGTTCAAAACTTGAGATCTCAAAACAGATATTTATTATTATTGTTACTGTCGTCATCGTTTGAGGCTGGAAGCATGCATCTATCCAACATTTCTGGTTAAGACTTTAGATCTTGGGAATATTCATGTTTGAAAAGAGAGGAACATTATGGAATCTACGTGATGGGATTCCATTTCTACTTTTAAAAAATTTCTTTTATACAGAGTTGTTTAAATTCAGTCAATTAATATTTAAAAATTCTAACATTTGGTGTCACCTAATCATAAACTATTTTATGATATATACTTTGTTAACTAGTTTAATCTATCTCTATCTATTTAATATTATAAATGTGTTCTTATTTTTAAATAAGAGTATTTTTAAGAATTATTACTATTCTTATCAAATTATGTACTTATCTTATAATTAGTGCTATTTTTTAAATTTTGATACAGTGTACCAAATTAAAAATAATTTTTATCAGATAAAAATATGTTTTAAATTATTATAACCTTAATTAATTTTTTTTTAAATTTAATTTTGACGTTGCATATTAATAACAGTAATGTGTTTTGATTTTAACAATTTTTTGAATTTTAAAAGTCTTATATCTTTAATTTAAAAGATTAACCCAATGATGCGCAACTTTGTTTCTAACAGTTTGTATTCTAGTTTTTCTTAGTCTTGTCCCTGGTTTAAGAAGGAAACCTCCTTCCCCAAACGTTCATTAATCCAAGTAAAAGAGATTCGAATCTCTTAAGCATGCAATATAGATTCAACATCATAATAGTTTATACATGTGTGTCGAATATTTGTTATTAGAATTCTTGCTGCGACACCAGTTACTTACGAAACGTAGTATATATTTTAAGAAATTAATCTCACTTAATAGCTTAATTTCCTTTAAATAAGTTTTTTTCTTTCGTTTGACTTGCCTTTCCTAGCTGGACATTACCCATATTACGGATACTGAAAATTGATCTTAGCACTTACAAATTTCACTGTTTCAGCTGCAAATTTAGAGGTTGTTTGAAGGTCGATTTAAGGTGCATTTGTTTTACATTTTTTCTAATGCGTAACAGTGTTCTTACTTCTTAAAGACACAATAAAAACATAAATATAACACATTTATATAATAAATTACAGAATATCATAACACTCGATGCAATGTTAATATTAAATATCATAATTTTCAATAAAAACATTATTATTTTTAATTTCATGTCCTTAAACACACATTTAAAAAAATATTTGTTTCACAGTGAGCATTGGCATTGTTCAATAAAAATGAAGTTTTCAAAAAGGATTCTTGCCTTTCATTTATTTTCTTTGTTCTGAATTTTAGGGGAGAAACAATTCTTAGAGTGTATTTTTATGTTTCTTAGGTAGTTTTTTTAAAGATTGTCGAACAATGTTAACTACAAAATTCTATGCCCTCCGACTTCTTGTCATTTTGAGCTCTCGATCGGTTCCTTATAGTGAGAATTGATATGATTGGGATAGCCTAATATATGATCAGAAATTATGTATTGATAGGTACAGGTATATCAATTAAAATTGATCTGGTTGGGATACCTTAGTTTATGCTCTGAATTCATTCGAATACTTACAAAACATTACTGTTTTTGGCTAGATAATCTCTTTTATGAACACATTTTGATCATTCTTATCGATCGCACTTGAGCAATATTATACTTGCAAAGACCACACATAGAAACAAGGCATCTATCACCGAGAAAGGAATTAAAGAAGGAGCATTCCCATGTTAGGTAAGTGAAGTGTAATGGAATATACCAAACAAGAAGTTAATTGCTGGGTAATAAAGGGGGACTTCTCTTCTATGGTTGGTTAATGGTCACATACCTGGAAAGTAACATTATTCGGAGATCAAATTGTTTACATCATTTACGTATATAAATATTAAGGGAGAATAAAAGACAAAGAAGGCATATATAAAAAGAATGCATATATTTCTATTATGTAAAATATAACGTACGTCACATCAAGCCAATGTGGCTAATACGACAACAGGCGCCGCCCTCCTTGTCAGCTTCTCTGCTTATCCTTATTCTTCGGCCCTATTTAATCTTTTATATCTTTCGCATTAATTAGTTCCATAATATTTCTATTAGAAATTATAATTTAATTATTCAATGTTATTATACTTTTGTGATTTAATATAATAAACATGTAATTTTTTCATAAAATTTGTTTATTTATAAACAGCTAAAGGCTAACGAAACCCTTAAAAATTATAATTTATTTATACCACAGGTATTGCATGCACACGGAATGAAGCAAGGGAAATGCAAAGTTATGAGTGGGTCGAGTATTAGACTCCAACTATAAAAGTGCGACCAGACCAATCAGGTCATTGTACTAGTTCCCTTTGGAGTAAGGACACCCCACACAAAGAGGGAACAAGAAAGAGGCCACAAAATAGTTGCCATACTATAAAGTCATAGAGTTAATTCATAGAGGCAGTTAGCTACAATTTAATTAAGCAGCGTTTGGATGGGTACTCCTCCGGTGAACACGTTGCCGGTAGCATACCAAGCATGGACAAGTTTGGCAGTACCTGACTGGTTGAACAAAGGTGATAACGCATGGCAAATGGTATCAGCCACCCTTGTGGGGATTCAAAGCATGCCAGGGTTAGTCATCCTCTACGGAAGCATAGTCAAAAAGAAATGGGCAGTTAACTCTGCTTTCATGGCCCTCTACGCATTTGCTGCAGTTGTCCTTTGTTGGGTTACCTGGGCTTATAAGATGTCCTTTGGGGAGAAGCTGTTGCCCTTTTGGGGGAAAGCTGGGCCTGCGTTGGGCCAAAAGTTTCTTATAAAACAAGCGCGGTTGCCGGCAACGCCGCATTATTATGACAACGGTGATCTGGAGACTGCTGATATAGAACCCTTTTATCCCATGGCCACTATGGTGTGGTTTCAGTGTGTTTTTGCTGCCATTGCGCTTGTTATTTTGGCTGGCTCTGTTTTGGCTCGGATGAATTTCAAGGCTTGGATGATGTTTGTGCCTCTTTGGCTCACTTTTTCTTATACCATTGGTGCGTTTAGTTTGTGGGGTGGAGGCTTCTTGTTCCAATGGGGTGTTATGGACTACTCTGGTGGTTATGTCATTCATCTTTCTTCTGGGATTGCTGGCTTCACTGCTGCTTATTGGGTATGTTAGTTCTCTCTTTCACTGCCACCACCCTCAAATCTCTCTAGTTGCATATTTATTTATTATTTCATTTTTCAACTTAAAAACTTATATTTTAATCTTTGCTTATTATAACATGGCTACAAAAATATTAACGTGACTCAGGAATAACAGCTTGATGAACAATTATTTTTATAATTAATGTTTTTAAACATAAATTTTTAAGTATAAAAACAATTTTTAAAACAAATTTTAATTATAAAAATTAAATGTGTATTTTAATGTTTTTTAAGCACAAACAAAACAAAACAACCATTTGTTGAAGTGATATGTGAAGTTTGTCTCGAGTTTAACGTATGAAGAAACTGAGTTGAGAGCGCTTTTCCTCTTTGTCGAGCGTTTAGGATATAGAAAGCAAATTATTTAACATGCTAAAAATTAACGCGTCTGTACACGTTACGTACTTAGTCTAAAAGTCATGCATACACATTACACGCTAAAAATAAATTTTTGTTTTGATTAATGTTTGCTTCTTTTTGCTTTACCTTCATATTTTAAGTTGTAACCTCTACTGATTATGAAAATGATATAAAATTAATACCGTTGGCATGCTTCTTTGTCCAAATGTATTAAATTGCTAATGCTAATTGCTAAAATCCAAAACGATTATTGTGTTCATACATTTCTTTTATATATATATATATATATATAATTTTCAATGATAGAAGAGATTCGTTTGATAGCGTTTGTAATTTTTATGTACTTCATCCCTCACTATCTAATACATTGTTATTGAACAAATGGTGCATCAGATGGGGATGGGGAACCTATAAATATTGCGGTCAATCATCACGTATTAATTTACTTAAGTTATCTATACTTTCACGTTTCATTCAAAAGTAAACCTTTTCGTCGTGACATCAATACAATATAGAAAGGGGGGAGGGCTTGGAGGGTAATCAATCAAATAAAAATAATAAACTATATCTTTATCTGTAATTTGAAAGCTACTAAATTTATTATTGCAATGCAATGGGCTGATTTATTATTTAAAAAAAGAGAGATAAAAAGATTATTGAAGTGGGTAAATATGATTGTTAATTATATTTGAAATAGGTGGGACCAAGATCGAAGAAGGACAGAGAGAGATTTCCACCAAACAATGTGTTACTAACGTTGGCAGGGGCAGGGCTACTATGGTTGGGATGGGCAGGTTTCAATGGAGGAGATCCCTATGCGGCGAACACAGACTCATCCATGGCGGTGCTCAACACAAACGTTTGCGCCGCCACCAGCCTCCTCGTGTGGACGTGGTTGGACGTTATTTTCTTCAAGAAGCCCTCAGTTATTGGAGCCGTTCAGGGCATGATAACTGGCCTTGTTTGCATCACTCCTGGAGCTGGTACGTTTTGTAATCTACCAACTTCATAAATTAGTGCAGTTTTTAATAAATTATTTTAACTTCATTTGCACATAAAATTACTTATCTCATAAATAAAAATATATGCTTTGAAAGTGAAAGAATACTTAAAAAATAATACCTCAGGTTTGATATCAGGTGGGAGATTCCATTCTTGACTATGAGATTCCAAGAGTTGAATGCTTAATAAACTAGCAGTACATCTAATTTAATTTATTGACTATTCTCTTAAAATGTTTTAATTAGTCTTGATTGTTTTCCTTTCCTACTTTGCTGTCGGGTTTCATGCAGATGGAAATGTAAAATTGAAGCAAGAAACATTCAATGTTAGAGAGATTAATCAAACTGCTAACGCATTATATCTAGGACCAAATCATTATTTAGTGTCATGCTAATTATGAAGATCCACATTGATAGAGGAATATTAAATATATTTGATTAAATGTTTGAATTGTTTAAACAATATATATTAAATAGTTTTTTTTTAATATATTAAATATTTTTGCTTCCTTTTTTTATCCGACCATTTTTGGAAAAAAAATATTTATCTATTTAGATTAAATTTCAAGATAGCATTAATTAATATTTTTATTTACACTTTTTCTTATTAATTCTTAAATACTTTACATACAATCATAAATAAAAAAGAGTTCATATTAAAAAATCAATAATAACTAATAATTAAAAATATTAATTATTTTTCTTTGTGTTTTATTTTTTTTAAGAGGACATATAAAAAAGTGAAGGGATTAAAATATTTCTAATGACATTGCAATTTATAATTTCAACATACAATGTGTACTCAGATTCCAATGACTTCATCACTTTTGTCCAATGGTAGCAGTAATGTATATTCAAATTCGTTAGACAAATAAGACGTTTAGATTTAAGGGTTTACATTTCTAATCTAGAATATACGTGACTATTCTTTTGCGTCTGTTTTCCGAAAAGGAAAAAGTCAATGCATCTTTGCTTTTAAATTATGTTTTGAAGAACTACGTATTCTTATGATATAATAATGAGTCGTGAAATGACGAAAACCATTAGAACTAGTGTTTGTAGCTGACAAATGCTAATTAAAAGTTATAAGGATAAAACTAAACAAACTTTTTTTTTACTGAAATCAGCCACAGCACTTGGGAGTAATTCGTTTCATAACAATTTGGAATTGTCTCATCTTATAGATGTATCTAATACTGATTTAGTGTTTATTAATTATACATTCTTATCATTTAATTATGTTCTGTTATTATATTTTTAAACAAAATTTTAGATAGTTATTATCGGAATAAAACTCTTTAAACTGACATTGTCCAAAATTAAGCTTATTATCAAAATATGAAGCTTATTATCACAGTGATGTTGTTTACCATCATAACTTTAAAACTTTCTGTATGACTTTTTCAAAAATTTCTTTCCTAGTTGGGTAGTGTTTCCTCTTTAGGACTCACGGATAATGTATCCCCTTCTGCAATTCCCATCCAAGATTTTAAATGGAGTAATATGTAAACATTACATTAAAATTTGGATGTGCAAGAACATTAATACAAGCCTGATTCAATCATTTTTAATGCGGAACTCTATTCTTCTTTTGTGATTATACATGTAGTAATGACTTGACAAATGCATTAAATAGGAGAATTTTTTTTTTCGTAAAAATAAGATAAATAAATTTTTATTATTAGAGCTTAATGTGAATTGTCATTGTTAAAATATGATGTAAATTTTTGAAAAAAATTGTAATTTTTTAAAATAATTATGTAACTATTCAATTTTTTTAACTTGGATCTTTCACGTATGATTTATATTTACGTCTTTCGCTTTTATGTTAAAAGACTCGTTCTACTTGATGCATTTCCTCCTGTATATACACACAGATCATATTTAATTGTTTTAATGCATTTTTTTCCCCGTTCTTACTTATAAAATTTTTTCTCCCCTTCCTTATAAACCCTATTATGAATTTCTCTTTAAACAAAAAAAAAAATCTATTTACTGATAAAAAATTAATATTTTAGTCATTAAACTTGCCTCTGTTGATCTAATCAGACCATGTAACAAATAATTTCATTAATATATATATATATATATAAAATATAAGTCATGAGTTCATCGTCTTATTAATATAGCATATGGTACCAATAGAAATTAGATGACCCTTAACAGACATGGTTAACATAGAGATATTTTTTTACAGTGACAACACAGGTGCTAGCAACTTGGCTAACTGACTATTAACTAATTGATCCATAATGATGTTGTTAATAGGTCTGGTTCAAGGATGGGCTGCAATTGTGATGGGAGTGCTTTCAGGAAGTGTGCCATGGTTCACCATGATGGTGTTGGGGAAGAAATTGACACTGTTTCAAATGGTTGATGACACCCTTGCTGTGTTCCACACTCATGCTGTGGCTGGCCTTCTAGGGGGTGTACTCACTGGCCTATTTGCTGAGCCACGTTTAAGTGCACTCTTTCTACCTGTCACGAACTCCCAAGGAGCAATCTATGGTGGCCCTGGCGGTGTCCAAATCCTTAAACAAATTGTGGGAGGTTTGTTCATCATTGGATGGAACCTCGTGGCCACTTCAATTATTTGTGTGGTTATTGGTTTCATTGTTCCTCTTAGAATGACAGATGAAGAGGTTCTTATTGGGGATGATGCGGTTCATGGTGAAGAAGCTTATGCACTTTGGGGTGATGGAGAAAAACTTAGCATCTACAAAGATGATACAACCCATCATGGAATGGTGTCTAGTGGTCTCACTCAAGTGGTCTAGCTGATGACCAAACAATGCAAAGATCGAGATAATATGGTTGAACAACATAACTTTAAGTATAATTCTTCGTGTTTTTTTCAATTACAATTATAGTTTCGTTTCAAAAACAGTTTCGAAACTAAAATTTCAATTGAAAAAACAATACTAAGAAAATACATAAAAGAATTACACGTAAGTTTTGTTCACAGCTGAATTGATTCTTTATAGTTTAATTTGCGTGTACACTTGTCGTTCGAAGTTGTTTTTTTAGGATGTAGCGGTTGATGTGAAACAGGAAATTGCAATTTCTAAGAGAAGAAAATTAAGAAAAAGAGAGAGATGATTTGTTTTATGCTTGTTTTAATATCTGTGACAAATGTATAAAGCCATGCAGTTATGTGTGTTATACTCTTGTTATCTTACAACTTCCATAGTTCCAATATTCCATATAGGGAGTCTTCGTCTGAGTATGTGACTTGGACGTTGAATTTGTGAAATTTCATAAATAAATAGGTACATAATTTTATTTTGGAATATCTGGGGCTGTTTGTTCCTGTTATATGCGAAGTTTATCATTGAAATTTGTATTCATAATCCTTTCTTTTTCATAATTTTTCCGTTTACATCTTTTATACTTTGTATAACTTCAACAATTGATTATAGTCTTGAAATTTGGTATTAAATGCATGTGATATCGTAATGCTATCTCTGTTGAGTCTGGACTGGACTTATATGGTGTATTTGGTTCGATTAAAAGTTATAGAAGTAGGGTTTATTTATTTCTTCCCTCATGTATTTTCATTACCGGGAGATTAAACTGATACGAAATTATCTCTTATTGCTTAATAATGTTCATAAAATGAGTTGATTTATACGTTGTTATGACTGTTCATGTAAACCCAACCCAAGCAAACAGCCCTTACATTAAAAGCTTAAAGTTTGGGATGAGTGGTTATGGAAAGCAAGCCCATTGTGTTTGTGCCCATATCCTAACAAATATATTTAGTGGTCCCTAAATTATGCGCATCATCTCATCTAATTCCACTCTCTTTTTGCTTTGAGGAGTGGCTGTCATTCCACCCTAAAGAATTAATTAAATATGGATGTGATGTGAAGAATTTCACTGCTATCAACGGATGCTTCATAATCCCCTCCATTATCTCTCTCCTTCTGCCCTAATTGGTAACTTAATTAATACTTTATTTAGGGGTAAAAACAATTGTATTTTATTAACAAGTGTTTTAGAAACTCTAATTAAGGAATTAATATATTAAGATGTGTTGATAATATTTTTTTGAATTTTATTAACCTAATTAAGGACAAAAGATAAACAGCTAATAATAATAAAATTTTATTAGAAAGAAAAATATTTATTATATTTTTATAATTTTAATATAATAATTATATCCTTTTCTCATTAAAAATTTTTTATTTGTGAATATTTAAACTTAACTTTAAGAGTTGAAGTTAACAAAATTCTATTTTTTATATAAAAATATTTTTTACTTATTAACAATACTCTCAAAACACTTGTTACCATTCTCCAAAATAATTTATGTAGTTGGTGTTGATGGATAAATTTTCTCAAACTTCTTGATTATTGTTTTTTTTAATCGTCAGGAAAATATTAATGATATATTTTTTAAATATATTTTAGTATGTTCTTTATTATTAACTATAATTTGATAAAAGTAAGGAAATCATGAATCCCATTCATTCGTTTTAAAAAATATTAAAAGGCCTGTAAAAAGAAGATGTTAAAACGTACTCTAAAATTTATGTATTCACTGTTTATCGTTGACTAAATTTTATTACAGATTATATATTTCAGAAGAGAAACCAAATGGTAAAATTTTTAAAATTATATATTTTTGTTCCTTTAATTTAATATATATCTGATTTTAGTTTTCTAATTTTTTGAGTTAATTAATTTTTAAAATTTAAAATTACTTAAATTTAATTCCTTAACTGATTTTGTCTATCTAAAATACTCAAAATTTTATGTTTTACTCAAAACCTTAATAAGTTGAAACAAGTAAATAGTTTTAAAATTCCCCCCTCAAAATACATAGATCTAAAACATCTTATTTTAAGTAAAATTTAATATTTCTTGGTTGATTTTGAGTACAAGACAATTAAAGTCTCACATGAAAAAAATTGAGAGAGACGGAACTTACAATCAAATATTAAAAGTAAAAACATGAATTAACTCAAGAAATTTAAAATTAAAATACACAGAATCTAATTTAAAAAAACTAAAATACAATTGAACCTTTGTTTCCACCTCCTTATTTCTGTTTTTTCTCACCAGATTTTCCATTGATGCAGTTTGTCTAGTACAAATTAGAAAAGCTAATATTTTAACATTTGATTTGGTTATTCTCAAAAGAAATAATGGATACATGGTTCCCTCCCCCACCCCACCCAAAGAAAAAAGTGAGCACAACACGTGAGCGTTTTGGCTCTTTGGAATTTTCAATGGAAACAATGTACTAAAATAACCATTACTATATCTTTCTCCTTGTCTCCTTCTATCTCCTCGCTAGTTGTCGCCAAAATGTCCAACAATGCCACACCACAGTAACTTCTCACCCTTTGTTCATTTTCTTTTTCTCACAGCCAACAGTAACACCAATCAACTGTGCTACCAAACCGTTGACTGCCACATGAAGCATGTTTGTAAGGCTAAGCCACCACTTTTGACATTACAAATGTCACAATCTCCCTCCACCATACGTGCCTCATCGGTGATCCCACAATTATCCACAATTGCTTATCCTTAAAGACTCTTTACTAGTGAGTCTTGGTCTTCCCACACTGTGGTCCACCAATTTTGCTTAATTATTATTATTAATTGCGCCTTTTAAAATGTAAAGTGGTTCTTTGCCTTTTAAAAAAAATTGAAGAGGCGCTTTCACAAAACAGGAGAATATATAATCAAATCATTTATAGTGGAAGCTTCATTTGTGCCACAGCTCAGCACAAACATGGGAATGAGATATATGCTTGGAGTTGGAGCATTTCTCATCAATTTGTTTTAAAAGACCAAATAAAGGGGTGATGAACATCACCATTATTATCAACAAAGTGAAATCCTTGTTTAGTGGGATTCTCATTCTCTTCCCACCATTCACACTTCCAACTAGCTCTCATATTCTTTGCCAATGCCTTCCTTTCTATATTTCTTTTTTTTATTATTATCAATTATATATTTTAGTTCTTATATTTATTATTAAAAAAAAAGAGTCCTCGTTGTTGCCCTTTTGAGTCCTAGTGCTTATTGCCACGTGGGTCCCTTGCACTACCCTGCATCACTCAACTCACTTGATCTTGACACTCATAAAAGTGACAACAATAAAGTGTTCTCCTTCTTCAACACCCTCTCTCCTATCAGTGTTCATGGTTGTGTGTGCAGCGCGCTAAACTAGTATGTTTTTTGTCCCTTTGTTAGCTTCATAGAAATACTAGCTAGTTTCTTGTGTACGTAGATAAAACAACTAACATGAACATTCATGTGATGTGAAAACATGTAATAGTCATGATTGAGTGTGAAAATTCATGGACTAATAATCTTGTTGCATGGGAGTTTTGGTCTGTATTTATATACATATTTTTTCTTGCCTCATGTCCTGGTTAGTATACTATAATTTGTCACTTTAATAAATTCCATATTCGGAGTTCTTGCAACTGTATCACTCTGTGTATATGCTACACTTTGGAACGCACCTCGTTTTTGGGCTGAATAAATTTCTCTCTCTTGCATTCATCTTTGAAAACTATTTTGGAACAAAAAGTTTATAAATTTCCGGGCATAATTCTTTTGGCATAGTTTTATTGTTATTTTATGTTAAAATGTTGTTAACCTGTTTCTCTTGATGATGATTTTTTTGCCCCTGTGAAGGGACTCGACCAGGTGAGTTTTCCTTGAAGATCAAAGAAGTTTATATGTTTCGCCCAAATTTTAGTGGGGGTCCTCTCAAAATATTGACGAGGTGGCTCATATTCCTTACCATCTTCAAAGTCACTTGTGCTATGAAAGATCCTGATGTAGAAGGTGTGGTAAATTTGCTGTTATTCTTTTCTCATTGGAAACGTATATTGTTTGAATATAATTTTGATTACTGTGATCATACATGTTTGAAAAAACAGTTTGAAGCCTCGCTACAAATGAAAAACCTCAGTTATTATGTGATCTGACACTGTCTTGTACATTGTTGGTGGAAAAAAAGAGAGCATAAACTCCATTGTTATTAGTGATCTTGGGTTTTCTTACAAGTTAGATTATTTCTATTTTTGTTTCCATAGAGCATTTTTTAACCGTGTTATTCTTTGGATCATTCATAACTTCAACCCCTACGTGACAACTTTTTATTATCTATTGACAGTTTGACACTCTTAATTGAATAATTTTGAACTATATTTGCTAATCTTCAGGTGAAGCTTTGCTTGACTTTTTGAATGTTCTCAATGATTCCAATCACCAAATAAGGGACTGGGATATTTATTTAGTCAGCCCGTGCTTTAGTTGGTCTCATGTCACTTGTAGAAACGGGCATGTGATATCTCTGTAAGTTCATTCTCATAGAAAGCACAAAATGCATATTATTGTTATTTTCTTAATCTAGTTTTTCCATTCTCTTTTCTATCTTTTTTATGATGCACTGGAACTTTGTAAAGATTTGCAGTAATTTAGTTTGTCAATGCCAATCAATCTGCAGGGCCCTGGCTTCGGTTGGATTTTCTGGAACACTTGCTCCCTCAATTACCAAATTGAAATATTTGGTTAGCTTGTAAGTTGTCATCTTGAGAAATTGACATTTATAAGATTTGAAACTTCTGCTACTGTACTAATCCAGTTAATCTGATTATCACCATATATCTTAAGTAAAATTTTCTAGACTTAGGAGTATGATGCCATAAAAATTAAGGTAGTTTTTGGATTATACTTTTGAAAATCAACAGTGAATTCGGTAGATGAAAATCAATGTAAAATAGTGAATAGACTGAATAATGGTTTTTTACATCCATGATAGTGACCGGGCTGGCAACTTGTGATGCAGAGAATTGCAGAACAACAATCTTTCAGGCTCCTTGCCTGATTATATTTCCAACTTGACATACCTACAGTATCTAAATCTTGCTGACAACAACTTCAATGGTTCTATACCAGCTAAATGGGGTCAGCTATCCAGTCTAAAACATCTGTAAGACTTGACTTTCCATTCTTGTATGAGTACAAAATTGATCTTTGAAAGAAGAAAAAGGCTTCTTGGAGGAATAAATAGTTTATAATTGAAAGTGGTGAGTTTGTGTGTTTAGAGGGAATCAATTGCAAATGTTTAAGGGTCAATAATTACAAAACTGTAAAAATGGCTATCTTTAGTTGCAGCTATACTTCAATTTTTAAAAATTTCTGGTGCATTCTCTATGTTCCTACCCTGATCTTGAATACTATAATTGACTTGTGTTTCCATTTGACAGGGATCTTTCATCCAATGGTCTAACTGGAAGTATCCCAATGCAACTCTTTTCAGTTCCAATGTTTAAGTAAATTTTGTTAGAACTTCATATTCACCTGAGGATTTTCTTTTAATAATAAACATTTGTGTACTCTTAATTTATTGTGTTTTTTTTTTTCCATTATTACTTTCAGCTTTTCACATACGCACCTTCATTGTGGCTCTGGCTTCGATCAGCCTTGTGTTTCTAAATCTGAAAATCCAGGTTTGATTGCTTAACACAAAAAAAATAATATGTTATTGTTTTTTGGTACATACTAAAGAAAACGCAATGTTGCTTAAAGAATATGAAATACAACACCCAAGTATATATAGAGGGGATGGGATTCAGTCCCGTTTAAGAGAGAACTAGACGGTCCACTCAAGCAAAATTTTACACTTTCACTTAAGCGGAAAATTTAGCTAAGTAACCACCTATAAAGTTTATCTCTTTCTGCAGCTTCAACCCAAAAATCAAAACTGGCAAAATTTGTACGTTTTGCAAGTTGTGGTGCATTTGCACTTTTGTGTCTTGGGGCTATCTTTATGTATCGATACCATCAAATGGACAGGCGCAAAAATGAAGTCTTTGTTGATGTTTCAGGTAGTTTTTCTTTTCATTTCAAGTTCTTATTGTCTAAACTATAATCTAATAATGCCTAGAAGGAAACAAGGGAGTGTTTGATTTGAAAAAATGATTATGTTTTCATTTCTCGCTTTAACAAATCATTATAAAAATAACGCCTGTTTTTATTTCTTTTTTCCTTTATTTTTTATTTTTAAATATTGGTCTAGAAAATAAAAAAAATTATATAAATCTTTAAAGACATAACTCTGTTTGATATTTTAATAGAAAATATTTCCGGATAGGTATTACATGTATGATTTTAAGAGCTTCATATATTTGACTAATTGTACAGGTGAAGACGAGAGTAAAATTTCTTTTGGGCAATTGAGAAGATTTTCTTGGCGTGAACTCCAACTTGCCACAAAAAATTTCAGTGAAAGCAATGTAATTGGGCAGGGTGGCTTTGGAAAAGTGTACAAAGGAGTGCTCTCAGATAATACTAAAGTTGCTGTTAAACGCCTCAGTGATTACAATAATCCTGGTGGTGAAGCTGCTTTCGAGAGAGAAGTTCAACTAATAAGTGTTGCAGTTCATAGAAACCTCTTAAGACTAATCGGCTTCTGTGCTACCTCAACTGAAAGAATTCTTGTATATCCTTTTATGGAAAATCTAAGTGTAGCATACCGATTAAGAGGTAAAATTCATAACTTCTTTTATCAACTGTTCTCCCTTTAGTGCATGATTGATTCAGCTTATTTTGAGGAAATAATGGCTTATATTTTTTTAGTTTTGTGAGATAATTTTTTTAAACAATCAGCGATTTTTTGCCTGAAAAAAAGTGTTTCTAAACATGCACTTAATATGTCTTTGAGACCATGGTATGTATATGATATTTTATGTTTTTTTCTTTTTAAAGATAGAGTATGGAGGGGCATACAAAGAAGAGATATTAGTAGTCCAAAGTGAAGCTAAGAGAAAAAAAGAAATTGATTATTTGATGCATCCCTTTCCAAGCTTTGTGCTCATTACTTAATATTCTTTCTCTATGCTGCCTTAGATTTAAAACCTGGGGAGAAAGGCTTGGACTGGCCAACAAGGAAACGTGTCGCTTTTGGCACAGCCCATGGTTTGGAGTATCTTCATGAGCAATGCAATCCAAAGATAATACATCGTGATCTAAAGGCTGCAAATATCCTACTAGATGAAGAGTTTGAAGCTGTTCTAGGTGATTTTGGGCTGGCTAAGCTGGTTGATACAAGAATGACTCATTTTACCACTCAAGTTCGAGGCACAATGGGTCATATTGCACCAGAATATTTGTCCACTGGAAAATCATCAGAAAAAACTGATGTTTTTGGATATGGCATAACACTTCTTGAACTAGTCACTGGTCAGCGTGCTATAGACCTCTCTAGAATTGAAGAGGATGAGGATGTTCTTCTCATTGATCATGTAATCTACTTCACCCATTACTTGCTCATGTCTGTAAATGCTGCTTAATGGTGATACAAAGATGTGTTCTTACATTGTTTTGCATGCTGTTATGGTCTTGCTCTAATGCTTTGCCTTAAAATATCTTTTATAATTTTTTTCAGTTTTATGAACATCAATTTTTACGACTGATTTTAAGCATTAAAATTACTAAACTTTTATTAAAAAATAAAAAATTATTACGTTAAAAATACAAAATTATAATAAATAGTTTTTTTTTCAGTAAGTTTACTATTAAAATCACCCCTTATATTTTTTCTATTATTTTTCTAGATATGAAATTAATTTATATTGATGAAACTTTTATAAACAGGTGAAAAAGCTGCTGAGAGAAAATAGGTTGGAGGACATTGTGGATAGGAATTTGGAGAGTTATGATCCAAAAGAAGTGGAAACCATTCTTCAAGTTGCATTACTTTGCACCCAAGGCTTCCCTGAGGATCGTCCAACCATGTCAGAGGTTGTTAAGATGTTGCAAGGAGTGGGGTTGGCAAATAGATGGGCTGATTGGAAGCAACTTGAAGAGACTAGGAATCAAGAATTCTCACTCATGACTCACCAATTTGTATGGGGTGAAGAATCTACTCTTGATCAAGAAGCTATTCAGCTTTCAAGAGCAAGATAGACATAGCTTGAATCAATTTTGAAATGTGGGTCGTTGACTTGTTAATTGTATGATAAAATATATACATATCAATGGAAAAAGGCATAAGTACCTAAAAGCCTGTTCATATAATGTTGGATGTACAAAGAAGGAAAAGAATGAGGGGATTTGGCACAGGCATTAATGACAATGTATTCGAAAAGAGGGGAAGATTCAGGTTGCAACATGTGTATCACAACTACGTGTTCCTTTTGTAACCTTAGAAAAGTCTTGAGCTTGTAACGGTTACTATAACGTGTGTTTGGAAACATGTTACAGTAGTTGTAATCGTGAATTCAATATAGAAGTTATAATTAATAGCATTAAAGTAAACACATATTTATAATATTCAAATACATTAATCTAGACATGCTAATAATCTTTCCTTTGTATTCTCTTTTTATTTGTTGATTTTGTGCAATAAAAATATCACTAAAAATTTTCTTCAGAAAAAACACATTAATATTCTATATTGTGGTCTGAATTTTTATCTGTCTTTTTTTTTTTCAAAAATTTTAGAAGAAAGAGTATATATGAAGCACGTAATTCGCCAGAGCAATCCATGGTCATTGATTAATGATATTTTTAATTATTTTTTTCACTCTACTTTTTTCTTCCTTGCTCTCATTATTATAATGTTTGGCATTTATTTTTTTATTTATATATTTTAAAATCTTGAACCTAAAGAACCCAACCTGGAATCAATTGTCTGACCCACTAAAGACTAGTTCAATAAGCCCAACTCTTCAATAAACCCAACCTGGATCAACTCTGTTTTTTTAGAATATTGCATTATTCACTTTGATTATTCAGAACAGTATGAAGATTGGGGGAAAATCACAGGGCTTTTTTATTTAAATATTATAAATTAAAAAACTATTTCTTAAATTACAGATTTTTTTAAACTAATTCTCTGTTTAGAGTAAATTTGTCACGTAGGTGTGTTGTTTCGCTAAAGCCGCTGGTGAAATAATAATTTTTTTTTAAATTAGTTTTGCCAAAAGAAGAACGAAAATATAAGATTCGCATTTCTGATGGAGAAAATAGAAGTGACTTTTGCCACGTGCAGGGTGAAACTGGTGTTTTGTCATTGAAGTGGCGAAACTGGTGTTTCGACATTAAATTGACAAAACTTTCATTAACTTTCGTCATTTGCAGGGCGAAACTTGCACCCATATCCTTTCCCGTCTCCAGCAACTTCTTTCATTCTCATCCTTTCCAATCAATAGAAAAATGAGGGTTTGGCACACTTGAATTGGGACTTTGATTGGAGACCAACTTACGGTACTGGTTTCGCCTTAGTTTGGTACGTTTTTATCTACTTGAGTTGAGCCTTTCGTTGAGCGGTTGAGCAATCAGCCCTGTTCAATATTTGCACCCTTCTCAAGCTACATACACATTAATTTTATACCGCAAGATTTTTGTCAACTAACACATTTGAAAGAAAACAGGTCAGATTTATATTTTTTTTCTTCATTTCATGTAAATTTATGAATGTAGTTATTGTGTATTTTATTTTAATTAAATAAATTGATTAATAAAGAAGTAATATTATTTTGTTGATATTAATTTTAAAAAAATTAGATACTAAATAAATTTTATTTGTAAGAATGTAGGATGAGTGGACATATTATAATGATATATTGGAATGGTAGAATCTATGAAGGGAATGAAGGTGTGAGTTTAGAAGGAAGAAAGAAAATGATTCAGATAAAGCGAGGAATAAGTTTTGAAGCCTAAAAAAGAAAAATTCATTTGAAACTTAATATTGATCGTAACGAAGTTATTTCTAGATTAATTTCACATTTTTTGATTGATATAAATAAACAGTATACAGCTTTGGATATTTGTGATAATAAAGATATTGATTATATGATAAGTGCATTTCAACAACAATATGATAAGTGCCGTTGCAGATGGTAAATTTAAATTTATTACTTTCACAGTAAAATAATGGAACAATTTTGAGTAATGATTACTATAAAGGTAATATGAATTACTTTATAAAATAATTTATTGATATATGTATTTGTTAGATAATAATTTATATATTTGTTACAATAAATAAATAAATTAGGATTGAAGTTGATGAAGATAATGAAGACTCAGATTATGATAGTTAGGAGAAATTTCACTAGACAGTTCTTCTTCTACTGATGTTGATGGAGAGTTTGATTCCAACTTAAATATACAAGAAAACAGATTAGGTGGAGGTAATATGGACTATTGTTTAATTTTTTTTATTTTTCATTAAATATGTTGATAATAATCTTACAAATTTTTGTAAATTATGATGCAGGAGATACTATAATTCTTTTTTGGAATAGTACTCCACAATATAAGTATATTAATTGGGAACATCCTGATGAAGAGATGATTGAAGAAAATTGTCAAGATGTAAATTCATGGGTTGAAGGAGATCCCTTATAATAGTATTACAATTTACTAATTACTAATAATAGTACATAATAATAATAATTAAATTTAATAGTATTTTACCTACAAATCACATTCACATACATAATACAATATATTCACATACAAATTACTAATACATACAAATATTTAATTAATCTTAGTATTTTACATACAAATTACTAACATATTTATAATAATAAATTTATCTTTATTAATTTTAATAACATAATAAAATAATATCTACTTAATTTTTACATACAAATTTTTAATCCATTTTAATAAAATACAAACTACTTACATATTTACAATACATAAATATACAAAATTTATAATCTTCCTATCATAATTGAAATTTATTTACGTATACAAAATATTTTATACAATTAAACCAAATATTTCTTATTATTATATTAAATTATTTTATTTAACTAATTTTGTATTATTCTTTAAATAAATATATAACAAATATATTATACAACATCATATTATTAATATTTTACAAACATATAATTAACAAATATCATTATATTATTCTTTGTCTACAAATTTTTTTAATAATTTAACATAATCAGTCAAATTTTATTTTTTAATCTATTAATCTAAACATAAATTAATGAAATCAAATTTAAAATTAACTAAATCAATTTTACTAACCTCTAATTCTTCTAATTCTCTCTAAACTCTATTTACCTGCAAAACAAAACATATTTTTTTCAGCATTTTAAAATAGTAAATAGAATATAATTTTATATATAAATATAAATAATATCATTATCTTAAATAAAAATTTAAAAACTGTAAAATCTTACAATCTTTAAGAAATGGAGGAGAGGAGGCATCGGACACAAGATGAAGGAATGGAAGAAGCAAAAATGGAAGATCGAAAGGAAGAGGAAGGGGAAGAAGGGGCAGGAACGATTACTGTGCCGCCTGCCGCATGTCAGCCTCCATTAGTTTTGCTAACAAAACTGGCAAAACACTCTTTCGCCATTGACAACTCGCAACAAGTACGATGTTGTCACTTGTCTTCGCCACTCTACAGCCGATCATTTTAAATTTTTAAAATTTTTATTTTATTTAATTTTATTGCTTTCGTATTTTTGGTGGTGAAACAAGTCGATCATATCCACGTGTCATTTTTCCATTAGTTGCGTGGCGATGGTAGCAAAACTCTTCATTAATTTCGCCAATTAAATAGCAAAATTGTTGATTTCCTGACACGTCCTTCAATTTAATGTATTTTGCATTATCAGTGACGAAAATTATTATTAAAAAAATTCAAAAATTATATTTTTGCCATTTGGTGTGAGAAAATTATTACTTGACATGACAAATTCACCCAGAAAATTAGTTTGAAAAAATGATAATTTAAAAAATAGTTTTTTAATTTATAATATTTAAATAAAAAAGCCAAAATCACGAGATGCATTTAACATGAGAACATAGACAGGACGGACATAAAAAATTCAAACTCAAGCGATTGTGGCCCCATTCCCAGCAACGTGTCAAAGTGTAGAACGGAACATTATAGTCTACGCGTAAGTAAAGAGTCAGAGGAAGAAATCATGTTGGGTTTTTCATTCCAGCAGTTATATTTATATCTTTCTACGGTATCATACCTTTTATTTTAATTTTTTATGTTTTTTTTTTGTCCTTATTTTTTGCTACCATTTATCCTTTTCATTCAGACTGCTATAATGTGATTTCTCGACCAAGAGTGAAGGAAAACTGAAACCCTTCACACCACCCTCATCGTTATATTACATGCTTTGCTCCTCTGTTTATTAGGATCCAAAACATAAGCCAGAACATAATCTCCTTTATCAACTTTTATTTTTAGTTTTATTAACACCAATACTTGATTATTACATTTTAAAACAATGAAATTAAATCATAAAATCGTCATTTATTTAAGGAGCTCTTTGAGAAATAAAATTCTGAAGAAAAAAAGAAGAGAGCACAACATTTTTATTTTAAATAAATATATACTATTTTGATCATTTTTAAAATAAAATAATAGATTAGTATAAACTTAATGTATGAATTGTTTTATTATAGATAATATATAATTCTATAAATTTTCTCCCTTTTAAAACTTTCTCCTAAATGATCATCTTTTTAATTTTTTAATATAAATTAATAAAAAATTATTTTCATCATTTATTGAATAAATTTTTAAAATAAAAAATAAGATGATATTTTTATAATCATTTATAAAATAAAAAAAATAGCTATTCAAACTACATTAACCTCTTTTTTCTTATTTAAATATATTTTAACTACCTCTAAATAGGACTTATTTTAAACTATTATCTATTAATTTTTTTTTCATTTTAATGCTTAATTTTTTTTTTTTAATTTTGTACTTAATGTTAATCTTTGTTAATTAAATGGTGATGTGGCTTACCGTTTACTACGTCACCCCAGTCTCTTTCCTACACTTCACTCTTAAATTTTCACATCACTTATTCATATTAGCATTTTATTTTTTTAAAAAATTATAAAGGTAAAAAAATTAAAATTCAAGCGCCCATTATTTTAAAATTAGAATTCCTTATAGCTGAATCTTTTTTTTTATTTTCTTATTTTTTAAAAATAAAATATTAATATGAACTCGTGACGTGAAAATTTAAGAGTGAAGTAGAGGAGAGAAATTGGAATGACGTGACAAACTGTAAGTCACGTCATCATTTAATTAACGGAATTTAACGTCAGGTACAAAATTAAAAAAATTAATTAAGTATTAAAATAAAAAATTAATAAATAATAATTTGAAATAAGTTTAATTTAAAGATAATTAAAACATATTTAAATTTTTTTATTATTTATTTAAAAAGAAAAAATACAAAAGAATTAGGTAAATCTTGAAAAATAGAATGGAGTAAAAATAAGATGGATTTTTTTAAATATAGAATGATAAACTCACTCGTTTGGTAACATT